CAGATGTCCCAGTCAAATGTCCTCAACCAAGGTAAACAATGGCAAGCTGCAGTCAAAAGTCCCAGACAAATGTCCCCAACCAAGGTAAACAATGGCAAGCTGCAGTCAAAAGTCCCAGACAAATGTCCCCAACCAAGGTAAACAATGGCAAGCTGCAGTCAGATGTCCCAGTCAAATGTCCCAAACCAAAGTAAACAATGGCAAGCTGCTGTCAGTTGTCCCCAATTAGATGTCCCTGGTCAGATGTTGGTCAAACTAAAAACAGCCACAAAATGGGGATAAGAAAATGATAAATAAATTATTGCGTTGTGGGAGCTGAAATGTTGCATACAGCAGATGTGATTAGCATAAGCATGAAAATATTGCATAGCAAGAACAGGGCAGTCAGACATATGAGTTTCATACTATCAAATATCCAAGCTTACCCACAATGATGTTATTGCTGTTGTTCAGCTCATATATAACTGATTAAAACATATCATTAATTAACTTGATCAGCTTATATTGTCAGCCTAAAAAAAATGTACTTATGAAATACTGCTAAGCAAATACACAAATCCCTGCTTCTGATTCCCAGTGCAATATCCAATCCATTCCTCTAATTCCCATGTTAATAAAAGATTTTAAAAAGTAGGTCAATGGACTACTAAGGCAAAATAAGATGATTTAAGTAGGTCAATGGACTACTAGGGCAAAATAAGATGATTTAAAATAGGTCAATGGACTACTAGGGCAAAATAAGATGATTCATTATGAAGAAAGTTGCAGAACTGCAATTGAAAACACTAGCAGAAGAAGCTATTACATCATGACATTTTTTATCACTGCCAACATTCCATTTTGTTGGTGGCTACCATTACATACCAATCAGTTGGTGGCAACCATAACATTCCATTTTGTTGGTGGCTACCATTACATACCAATCAGTTGGTGGCAACAATAACATTCCATTTAGTTGGTTGATACCATTACATTCCAAAGGATAATTGCTCATTTGATTCCAGATAGTATCCAGGAAAACTAATCCAAGCATCAAAGTTAGCAAATTGCCTAGAAACCCAATGTGTCTTTTAGCAGCAATTGACTGAAAACTGATTTTTTTTCTGTCAACATAAATAATACATACTCCTGAACAGCATATGCGACAGATGCCACAACTATATCATCAAACAGCCCCCAACCCTCTTTGCCCAATTCTATCGACATAACCACAGACCACATTTGGCTATTAGCCCACAATCAGATTCATTCATTAGCCCCCAATCAGATTCATGCACACTTTCATTTTGTTTAGAACAGCCATAGATTTGATCTTAGTGTGCCCCATGTTAAACTATTTTTAGAATGATTTTCACATCCCCTTAATTCATAAAATAAGATAAATCGTAGCGCAAAATGAATATTTTATTTTTGAACAGGTGTCTCTTTGGGAATGATCCTTACAGTCAAAGTCAACTGATGGGCAAATATCTACAAACATGTGTATCCCATTTGTTATGGAGAAAAACATGAAACGCTATGATTTTGATTCCTCTTTCCAATTTTAATGAAACAAACTTCAATTAATTTACACGTCATGACTCTTAAATTGGGCAAAAAAAGGCTCTGGCTCTTGGCTCCCAGAATCATGCACAAGTTAGCTTCCTAATTTAGCCTGAATGGCTCTGACCATCATGGACCTATGAGTTCACACACAAGTTGTATCTGACCATTAGGGACCTAATCTACTAACACACAAGTTGTATCTGACCATCAGAGACCAATCAGTTCACACACACGTTGTATCTGACCATCAGGGACCTTATCAACTAACACACAAGTTGTATCTTACCACCAGAGACCTATCAACTAACACACAAGTTGTATCTGACCATCAGGGACCTATCAACTCACACACAAGTTGTATCTGACCATCAGGGATCAATCAGTTAACACACACGTTGTATCTGACCATCAGAGACCAATCAGTTCACACACACGTTGTATCTGACCATCAGAAACCAATCAGTTCACACACATGTTGTATCTGACCATCAGAGACCAATCAGTTCACACACAAGTTGTATCTGACCATCAGAGACCAACCGGTTCACACACACGTTGTATCTGACCATCAGAGCTCTATAACACATACATCAAACTGACATTGCTTGAATTGAATCACATTTTAAAACCTTAAAAGCTATCGCTGTGAAACACTTGAGAGTATCATAATGTAACACCTGAATTGATCACTATTTAAAACCTGAACGAATTGTTATTAGTAAACATATGAATTATCACTTTAAACACCTCAAGGTATCACTATTTAATATCTGAACTTTTAATACCATTATGAGGAATGTGAATAGAAGATTGAATTCAAATTGCCACATATGAAACAAACAAAAAAAAAATTACAAAGATTTTGAAGAGTAAAAAAAAAAATACCACGAAGGCTTGGTTAGCGAAACAAAACGAAATAAATTGTTTCCTTCCAATTTCCATTGTTATTTTGTTTCTATGGCATCCATTTAAAACAATTTTCTTTGTTATATGAATAAAACTACACAATAGTTGAAGCATATGACATAGATGACATATTCTATAAGGGAGACCTTCTATGAGAGAGTCAAGAACAGAACTAATGCTGATGTGCTACACATATGAAACAGACACATCACTCATACTTCACTACCACAATCATCAACTTGTACATACTTCACTTTGACAATCATCAACTTGTACATACTTCACTACCACAATTATCAACTTGTACAAACTTCACTATCACAATCATCAAAAAATTGTACATACTTCACTACCACAATCATCAACTTGTACATACTTCACTACCACAATCATTAACTTGTACATACTTCACTACCACAATCATCAACTTGTACATACCTCATTACTACAATCATCAACTTGTACATACTTCACTACCACATTCATCAACTTGTACATACTTCACTACCACAATCATCAACTCGTACATAGTTCCTTATCATGACAAGTTAACCTTGTGTTTGTCATAATGTTACAAAAACAACTTATTTCACATGTAGGCCACCAGCACACCAGCAGTTTGACATTTTTGCTACTAAAATATATTGATTTATATAAACTGTCAGTTTAAAAATGATTTCAGTTGAAAATGTTCAGTTGAAAATATTCACTTGAAAATGTTCAGTTGAAAATGTTCAGGTGAAAATGTTCAGTTGAAAATGTTCAGTTGAAAATGTTCAGTTGAAAATGTTCAGTTGAAAATGTTCAGTTGAAAATGTTCAGTTGCTAAATTCTACAGTAACACTGACAACAATCAGCTTCAATGTTTCTGAATAAAACTGACAAATTTAAGACATAACTGTATCATGAAAAATGATGCGTATGAGGACGAGGGGGATGAGGAATGAGCATGAGGAATGGTTGTAGCTTAACTTCACATAATCTTCTAATACAGTGGTTCTCAACCCATTGGGACACAGAACTTTACAAGAATTATGTCTTACAATGGCGGATCGTAGCTTGATGAGGTTCATTTCAAAAAAAAAAAAGCCTGCATCTGCCTATCTTTATGTAGAGCTTTCAAATACAATTGTTTGGAGTTTTGAACAAGAATTTTTAAAAATTCTGTATGGGGGAACTTCATACATATTACATTACAGATACAAATAGTACTTCTGCTCAATTTTAAAATCTGAATCTCCTTCTTGTATTCCCCCCGTGATTAGCCGGCGATATGTTGAGAACCACTGGTCTGCAAGTTACAAGTATAGACAAAAAATGTTTCCATCCACATCAAAATGTACTGACATGCAAGGCTTATTCTGCAGAGATGAAAGGGGCACATCTTGATGCAAGTAGAATAAATAAGATGATAAGAATAGCAAGGCTGAAGAAAACTGAATTATACTTAGGCAAAAACTTCAACTGTACAAAAAATAATTGCTTCAAGAATTGTGGCATTAAATGTACAGAAGTTTCTTATTAAATGTACATAATTCAAGGTAGAGAAAAGCTGAATAAAGGAAATTATGTTTCCATACAAATTCACCATAATCAATACAAATATGGTATCACCAGCCAGTGAATATACAACATAATAAACTAACTCATAAATACTTGTGAAACTTTAGACTGAATATACTTATCAAATAGACCTCTTTAAGAGGTTAACATTTTTGGTGTGTGTTGGGAAAACTATTCATCTATTTATAGTAGACATTCTATTGTTTGTTTTTTAAGTACATAAAATATTGATTAAACTCATCAATGAATGAACATAGAATTTTTTCAAGAACCATATAATAAAAAATCTAAAAATATTATATGTCTCGATATCTTAAAATGACTATCTATTTCACTGAACTCTGTGTCCTGATACCTTAACATATTCTTATATTATAAAACCTATCTATTTCATTCTCAGTGACTTCATATGTTACCAAATCACTCTGACAACTCTGTGACCAGATCACTCGGACTACTCTGGCAAGCGCCACAATAAAAGCATTGCAATGTACAGCCTGGCAGCTAGATATCACAGGTCCATTACACGGTCATGCAAGAGAAAGACATTAAAATTCTAGAGGTATTACATGCTCTTACATCCAACAAAACATATGCTTTTTATGGGGTGGGCTTGTGGTGGGGGAGGTGGAGATCTACTCGTCAGAGACCAATGTGGTCATTGCCTAGTAGCCTGTAGGGAATTAAAAATAATGAAAATGACCTTTTTTTCATGCAGTGACCTTCCACAGGTCAGCAGTCATACAATGACTAAAAAGTATAAAGTCAAGATCATATAAAGGTCATAGATTTATACCATTTTAAAAATCCTAAGACACAAATATGAGTATCTTTGGCCAGGCTCCCTTGACTATCTATCAACAATTACAAAAAAGATCTCCATCCACATGTCACTGAACTGAATGACCCACCCCCACTCAGTAGTGACCGACTGACCCCCACTCACTAATGACCGACTGATCCCCACTCACTAGTGACCAACTGACCCCCACTCACTAGTGACCGACTGACCCCCCACTCACTAGTGACCAACTGACCCCCACTCACTAGTGACCGACTGACCCCCACTCACTAATGAAAGAGGTCAATGACGGAAGAAAATATCAGAAGATATTACAATAAGAAAGAGCACTTTAGCTAAGGACACATGACACCCATGTTAAGGACACATGACACCATGTTAAGGACACATGACCCCATGTAAGGTCTCGTTTTATCATGCAGCACCTTTGATGACTACAAACTGTTGCTATTGACAGTGGACATTGACTGTGTGATGGACATCACTGTTGACTACGTGATGGACCTCACACACACAGTTCTACACATTAGATCAGCTCGAGGGAAAAAAAAAGTTCTGTTCTTTTCAAAGAACAAAGTCGTGATGGTTGGCGTGGTGGTTGGCGTGGTGGTTGGCGTGGTGGTTGACGTGGTGGGTGTCGTGATGGTTGGCGTGGAGTTACTGTTTCCGTTTCAACTTTTCAGGGTTGTTAGAGGCCATGTTTGTAAAGTCTCGGAAAACATCTTGAAAAGTTTCATCACCTGCAACAAAAAATTAGAGAAGATAGAAAAATTGTATCATCTGTTGGCATAATTTAGAGAATACAGAAAGGTTTGTATAGTAGGACCACTAGCCATGAATTCACACTGAAATAAGAGAATATAGAAAGGTTTGTATAGTAGGACCACTAGCCATGAAGTCACACTGAAATAAGAGAATATAGAAAGGTTTGTATAGTAGGACCACTAGCCATGAAGTCACACTGAAATAAGAGAATACAGAAAGGTTTGTGTAGTAGGACCACTAGCCATGAACTCACACTGAAATAAGAGAATACAGAAAGGTTTGTATAGTAGGACCACTGGCCATGAACACACTGTAATAAGAGAATATCGAAAGGTTTGTATAGTAGGACCACTAGCCATGAAGTCACACTGAAATAAGAGAATATAGAAAGGTTTGTATAGTAGGACCACTACTCATTAAGCCTAAACTAAAATAAGAGAATACAGAAAGATTTGATGTACTAGCCATGGATCAAATTAATTCATAATGGTTTGTTCAGAGAAATATGAAAGCCATGTTGCTGTTATTCACCCTTCACATGCGAAGATGACCAAGGCTATATTCAACGGTAAGTACGCAGGTGGCCTGCCAGTTTTATTTCTGCTTGGAAAGTTTCCTCGCACATAGGATACAAATTTGTTTTGGTCCTAGTTGGATTTGAGTCCATTCTGATTTACCTGGCCATGCACTTGACAACACGTTACTTTCTTTCTTTATGATAAAATCTTGGAGCTATGGCATGTAATGACTTTAATGGCATGTAATGACATAATAATAATAATAATAAAGTTCATTTCAAAAACACGCTTCATCCCCAAAGGCTCGAAGCGCGGTACAAAGTCAACAAAAAATATCTATAATTCACCACATTTAAAACAAACGCAACACTACAAAAACTAATTACAAGCATACAATATCAAAGTCTTTCTAGCCATTTCAACCCGGAGCAACACAGCAACACATGGAAAAGAAGGTAGACAATCATCCCAGAAGGTATTTGCGAAATAGATGTGTCTTTAGATCGGTTTTAAAGGACTCCAGTGTCTGGTTGTTTCTAAGATCGACAGGAAGGGCGTTCCAAATTGTTGGACCAGCAAATGCGAAAGTGCGCTTTCCATAAGTCTCAAGGCAAACACGTGGTGTCGAGAGTCAAGCAAGCAAACAATCCCCAATCAACCCAAGACAGCAGATTGCTTTCCTCAGGAAATTGCAGCCATCCAAGAGTGCTGAAATTACACTACACCAGTCCACCCCCATATCCCCTCAGCCCATAATGAGGGACTTGTTAAGATCAAAGGCTGAGATACAACATACAACAACAACATACAACAACAAACCAACAAAGACAGACATAAAGACAGACATAAAGACAGACATAAAGACAGACATAAAGACAGACATAAAGACAGACATAAAGACAGACATAAAGACAGACATAAAGACAGACATAAAGACAGACATAACGACAGACATAAAGACAGACATAAAGACAGATAAAAATTACAAAGGAAATTTTGAAGGGATGAAACTAATTCACAAATCTGTTCTATTCAGCCATTTACACTCAATACACAGCACATGCTGTTCAAGAATTACCGAGTTTTTGACGTCAATAAAACAGTCAATAATGTGGTCAAAATATTGGACCATGACATGGGGAAATGTGTTTTTTTTAAAGTTTTTTTTCCACACCACTCCCTAAATAGTTCCCCTTCAAACAGCTTAATCGAAGTAATACTGAGAAGAAATGTGATCTGATACTATAGGAGTATGGTCCATACTAGTAATGCTGAGAAGAAATGTGACCTGATACTATAGGAGTATGGGCAATACAAGTATTGCTGAGAAGGAATATAACCTGATACTTTAGGAGTATGGGCACCTGCTAATAATAAAATTGTTGTCATTACATAAGACCTTCCTTTCTGTGAATAATTGAACACATCAAAATATCCCTAGTGAACAGTTTTCACAAGATTTGTATTACAATGAAATGTCACAGATGATAATATCATGAGCAAGAGACATATAGTGTAGAAGAATTGTATTACAATGAAATGTCACAGATGATATCATGAGCAAGAGACAGATAGTGTAGAAGAATTGTATTACAATGAAATGTCACAGATGATAATATCATGAGCAAGAGACAGATAGTGTAGAAGGATTGTATTACAATGAAATGTCACAGATGATAATATCATGAGAAAGAGGCAGATAGTGTAGAAGGATTGTATTACAATGAAATGTCACAGATGATAATATCATGAGTAAGAGGCAGATAGTGTAGAGAGAGTGAGAGATAAAGAGATAGAAAGAATGAGTGAGAGTAAGAGAGAGTGAGAAAAAGAGAGGGTGAGAAGAGAGGGAGAGACAGAGAGTGGGAGACAGCCAGAATGAGGGTGAGAGAGTAAGAGAATGAGAAAGTGATAGAAAGAGAGGGATAACGAGTGAGAGATAGAGAGAAAGTGAGAGAGAGAGTGCAACAGAGTGAGAGAGAGGGAGCGAGAGGAGAGTGAGAGAGAGAGTGTGACAGTGAGAGAGAGTGTGACAGTGAGAGAGAGTGTGACAGTGAGAGAGAGAGAAAGAGAGATTGGGGGAGAGAGAGAGAGCAAACGAGAGAGAAAGACATGAAATCATTTGAGGGGAATCATTCTGTTCTTGAAGACTGACCTAGTTTAATATTAAACAATTTTAAAAAAAAAATTCTATGAGGGGATACCAGAGTGAACTGAAATCAAACTTTGAACCACCATAATGTTTCCATTACTCTGTGAATGAATTATGCACGTGTTGTGTTCGTGTTGTGTTCGTAGAGTTCTAAAATGGCATTGAAACTTCTCAACAAAATGGATTAATTTTAGTGGAACTCATTTTACTTAATAGGACAGCAAGATGATTGGCACAGACGATAGAATAAATAAAATTTCAATAACTATCCAAGATCACATTGACCAGTGGTTGAACTATTACCCTGTTGTATGACAACAAAACAACTCAAATAACATGACACTATATATACAAAAATAACATGACGATATAGACTCAAACAACATGACAATATTTACAGAAATAACATGACAATATAGACACAAATAACATGACAATATTGACACAAATAACATGACAATATAGACACACATAATATGACAATATAGACACACATAATATGACAATATTTACACAAATAACATAATATGTAAATAAATAACTTGACAAATTAGACGCAAATAACACGGCAATATAGACACGAATAAAATGACAATATAGACAAAAATAACATGGCAATATTCACACAAATTACATGACAATACTTACACAAATTACATGACGCAATGAACTCACATGGACATTTTGTCAATGAACCCATATGGACATTGTGTCAATGAACCCATATGGACATTGTGTCAATGAAATCTTAATGGACACTCTAAGGGTGCCCACATGGACAGTTTGACACTAAAAGTAACAATAGATCTAATCAATAAATGTCATCAAAATACGACTCACCTGGATTCCCCAGGTAACCATCAGACTCTTTCATCTCATCATTTAACTTAGCCAACCTGAGTCTGAAACAGAAAACATGGATTTATCATGCAGCTGATGCCTTCATTGCCATCATTCACATGCCGACCACCATCATTCACATCATTACCACCACCATTAACATGACTACCACCATCATTCACATGACAAGAACCACCATTCACATGACTACCACCACCATTCACATGACTACCACCACCATTCACATGACAAGAACCACCATTCACATGACAAGAACCACCATTCACATGACTACCACAACCATTCACATGACAAGAACCACCATTCACATGACAAGAACCACCATTCACATGACAAGAACCACCATTCACATGACAAGAACCACCATTCACATGACTACCACCACCATTCACATGACTACCACCACCGTTCACATGACAAGAACCACCATTCACATGACTACCACCATCATTCACATGACTACCACCATCATTCACATGACTACCACCATCATTCACATCACTACCACCAGCATTCACATCACTACCACCATCATTCACATCACTACCACCATCATTCCCATCACTACCACCATCATTCACATCACTACCACCATCATTCACATCACTACCACCAGCATTCACATCACTGCCACCATCATTCACATCACTACCACCATCATTCCCATCACTACCACCATCATTCACATCTCTACCACCATCATTCACATCACTACCACCATCATTCACATCACTACCACCATCATTCACATCGCTACTACCATCATTCACATCGCTACTACCATCATTCACATCACTACAACCATGACTCACATCACTAAGACCATCATTTAATTGAAGTGTCCATAATTGATCATTTATATTATACTATTGGGCGGTTTCTGACCAACAGCAGAATTTGTTGTGACAGTGGGTGGATAAAATATTGCCCCCCCCCCTCCCCTGCAACCGTGTTGGGGGGGGGTGTAAGAGACGGACGATGACACTATCTTACCTATCTGAGATAACTATAGGAAATCTATTTATTTCAAAAGGGGGCAATTTTGTTTTTTGTATTTTCCAACAACAAAAAATGTATTGCAATACAAATCTATTTGACTGTTTTGTGTTAGATCTTGACCTCAGACTTATTAAATAATTTTGTACTGTGGCCAGCATTGGTTTTAAGTCAAACAAAAGATTTGAGAACATTTAAGTCCGGGTACAAAGAAAACAGAAGCCTGCCGCTTGTCAGATGATACAGCCGAGACAAAGTATGGCCAAAGTATGTAGTACAGGCCAGGCATTCATTATCATTTTACAAAATCATTGATTGGCGTAGACCAACTAACCAATTAATTTTTCAGTCACACTCAAAGGATGCATTGTGGGCACTCTGCCCCCCCCCCCCCCCCCCACCAGTAGTTCTACTGTATGTGGAATTATCCAAATTATTGTGCATAAAAAAATGAAAACAAATCTGTGGGGGCTGGCTGACTATACCAAGTAAATTGTTATGCAGTTCGTAGCAAACTTATGTGGTGTGCAAGGGTTGATTAACTTTTTTGTTGTTGGGTCACATTGTGAAGACAATGATTTCAACAATTTACAGTTTGGGGGAAAAAATGAATCCACCAAAAGTAGATAATGGTAAATGTCTTAAATTATGCGGCCTTGCTCCAGCTGTTGGGTGAGATGGCTTCAAAGTTAGTGCACAAACATATACACTCTCATGAGCACACACATACACGCTCTCATGATGACACACATACACACTCTCATGATCACACATATACACACTCTCATGATGACACACACAGCATAGAAGGAATGTGAGTGTGGCTGGAAGTGAGGCTCAGCTGGGTTGATTTAAGTGAGGGCTTCAAGTATGACAAGGTTCAAAGAAATACAATACATCAAGACACTTCATCAAGACACTACAGCAAGACACCACTTGAATTGTACACAACAATTTTTGGCTGAACTTCAGTTACCAGTGCAGCATGCCTTTGTACACAATTTTTGGCCAAATTTAATTGTCTAAAACATTTCTTTTTACACACATCGATACAGTAACCAATAAACCTGTCCAATATGTGGAAGTTCTAGGGTAAAGATCTGACGTGTTATGACCAATAAACATGTCCTATATGTGGAAGTTCTAGAGTGCAGATCTGATGTTTTATGACCAATAAACCTGTCCTTGATGTGGAAGTTCTAGAGTACAGATCTGATGTGTTATAACCAATAAACCTGTCCTATATTTGGAAGTTCTAGCACGTACAATGTCCACCAATGCCAGCTTGAACCAAACCGCCATGCCCCTACATGAAGACATGCTGTTGACCTATTACAGAGTGTTTGTGTATGGCTTCTACCCTCTCACTCTGACATTTGGACTTGCCGCTAACATATTTATCATGTTGACATTTTACACCATGGGTCTCACAGACGGCGTCACTGTCTCTCTTTTCATCAGGGCAATTTTCGATTTCAGTTACCTGCTTATCAGCTTTGAGATCACAATTTTTCTAATAATAGATCAATCACTGGACATTGTCCCGGGAATGTTCAAACTGATGGATATCGCCTACCTCAGCTTCTGGTACAGTCTCGTCTTCTTGGACACCTCCATGCTGATGACCGCCTACATGGCAGTGGTCAGAGCTTGCTGCGTTGCCATCCCGTTGAGGTTCAAGGCCATCTTTACAAGGTCAACCACAGTTAACACAAGTTTTGCCCTTTTTTTCACCATTGTAGCTTTCCGTTTGCCCATGTTGACAAGTCAGTATCTGACCCGGCAGAATGATGCCAGGACCAATCAAACCCTCTTGACCTTGTATTTCACACAGGGCAGACCGGCGGCTCTGGTTGTCAACGATATCATCAACCGTAACATCTTCACCTGGGCAGCAAATATCCTGACTCTCTCATCTTTGGCGATCCTCACTGCGACAATCATGTCTTCTGCTCGTTTCAGACAAGCTCATGTGGTCAGTCGGGCCAGGGAAATGCACACCGTCAGTCGGGCCAAGAAAACGACCACCAAAAACCTGGGTCCTAAAAGTCCAGACCACCAGCATATTGATCCAACCTCTTGGTCCCAAACAACGGATACAGCATCAGAGGCAACCTCTAACACAAGAGTTCCAATCCTAGCAGTTACCATTTCTCACAACAGTTATCATCTCCCCCAGCAGTTACCATCTCTCCCAGCAGTTACCATCTCTCCCCGGCTGACCAGCAGAGATTTGCAGTTGGTCAAGGTCGTGTCCGCCATATTCATAGCCACCAATTTCCCAGCATCCATTTCGGCAATGGTCAGGCGATTCGTTCCCGAGTACAACACCAATGGGCTGTATCGGGAGCTGTTTGAGGCCCTGGGCACCATATTCTCCCTGTTGGGCTATCTCAATGCAAGCGTTAACATATTGGTTTACTATAATTTCAACTCAAGGTTTTATTCAGCAGCTTCAAATTTATTGATCAGGCGCACAGTCAGAGGAAACTAGGAGCGATTAGGGGGGGGGGGGGGTGTGTGGGTGGAGGGGCAGCTGAGATCAGGATATAAAGTGATGTGTATTAGATTAGAGGATGATTATCGCACACAGCTTCAGGTCATACTTACAGTGTCACTATGTTGGGGGGGGGGGGGGGGGGGGGGGGGGGTGTGTGTGGGTGGAGGGGCAGCTGAGATCAGGATATAAAGTGATGTGTATTAGATTAGAGGATGATTATCGCACACAGCTTCAGGTCATACTTACAGTGTCACTATGTCAGCGTTGGCGTTCTCTACAGCAATCATCAGTGGTGTCTGTAAAAGAAGGATACAGGTATAGTTACAAAGGTACTCTCTTCTTCAAGTAAAGAATAAAGAGTAAACCCTTGCCCAGAGTAAAGCCTTGCCCAGAGTAAAGCCTTGCTCAGAGTGAACCCTTGCCCAGAGTAAAGCCTTGCCCAGAGTAAGGTCCAGAGATTATTATTATTATTATTTAGGCATTTTTGCATAGCGCTTACCCTACAGCTCTAAGCGCTTTACAATTATTAAAAATTTGTAAACTATTTAAACTGCTAAAGTAAAATAAAAATGAAAAACCAGAGACACGAGAATACTAAATACAATGTGAAAAATTACTATAAAAACAGTAGCTAAAACATTAAAATGGCTATAAAAACAAGTACACTTGGCACGTTTTGGCATATACTTAAATACAGGATCAACCCGAGACAGAAAATGAGGCAGGGCAAGGAGGGTGCATCACAGGTCATAGGCGGACCTAAACAGATGGGTTTTAAGGGACTTTTTGAAAGTGGACGAGGTTTCACAATGACGAATGTGGAAGGGGAGCTGGTTCCAGAACGTGGGCGAATGGAAGTAGAAGGAGCGTTCTCCGATGGTCTTAGTTTTAGTTCTTGGGATTGAGAGGGTTCTATTGTCAATTGAAGAGCGTAGTTGTCTTGTGGGGATGTAAGGAAGCAACAGTTCAGACAGATAGACAAAGAGACACCCCTTGTACCTCTTAGACCAATGGACTCTAGAACCTCAGGTTGACCTAAGCAGAATGTTGGTAATTGTGGGGAAAGGTTACCTTTCCTTGATTGTCTTTGGCATTTTGGTCAGCTCTCCTCTTTAAAAACTGGCAAACTTGACTGCAACAAAAATGGATATTGGAATGTCAGTGTTGGAGGCTTTGGGGATGAACACCAGACCTGTTTACCCTCAAACTCTTAAAATCGTACAATATCATCACAAAATCGTTCAAAACATTATCTTAATAGAAAAATAATTAACATGCAGTATGTATATGTTTACACCTTAAAATCATACATTGTATGCCAAAATCGTAAGATTAAAACAGGTCTGGAATACTGAAATTATTTTTATAAAATTTTTTTAAAGCATCATAAGAAATATGTGTTCTGAGTACATCTTAACATAAAACTTGAGACATGAAGTTAAGTGTTCATTTAATGCAATAAAAGAAATGACCATTATTAGAATATGTGGGGAATAAAACTATTATTGTTTGAGAAATCATTTTTTAATTGTTGTTAAATTAAATCTTCCAAAGACTTGTCACAATGCTGGTGAAAGGGAGTGTTATGTAGCACACATTCCCCGTGCGTGAACTTTGCTTGACCTAAATTAGATCCCTAGCAGACGGTAGTGTTTGTGTGGGTGTGGTTTAAATTCTCTTTGATGTATCTTGTTTACAACCACTGCCAATTACACATTGGGTAGTATGTCTCCTGGTATCTTGTCGAATCTTCTCGATAACCCAAGAAATGTAAACAACACGTCATAATTCTTTTTTGGAAGCGTCTTACGCTATATGTATATAAGGGATTGACAGATATGGAGAGACAGAGATTCAGATAGATTATGTATACATTTCACTTAGTACATACCCTGTGTCCCATTACACATATATCTTAGAACATACCCTGTGTCACAGTACACATATCACTTAGTACATACCCTGTGTGTGCCAGTACACATATCACTTAGCATGTACTCTGTGTGTGCAAATACACATATTACTTAGTACATACCCTGTATGCCCCAGTATTGTAGCATGGTGTAGAGGTGTTCTTCCATGTTTATCCTTACGGTCAAGTTTTGCATTGTTCAGCAACAGGAACTCACAGGCGGCCAGGGAACCCTTGACATGAGGAGAGAGTGAAATAACAACTAATGGAGACAACCATACTTCAACTGCCAACATTCTTACTACTACAGCTACAACATTTTCACTACACCCAACATTCTCACTTCTACCATGATACTCACTAATGCCATCATTCTCATTACTACCAACATTCTCACCACTACCAAAATTTGCACTACGATTAACATTCTCACTTCTGCCATCATACCAATGCCAACATTCTCACCAATGCCAACATTCTCACCAATGCCAACATTCTCACCAATGCCAACATTCTCACCACTACCAACATTTGACCTACTAACATTTTCACGTCTGCCATCATACCAATGCCAACATTCTCACCAATGCCAACATTCTCACCAATGCCAACATTCTCCCCAATGCCATCATTCTTGCTAATTGCTGGAAAATATATCCATGGAAACAAATTCATAAAATTAATTATAGTTTAAGCTTCTACTTGATGGATACGTGGCCAAGTCTCGGTGATCTCTTGATATAATTAAACATCAACCTGGTGTAGATCCCTCCCCCCCACCCGTCCCCTGGCCTTAAACCCATAATAAATACATTTGATCACAAACATCATTCTGATATTTCCCCACCCATCCCGTCACTTACCGTCTGCACGGCCCTCATGATGGGTGTTTTCCCATCCTCCTCCAGGTTGACCCAGTTGGGATCGGCCTTGTTGGACAGAGCCTCCAGCATGACGGGCAGATTCCGAGCCCCGCTGGCCTTGTAGAGCAGCAGGTTGGGGTCCAGTCTGCTCATGTCTTCCCAAGAAGTGGTGAAGCGATCTCCGTCCGTACTACTGCCGGCACCACTCGGACCGGTCGAGTCATCATCCACATCGTGTGAGGATTCATCAGAGCTTTCAAGGTCAAGGCCTGCAAACAACAACAAAAAAAAAAAAATATCAGCCAAGTTTTCCATGGCCAGATTGTGATTTTGTATGATTGATCAATACAATACGTCATTGACAGGTTGAGAAAACAATACGTCATTGACAGGTTGAGAAAGCAAATATGTCAATGATAGGATGAGAAAACAATGACAAAAACTTCCTTGGCCATCAGGCCCTCTAAATCTATGCCTTTTTTATTATTCTTGGCCATCAGGCCATCTAAATCTAGGCTTATTTTACTATTATTGGCCATGACGCCATGTAAATCTATGCTTATTTGACTATTCTTGGCCTTTAGGTCATCTAAATCTATCCTTTTTTAAAAAAACTATTTTTGGCCATTAGGCCCTCTAAATCTATGCTTATTTGACTATTCTTGGCCATCCGACCATCTAAATCTATGCTTATTTGACTATTCTTGGCCATCAGGCCATCTAAATCTATGCCTATTTGACTCTTGTAATCTCATTGTGAGCTTAAGTAAATACATTGCATCTAGCTCTGAAATAAATGGTATAACATTAAATACACTTTCCTAAGAAACAGAAGTTGTGGGATAAACATATCCTAAGTTGTTTGCATAAATTAATTTCATTCTAAAATATTTACATCCAGATTCTATACAAGACTTTTAGTCCATGCATTATGGTGGTAGACCGTCAATTTCATTTGTTCTTTTTTATATATAAATTTCTTTATTTTAATTTTGAAAGGAGAAAATGCAATTATTAAGTAGCTTGTCTCATTGTGGACTCACTGTCATTTTCTTTGAAAAAATTAAATAAGTATGGACCTGTCCAAAATTGATCTTTTGAGCAATTTAAACAGTTCATGTGGTATTCTTTCAGAATCTTTTCTTATGTTCTGTCTGAACAGTTCTGGTATTATTTAGCAGTCTATCCTTGTTCTTATCTAGCATTCCCTACTGCAGTTATTCCATCAATCTAAACATTTTAATTTTGTTACGTTAAGTCCTTTCTTATGATCCAAAATTAGGAGGGATGAACGTCAGTGCTATTGGAGTCATACCTCAAGGTGCTATGCTGTGAATTAACGGGGGTGCTTTAAGAAAAGATTTGAGAATGGTTTTACAGGAATAAAACACTAATCCAAAATATTTGATTAGATATGGTCATTGCTTAGACTTAGAGTATGTATTCATTACTGGTACCTGAGAGTTTTTTTTTAAAAATATCGTTAAAATTTTTTAAAAGAAATACTATCTTATTTTATACTGTATGAAGCCATTTTAAAAACAATATGTAAATAAGAAATAATCTATTTATAGTCCCATTAAAGCTTTCCAAACAAATTTTAATTTAGATGAACTTTAAACATTTTATATCTAGTCTAAAATGATAATACCAAAATTAATCTGTTCAACTTGTTATATCAAACTGGTTCTGTCCAAATGGTTCAATCCAAATGGATCTATCCAACTGATTCTTTTAACTGTTTTTTTTTCCTTATCAATCTAGTTTAACTTATTATGAGTATATGTCATCTTTAACACATCATCTTTAACATGTCATCTTTAACATGTCTTGTCTTTGTTATTCAATTCATCTTAACCTCCTAAAATGATCAACTCATTCTGCTAAAATGATCAACTTATCCTGCTAAAATGATCAACTTATCCTGCTAAAATGATCAACTTATCCTGCTAAAATGATCAACTTATCCTGCTAAAATTATGAACTTATCCTGCTAAAATGATCAACTTATCCTGCTAAAATGATCAACTCATTCTGCTAAAATGATCAACTCATTCTGCTAAAATGATCAACTTATCCTGCTAAAATGATCAACTTATCCTGCTAAAATGGTCAACTTATCCTACTAAAATGATCAACTTATTTTTCTAAAATGATCAACTTATTCTGTTATAATGATCAACCTATCCTGCTAAAATGATCAACTTATCTTGCTAATATGATCAACTCATCCTGCTAAAATGATCAACTTATCCTGCTAAAATGATCAACTTATCCTGCTAAAATGATCAACTTATCCTGCTAAAATGATCAACTTATCCTGCTAAAATGATCAACTTATCCTGCTAAAATGATCAACTTATCCTGCTAAAATGATCAACTTATCCTGCTAAAATGATCAACTTATCCTGCTAAAATGATCAACTTATCCTGCTAAAATGATCAACTTATCCTTACTCTTGTTGAGCCCAGCCACAAATGGAGGCGGGTTCTCATCCCCGAACACAATATCACCGGAGGTGGTGCTGTCACTCTCCACCTCACTGCTGTCACGATACTTCGGGTTAGACACTGACAAAACAGCTGACAAAACCAGGCGGGTTGCGATCAGAGGGGTTGCAGCAGAAAAGAAGGTGAATGGAGAGGGGGTCAAGACAAAAGGAACATGTTAGTTTTGACCAAACAACAGAAAAGGGGGGGGGGGGCAGGGGGTACGTATCAAAATAATACAAGGCTTGGACATTTGTAAAATATAAATAAACCTTACGCAGTGTAAGCTGACGCAGACCATAGCCAATAAAGAAATGGTTAGTAGAAACTACAGGCCATAGGGAAATGGTTAATATAGATTGTAAGAAATAGAGACTATGGTTAATAGCGACTGTAGGAAATAGAGACTATGGTTAATAGAGACCGTAGGAAATAGAGACTGTGGTTAATAGCGACTGTAGGAAATAGAGACTATGGTTAATAGAGACCACAGGCAATGGAGAAATGGTTAATAGACTGTAGGAAATAGAGACTATGGTTAATAGCGACTGTAGGAAATAGAGACTATGGTTAATAGCGACTGTAGGAAATAGAGACTATGGTTAATAGAGAACATAGGAAATAGAGACTGTGGTTAATAGCGACTGTAGGAAATAGAGACTATGGTTAATAGAGACTGTAGGAAATAGAGACTATGGTTAATAGAGACTGTAGGAAATAGAGACTATGGTTAATAGAGACCATAGGAAATAGAGACTATGGTTAATAGAGACCATAGGAAATAGAGACTATGGTTAATAGAGACCATAGGAAATAGAGACTATGGTTAATAGAGACTGTAGGAAATAGAGACTACGGTTAATAGAGACCATAGGAAATAGACACTATGATTAATAGAGACCATAGGAAATAGAGACTATGGTTAATAAAGACCATAGGAAATAGAGACTATGGTTAATAGAGACTGTAGGAAATAGAGACTACGGTTAATAGAGACCATAGGAAATAGACACTATGATTAATAGACCATAGAAATAGAGACTATGGTTAATAAAGACCATAGGAAATAGAGAAATGGTTAATAGAGACTGTAGGAAATAGAGAAATGGTTAAAAAAGACCATAGGAAATAGAGAAATGGTTAATAGAGACTGTAGGAAATAGAGAAATGGTTAAAAAAGACCATAGGAAATAGAGAAATGGTTAATAGAGACCATAGCAAATACAGATTCCAGAGATTAAGAGGGTAACCTAAGCAAGAATGACAAGCGAAACAAATAATAATAAATTATAATAAATAGCTGATATACAGGAAATAATGGGGAGCAAAACCATCTACACAAAAGAAGCTGATAAACAAAACCATCTACACAAAAGAAGCTGATAAACAAAACAATCTACACAAAAGAAGCTGATAAACAAAACCATCTACACAAAAGAAGCTGATAAACTAAACAATCTACACAAAAGAAGCTGATAAACAAAACAATCTACACAAAAGAAGCTGATAAATAAAACAATCTACACAAAAGAAGCTGATAAACAAAACAATCTACACAAAAGAAGCTGATAAACAAAACAATCTACACAAAAGAAGCTGATAAACAAAACAATCTACACAAAAGAAGCTGATAAAACAATCTACACAAAAGAAGCTGATAAATAAAACAATCTACACAAAAGAAGCTGATAAACAAAACAATCTACACAAAAGAAGCTGATAAACAAAACAATCTACTCAAAAGAAGCTGATAAATAAAAGATGATAAATTAAATTAAAATTGGCCAACAAGGCAGGTAATAAAAGGTGTGAATACCGTTGTCATCCTTTTGTTTGTAGAGGGTTAAGTTGGGCTGAGTTTATTATTGACAATGAACTATTTGTATGCATTAAAATGTTAGCATTGTGCATGCTAGCTCAGAGGAACATAAAAATAAAATGAACTCTATTGTGACGATGGTGCCCTGGAAAAGTTCTCTGGAAAATTTCATCAATTAAAAAAAGAAATCTCTACGACAAAGAAACCAGTTCCATTGTGTGTATTTAAAGATTTATTTTCATCTATTGAGACAGGATCACATGTGCCTTCTCTGAAATGTTTTATCATATCTGTGTGGCTGAGATTTAATTTTCTTACTTCCTTTCAGATGGTCAAAATAACATGGAGAAAATATTGGCCTGAATGTATCAACCAGCAATAAGCAACACTAAAGCATTATAAGCAGTTTAAAACACAATGGGTATTCAATACTAGGCTGTGCAATGTCACATGGGAGATCGTTAACCCTTACAGCATCGGACGTGTCTTTTTGCAGTGACCTACTTTTTTCCCTGTGACCCAAGCACGTCTTTTCTCACCAGCCGATTTTTTCCCCTGTGGCCCAAGCACGTCTCTTTGCCCCACAGAGCGGTATCTAATCTAAGTCTCTTTGCCCCACAGAGCGGTATCTAATCTAAGTCTATTTGCCCCACAGAGCGGTATCTAATCTAAGTCTATTTGCCCCACAGAGCTGTATCTAATCTAAGTCTATTTGCCCCACAGAGCGGTATCTAATCTAAGTCTCTTTGCCCCACAGAGCGGTATCTAATCTAAGTCTCTTTGCCCCACAGAGCGGTATCTAATCTAATTCTCTTTGCCCCACAAAGCGGTATCTAATCTAAGTCTGTTTGCCCCACAGAGCCGTATCTAATCTAAACACAAAAACAAGGAAATAACCTTTCACGCCAGTCTCGGGCAGAATGTTTATTTGTTAGGGGAATAGTAGAATTTTATTTTGCCTTATAAATTATGAAAATCGTCCAATTACTGAGTTTGTTGTGCTGATCTGTATTAGTTGCTTCCAAAATAGCGCCAGCTAGCGCTATTGTTGATGACGACCTACGCGCACTTGATGAAACCTTTTGTTCTGAAACTATTATTGAGCTTTTATTGGGATTAGATTATTCTGATGTGGAAGAGGGGGATGAAATTGTTGAAGGAAGTGGGCCCAGGCCTACTATAGCTCAAGAAAGTGGGCCTACTTTAGCTCAAGGAAGTGGGCCTACTTTAGCTCAAAATTTACACCTACAGGTTTTAGACCTAGTGCCAACCTAGATATTGATTCAGATGAAGATGGACTGGAGTAAAAGCGGCTTGGCTCTGTGCTGACCACATAAATCGCTAGTGTGCCATTGCCAATGAAAATTGTGAATAAAAAAACCCATTAGTGATTTGAACACCCTGACCCATTTCTGAACAGATAATTCTCTACATGTTACAATCAATTCTTTAAAACACAAAAGTTACAAAATAATTTGCAAACCTATCAAATTTTGGCTCATTCCAAAATAATGTCTGAGCCACAGGGAGTGCTTAGCAAAATAATAGCCGGTACTGATGCTATACATAGAAAAAAATTAGGTCAGTACAAGAAGGTTTTAAGATACTCTTTTCACTTAAGCACAAAGACTCAAAAAACCAACAGAAATGGGAAAATAAATGTTAAAAAATAAGATTAAACCAATGTTGGGTCTAAGACAAATGGCACAGAAAGCAAAAAGCGGCTAAAAACCTCCACGCGCCCCAATGTCTCCACCTTCCATAAGTCCAGAGGTCAGATCGGGGTCAGAGTGCGACAGGGAGTCTCCACCTTTGGAACCGAGCGAGTCCTTCAGGCTGGACTCTGTGTAGGAGCTCTTGATGAGGGAGCGAGCGGGAGACCGCCTCGTCTTCTTACGAACACTCCACTTCCGTGCCATGTTGGACTTATTGACACCTGGAAGTGGCTTGATGAAAGCTTTTTGGACGTACTTTGCCCTGATCCAGTTCTCTCTCACGCTCCTGGGGAGGGGAGGGGGCAATAGTCAGATGTTAAATAAGGCAGTCATATATTTGTTTGACATTCATCTATTTTTTAACTTGGTCTTTACTTTATCCTTAATCTTCTTACTTATCCTCAAACTACATAATCCTCTTCTCCTCTAACAATATAGCCTTATCCTCAACTGAACTACGTAATCATCTTCACCTCTAACAATATAGCCTTATCCTCACCCGGCCTACATAATCATCTTCTCCTCTAACACTATAGTCTTATCCTCACTTGGCCCACATAATCCTCTTCTCCTCTAACAATATAGCCTTATCTTCAACTGAACTACGTAATCATCTTCACCTCTAACAATATAGCCTTATCCTCACTTGGCCCACATAATCCTCTTCTCCTCTAACACTATAGTCTTATCCTCACTTGGCCCACATAATCCTCTTCTCCTCTAACACTATAGTCTTATCCTCACTTGGCCCACATAATCATCTTCTCCTTTGGGCCCCACTATCCCGATCATTAAATGTTCTGACATAAGCTTATCCCTCCCTGGTCCTATATTCCCATCTAGTCCTACTTATTGGAATCTGGCTGGCCATCCCTCCCTGATCCTATATTCCCATCTAGTCCTACTTATTGGAATCTGGCTGGCCATCCCTCCCTGATCCTATATTCCCATCTAGTCCTACTTATTGGAATCTGGCTGATCACCCCTGCCTGGTCCTATATTCCCATCTAGTCCTACCTATTGGAATCTGGCTGGCCATCCCTCCCTGATCCTATATTCCCATCTAGTCCTACTTATTGGAATCTGGCTGGCCATCCCTCCCTGATCCTATATTCCCATCTAGTCCTACTTATTGGAATCTGGCTGATCACCCCTGCCTGGTCCTATATTCCCATCTAGTCCTACCTATTGGAATCTGGCTGGCCATCCCTCCCTGATCCTATATTCCCATCTAGTCCTACTTATTGGAATCTGGCTGGCCATCCCTCCCTGATCCTATATTCCCATCTAGTCCTACTTATTGGAATCTGGCTGGCCATCCCTCCCTGATCCTATATTCCCATCTAGTCCTACTTATTGGAATCTGGCTGATCACCCCTGCCTGGTCCTATATTCCCATCTAGTCCTACCTATTGGAATCTGGCTGATCACCCCTGCCTGGTCCTATATTCCCATCTAGTCCTACCTATTGGAGTCTGGCTGAGCTCTCACAGCTATCGTCTCGTCCACATCCGCCTCATAGCAACGGTTGATCACATTGTTACCCAGTTCTAACATGACTTTCAAATGTTCTGGCTCCCAGGTATCCAAGGTGATAGAACGTACCTGCAATACATTTTAAGAACAGAGCTTTAATTCCATGAGAAATAATTTGAAAGATTTAATAACGTGTTTGAGCTTATTTCAAATAATTCTTTATAAGCAGGTACTAAATTGAGATAATTTATTCATTTAATGGATGTTTAAAAAATTAGGGGTCCTTGGACATTAGAAACGCCAGGAAGTGGTTCATCTATAACAGAAGTTGGCAAACTCCGGCAGATACGTGCTACGTTACATTCCAGATCGGCCTTACGCCAACCTCATTTTTTATTGTTCCATCGGGCCCAATGGAAATGTTACAGTTTTCTTCCTCTTCAACTCAAGCTGTGGCTCGTGTTTATTTTTAGAACTGATGAAACAGAAGTGCCTGACCGGGGAGGGATGATGAATGTTGTGTTGTAAACAAGTTCACTCTCTTGTCTCCGATTCATTCACCTCTCGCCGGGGTCAGGGCATGTGTTTTGCACATGTTTGTGTACTGTGATGTGTGAAGCAATTCCAAGAATGTAGAATGGGAGCGTAGATTCTCATCCCATTAGAGCACTCACAATTTTATTTCATGGTTTTATAACTGGCATCGTGTTCTCTCGCAGCAACAACAATGACTATGTCTAAAGAGTAGAAGCAACGGGCAGCTACAAGTCTTGACAGCAACAACAATGACTATGTCTAAAGAGTGGAAGCAACGGAAAGTTACAAGTCTTAGGAAGGTTGACCTTGAATGTCATGTCTTCAAACCTGAAAGGACTGACCAATTATTCTTCACCCAAAGTTGCAACAAAGCCTTGTGCTCACTAACGATGACCTTAATGACATTCTGGAGCTGAACACATTATTAGAACCTGATGTTGTATCTGTCTCTAAGAACATGCAACATCATATTTCCCAGCAATGTTGCCATATTAATGAATAAAACAACCTTGGCTTGGACACCTTGTATTTTCTGACCCGGTGTGCCATCTTGACGCCATCAAATGACCTAGTGTGCCATCTTGACCCCCTCAAATGACCTAGTGTGCCATCTGGATACCCTCAAATGACCTAGTGTGTCTTCTTGACCCCCTCAAATGACCCAATGTTCCTTCTTGCCAACATGAATTGGCCTAGTTTGCCTTCTTCACCCACTCAAATGGCCTAGTGTGTTTTCTTGAACCTGTCAAATGGCCTAGTGTATCTTCTTGAACCCCTCAAAAAATGACCTAGTGTATCTTCTTGACCCCCTCAAATGACCCAATGTTCCTTCTTGCCAACATGAATTGGCCTAGTTTGCCTTCTTCACCCACTCAAATGGCCTAGTGTATCTTCTTGAACCCCTCAAAAAATGACCTAGTGTATCTTCTTGACACCCTCAAATGACCTAGTGTGTCTTCTTGACCCCCTCAAATGACCTAGTGTGTCTTCTTGAACCTGTCAAATGGCCTAGTGTGTCTTCTTGACCCCATGAAAGGGCATAGTGTGCCTTCTTGACACACTCAAATGACCTAGTGTCTTTTTGACCCCCTAAAATGGCTTAGTTTGTCTTCTTGACCCTCTCAAATCATCAAATGACATAGGGTGTCTTCTTGACCCACTCAAATGACCTAGTGTGTCTTCTTGAACCCACCAAATGGCCTAGTGTATCTTCTTGACCCCCTCAAATCACCTTATGTGTCTTCTTGACCCCCTCAAATGACCTAGTGTGTCTTCTTGACCCCCTCAAATGACCTAATGTCTTCTTGACCCCCCTCAAATGACCTAGTGTGTCTTCTTGACCCCCTCAAATGACCTAGTGTGTCTTCTGGAACGCGTCAAATGGCCTAGTGTGTCTTCTTGACCCCATGAAATGGCATAGTGTGCCTTCTTGACCCACTCAAATGACTTAGTGTGTCTTTTTGACCCCCTCAAAGGGTCTAGTTTGTCTTCTTGACCCCCTCAAATGACCTAGTGTGCCTTCTTGAGCCACTCAAATGACCTAGTGTGTCTTCTTGAACCCATCAAATGGCCAAGTGTATCTTCTTGACCCCCTCAAATGACCTAGTGTGTCTTCTTGAACCCATCAAATGACCTAATGTGTCTTCTTGACCCCCTCAAATGACCTAGTGTGTCTTCTTGACCCCCTCAAATGGCCTAATGTGTCTTATTGACCCCCTCATTTGAGCTAGTGTGCCTTCTTGAGCCACTTAAATGACCTAGTGTGTCTTCTTGATCCACTTAAAAGGTCTAGTGTGTCTTCTTGACCCCCCTGAAATGACCTTATGTGCCTTCTTGACCAAATGAAATGACCTAGCAGTCCGAACAGTTTGCCTATCTCCAGATAGGAAGATGATTTGACTGAGAATATTATTTGAGAGTGTTTTGAAACATATATTTGTAATCACACCATATACACTTCACACACATGAAACTGGTGTGTAAGATTGTTGTAATCATACTGGTAACTGTAATTTACATGTTGAATTCAATACATGAGGGCCAAAAATTACCTTTGACATATGCACGCCAAAGCCACGATGTATTCCTGAGCATTCTATGCATAGAGTTATACCGAGGTTAATGCTGGCCCACCGAGGCTCCGGAGCTCCACAGTCGCAGCAATGGGAATTCCCTGGGATAACCAGGAGCTGCTCCATGCGGCTAGAGAAACAGAAGAGAGAATTAGTTAAGAGGTGTGTTATACATTAGATTAGAGGTGTGTTACAAATTGGTTAGAAGAGTGTTACAAATTAGTTTAGAAGTGTATTATAATTAGTTTAGAAGTGTGTTACAAATTAGTGTTTTCTTGAGTATTCCTGTACAGAAATAAACAAGTAAATAATAACCATAGGTTTATGAACATCCAGATATATTATTTCTAATGGTAACTAAGGTCCACAAACCAGTGCCTTAAGACAGGGCAAAGTTCAATGTATCAGCAATTTGAGACAGGACAGACATCTATTGACCAATGCCCTGCCCTAAGATAGGACATGGTTCAACTGACCACTGCCTCAAGATAGGACATGATTCAACTTACCACTGCCCTAAGATAGGACATGATTTAACTGACCAGTGCCCTGAGATAGGACATGGTTCAACTTACCACTGCCCTAAGATAGGAAACGATTCAACAGATCACTGCCCTAAGATAGGACACAGTTCAACTGACCAGTGCCCTAAGATAGGACATGGTTCAAATGACCACTCTCCTGAGATAGGACATGGTTCAACTGACCAGTGCCCTAAGATAGGACACGGTTCAAATGACCAGTGCCCTGAGATAGGACATGGTTCAACTGACCAGTGCCCTAAGATAGGACACGGTTCAACTGACCAGTGCCCTGAGGTAGGATGAATGCATTGTGTCAAGGTTTGGAGTCATCAAGAAGTATGGTATTGCCATGGTGGCAAAGGGGAGGGGAGGTGTTACTAAAAGCTCATCTCACCATGAGAGACATGAGAAATACAGGTGAGCTGAGGATAAATTCAAGCCATGCTGGGAGGGAAAGGATAGAAATACAGTGTGGGAGGAGGTGTGAGTCAAGTAGTGCAGTCTTAGTTGGTCTTGTCCTTTGAGCATTAGTTCAGTCTTAGTTGAGAGTTGGTTGGTATTTTCCTTTGAACTTTATTCTTTGTTTTTTAGATATGACATTTTTTTAAAAACCAGCTGGATCTTTTGGCTGTGTCTGATTGTGTTCAACAAATTTCAATGGCCAATGAGATCGCTCCTGCACTAACAATCCTCTTCCAATCGTGGCTATTCACAGGAAACTGACTGGAGAACAGTGTATGTCACTCCAATCTACAAAAAAAGGAGAGCATTACGACCCAGCCAATTACCGCCCTGTATCCCTCACCAGCGCAGTATGTAAACTATTGGAGCACATAATCGTAAGCGTGGTCAGGAATCCTCCTTTGTCAGTGTTAAGGCAGGGGTCCCCTTGGGCTCAGTGCTAGGCCCTTGTTTATATCAATGATCTGCCCGAGAAACTGAACTCTCAAGCAAGACTGTTCGCAGACACACAGTGTGTGCAACCGGGCAAACAAGACCCGGTTCCTAAGGTGCAATCTGAAGATCGGCAACTCAAGCGTGAAAGAAAAAGCCTATATAGCCTTTGTCCGGCCTATTTTAGAATACCTCTTCTACAGACTGGGACCCATTTACCCAGAAAAGCATCGACAGGTTGGAGGCGGTCCAGCGACGGGCATGTTTTGTCCTAAACCACTACAGAAACACCTCAAGTGTTAGCAGCATGCTAAAAACACTGGGCTGGTCAATATTGGCTCACCATGTTGTACAAGATAAAAAATGGGCTGGTCCACTGCTCCAGAATCAAACAGAAACTCGTTCATCTTCCCCCTAGACAGCGACAAGGCCACGACAGACAGTTCCGGCTGGTAAAAAACAAGAACAAAGTACAGGAGCTCCTCATTCCTACCGAAGAGAATAGGGGACTGGAACAAGCTTCCAAAAGCAACAGTTGAGGCGCCTACACTCGACACATTTGTGTCTATTGCCTCCTGTATTCCAACCCCCAGTTCGTAACACCACTGCTGAGTAGCCCTTGCAACCAGTGAAGTATCCCCTTGAAACCCATGCACAGTAACATCACAAACCCCTCTGAAACATAGGAGCCAGAATGATCAATTAATTGATCCTGGGCCCTCCAAATTTAGAAAAAGAAGAAGATTCCTTGTGTAGCATAGGATAGAACATGTTCCTAGTGTAATAGTGTGGCGTAGGATAGAATATATACTGATTGAAGTAGAATATGTAGACAAATAAATGATTACATATCTTTGAACCCAAGTGTGTTGACTTATGTCAATCATCCTACATGTTCGACTTTGACATCCTACATCCCAGCATTCGCCAGTGTCATTAAATACGATATATATACAACTTATCGACTTATCAGTGGCCCATTGTTACAATGTAAATTGCTTACACTCTGGCTTTGTTCTGTTTAGGTTCTGCTGGAGGTGGCCCAGCGTTAGTGGAGTCCTTAGAGGAGCTGCTGGAACTTCTTTTGCTCTCCTGGACAAATTTGGTCACCAACAAAAAAAAAAGTTCAGTTTATTGTAAAAAATTTTCCTTGAAAAATGTGCATACAATTGGAAATTAAATAAAACCAGAAAAAAAAATGTGTTTTAAGCTTGGGAATTTGTTTAATATTTAAAAATGATCAACAAATGGAAATGATACACTTATCAGTGGTTCTCAACCTGTCCTTGACCTTTCTTGGTGGTCCACAAATAAGTTATTACCTCTAAACTAAGGATGTTACAAGATGGCAAACAACCTGGTTATTCTTTTTTTCTTGCTCAGTGGACCGGTTGGAAATGCATAGTACGAACCCATGACCGGTTGGAAATGCATAGTAGAAACCCATGACTGGTTGGGCCAAAAAGCCATCATCAACATCCCTACACTTAACATATTGTTAAACTGGATGTTGAAGCTGAACCCCAATAGTTTGATTGGAAGTAAATAATGCTTTCTCTGTAAATCAAAATGTTCTGTACATCGAGATGCTCTGTTCTGTACATCAAGATGTTCTGTCCAGTACATCCAGATGTTCTTTTCAGTACATCAAGATGTTATGTTCAGTACATCAAGATGTTCTGTTCAGTACATCAAGATGTTCTGTTCAGTACATTAAGATGTTCTGTTCAGTACATCAAGATGTTATGTTCAGTACATCAAGATGTTCTTTTCAGTACATCAAGATGTTCTGTTCAGTACATCAAGATGTTCTGTTCAGTACATCAAGATGTTATGTTCAGTACATCAAGATGTTATGTTCAGTACATCAAGATGTTCTGTTCAGTACATCAAGATGTTCTGTTCAGTACATCAAGATGTTCTGTTCAGTATATCAAGATGTTCTGTTGTTGCTAATTAAGTTTACTGCTTTATGTCTTCTCATTTTTAGTATATTTAGAATCTAAGTTTTAATATTACATTTATAAATTGCTATATAAACTACTACATAATTTTTTTAATAAAGTTTTTCACTCTTGTAAAATCCACTATCCAAAGAATGTCTTTTATGAGGTAATTATGTTCAGAAACTGACCCCCTTTTCTTGACTGTGCATAGTCTCCTTGTAGGCGTGGCTGATGCTGAAATTTAAGGCATTGACCCACAGTTGACATTCTTCGTCTGAGTCCGCCTGGAGGATGTGGCTCCTGGAACAGACAATGTCTGCATGACAACCACATGGAGTACAATAAATTCATTGCTTAGTTTCTTTATTCGGAACTATGATGATTTGCCACTGCCATTTCCCCTCTGGGCCAATTTGCCCTTGCCCTTTGCCCAAATGTTGATAAAGAAATTATTTAAATAGAAATGTATAATTTATATTCACAGGTGATTATGAAAATATTGCAGTTTTACGAGCATCTACAACATAAGAGTTGGTCAGTGGGTTCTTCTTTATTAGTGCCACATCATTGCCAAAGTTGATACATTGATATGGACTAAACCTTTCCCTTTTTTTACATTGATATATTTAGCATTTTGAAACAGATGCTGGACAAAAGTTCCCCCACCCCAGATAAAAGACCTCCCATAAAAGCCCCCCCACACACCCTCTACAGATAAAAGCCCCCACACAAGTTCTACAGATATAAGCCCCCGACACAAGTTCTACAGATAAAAGCTCCCAGACACAAGCTCTACAGATATAAGCCCCCGACACAAGTTCTACAGATAAAAGCCCCCAGACACAAGCTCTACAGATAAAAATCCCCAGACACAAGTTCTACAGATAAAAGCCCCCGGCACAAGATCTACAGGAAAAAGCACCCAGGCACAAGTTCTACAGATAACAGCCCCCAGACACAAGTTCTACAGATAAAAGCCCTCAGACACATGTTCTATGGCCGGTCGCTTTATGTCCCAGGGGCAAAACAGCATAGGACAAGTGGCGTCTGCAAATGGTCTCAACCCACATAAGCCTGGGTCAGCTTTCATCATTGTTTATTCAATGCTTACGTCCCAACATATTAAATGCTTACATATCCACACATTCAATGATTACATATCCATATATTCAAAGATTATATTCCAACATATACACTGCTTACACATCGCAAACCCCTCTGAAACATAGGAGCCAGAATGATCAATTCATTGATCGTGGGCCCTTAAAATAAAGAAGAAGAAGACCTATACAATGCTTACATCCCAATATATTCAAGAGTTGAACCATGATGAGGGTCGCTGAGATAACTACAAACCATGATGGGGGTCGCTGAGAGAACTACAAACCATGATGGGGGTCGATAGAGAACTACAAACCATGATGGGGGTCGCTGAGAGAACTACAAACCATGACGGGGGTCGATAGAGAACTACAAACCTGGTTGGTGACAAAACCTCAAAGCAGAACCTCCTATCAAACTCCACTGGCTGGCGTATCGTACACAACCTGAGGTCATCCTCCATGATGGTCAGTGTATCTTTGGTACGTTTACGGTAGACAAGCTGACTGTCTTGGATAGAAAACCACCGCCTGCAGACAATATGTTCAAAATAGGAAACATAAAAGTATGATGGACTAATTATAATGGATACGTTACTGGTAATTATTATTTTGTATCATGACAAAATGAATCAAGAGATTTGGAGCAGAGCTTAGAACTGGAGCGTGGGGCTCTGGAACAGGGTCTATTTGTCTGAAACTGGAGATTATAAAATTTCTTACAGCTCCGAGTTCCAAAAAATTATAAGAAATTAATTTTTTTTTTTTTAAAGTATCATTTGTATTTTTTAATTTTTAAACATTAATCAATTATATTTGATATGTGATGGCCTACTCTTCTACCAGCTGTCCCCTCCCCCACCACTCTTCTTCATCTATGTTGCCCCCACCCTTCTACCAGCTTTGTTTCCCTTGCTCTTCTAACCGCTGTATCTGCCTACTCATCTGCCTGTCATGTTGCTGGTAAATTCACTTCTAACCGCTGTATCTGCCTACTCATCTGCCTGTCATGTTGCTGGTACATTCACTTCTAACCGCTGTATCTGCCTCCTCATCTGCCTGTCCTGTTGCTGGTACATTCACTTCTCACCGCTGTATCTGCCTCCTCATCTGCCTGTCCTGTTGCTGGTACGTGACTTCTAACCTTCTAACGCCCAGTTAATAAGATGGAGTGGGAACATAATGAACACATTTCTTTTAACACTTAGCATCCTCCTCCCCTACCCTCCAACCACCCCTTCCCACTTTTTAATTTTGACAAAGCTGGCAATGGAGGGGACAAAAATATGTCCGGTTGGAGAAGGTGCAGAAAGCGAGCTCAACATCTCTGGTAACATATCTAGCTATTTTGTTGATTTTATGGGGTGATCTATCCATATGAAGTTAAAATACTACCTGCTGTGTAGTAATGGCACAGAACGAAGTAATGCTTATTGTGTTGTAATGTGGTACTTTTGAAACAAGTCATTAGCTATTTGCAAATGTCTCAGTCAGCAATCTCAAAGCAATTTAGGTAGTCCTATAATCCCAAAGTAATTTTTAAAATCAAATACTTGATAATAATAATAATAATAAAGTTCATTTCAAAAACACGCTTCATCCCCAAAGGCTCGAAGCGCGGTACAAAGGCAACAAAAAACAAATCTATAATTTACCACATTTAAAAATATGTCTAGTCATCATTAAATAACTGTAAGGTAGCAATGTCTAGTCATCATTAAATAACTGTGAGGTAGCAATGTCTAGTCATCATTAAATAACTGTGAGGTAGCAATGTCTAGTCATCATTAAATAACTATGAGGTAGCAATGTCTATTTATAATTAAATAACTGTGAGGTAGCAATGTCTAGTCATCATTAAATAACTGTGAGGTAGCAATGTCTAGTCATCATTAAATAACTATGAGGTAGCAATGTCTATTTATAATTAAATAACTGTGAGGTAGCAATGTCTAGTCATCATTAAATAACTGTGAGGTAGCAATGTCTAGTCATAATTAAATAACTTTAAGGAATCAATGTCTATTTATAATTAAATAACTGTGAGGTAGCAATGTCTAGTCATAATTAAATAACTTTAAGGTAGCAATGTCTATTTATAATTAAATAACTGTGAGGTGGCAATGTCTAGTCATAATTAAATAACTTTAAGGTAGCAATGTCTATTTATAATTAAATAACTGTGAGGTAGCAATGTCTAGTCAACATTAAATAACTGTGAGGTAGCAATGTCTAGTCATAATTAAATAACTTTAAGGAATCAATGTCTATTTATAATTAAATAACTGTGAGGTAGCAATGTCTAGTCATAATTAAATAACTTTAAGGTAGCAATGTCTATTTATAATTAAATAACTGTGAGGTGGCAATGTCTAGTCATAATTAAATAACTTTAAGGTAGCAATGTCTATTTATAATTAAATAACTGTGAGGTAGCAATGTCTAGTCAACATTAAATAACTGTGAGGTAGCAATGTCTAGTCATCATTAATTAACTGTAAGGAAGCAATGTCTAGTCATCATTAAATAACTGTGAGGTAGCAATGTCTAATCATCGTAGCAATGTCTAGTTATCATTAAATAACTATGAGGTAGCAATGTCTAGTCATCATCAAATAACTGTAAAGTAGTAATGTAGTCATCATTAAATAACTGTAAGGAAGCAATGTCTATTTATAATTAAATAACTGTGAGGTAGCAATGTCTAGTCATCATTAATTAACTGTAAGGTAGCAATGTCTAGTCAACATTAAATAACTATGAGGTAGCAATGTCTAGTCATCATTAATTAACTGTAAGGAAGCAATGTCTAGTCATCATTAAATAACTTTAAGGTAGCAATGTCTATTTATAATTAAATAACTGTGAGGTAGCAATGTCTAGTCATCATTAATTAACTGTAAGGTAGCAATGTCTAGTCAACATTAAATAACTATGAGGTAGCAATGTCTAGTCATCATTAATTAACTGTAAGGAAGCAATGTCTAGTCATCATCAAATAACTGTGAGGAAGCAATGTCTAGTCATCATTAAATAACTGTGAGGTAGCAATGTCTAATCATCGTAGCAATGTCTAGTTATCATTAAATAACTATGAGGTAGCAATGTCTAGTCATCATTAAATAACTGTGAGGTAGCAATGTCTAATCATCGTAGCAATGTCTAGTTATCATTAAATAACTATGAGGTAGCAATGTCTAGTCATCATTAAATAACTGTAAGGAAGCAATGTCTAGTCATCATTAAATAACTGTGAGGTAGCAATGTCTAGTCATCATTAAATAACTGTGAGGTAGCAATGTCTAGTCATCATTAAATAACTGTGAGGTAGCAATGTCTAGTCATCATTAAATAACTGTGAGGTAGCAATGTCTAATCATCGTAGCAATGTCTAGTTATCATTAAATAACTATGAGGTAGCAATGTCTAGTCATCATCAAATAACTGTAAAGTAGTAATGTAGTCATCATTAAATAACTGTGAGGCAGCAATGTCTAGTCATCATTAAATAACTGTGAGGTAGCAATGTCTAGTCATCATTAAATAACTGTGAGGTAGCAATGTCTAGTCATCATTAAATAACTGTGAGGCAGCAATGTCTAGTCATCATTAAATAACTGTGAGGCAGCAATGTCTAGTCATCATTAAATAACTATGAGGTAGCAATGTCTAGTCATCATCAAATAACTGTAAGGAAGCAATGTCTAGTCATCATTAAATAACTATGAGGTAGCAATGTCTAGTCATCATCAAATAACTGTAAGGAAGCAATGTCTAGTCATCATTAAATAACTATGAGGTAGCAATGTCTAGTCATCATCAAATAACTGTAAGGAAGCAATGTCTAGTCATCATTAAATAACTATGAGGTAGCAATGTCTAGTCATCATCAAATAACTGTAAAGTAGTAATGTAGTCATCATTAAATAACTATGAGGTAGCAATGTCTAGTCATCATCAAATAACTGTAAAGTAGTAATGTAGTCATCATTAAATAACTGTAAGGTAGCAATGTCTAGTCATCATTAAATAACTATGAGGTAGCAATGTCTAGTCATCATCAAATAACTGTAAAGTAGTAATGTAGTCATCATTAAATAACTGTAAGGTAGCAATGTCTAGTCATCATTAAATAACTGTGAGGCAGCAATGTAAAAATTAAAGAAGCTGTTTTGATCTCTCACCTGACATATATAATCTCTCACCTGGCATATTTTATCTTTCACCTGAAATATTTCATCTCTCACCTGATCAATTCATCCCTCACCTGATATATTTTATCTCTTACATGACATATTTCATCTATCATTTGACATATTTCATCTCTGAAATGACATAATTCATCTCTCCCCTGACATAATTCATCTCTCACCTAACATAATTTGCCTTACCTGACATAATTCATCTTTCACCTGACATAATTCCTCTCTCATCTAACATAATTCATCTCTCACCTGACATAATTCTTAAAGGCATTGCTGTTCCTCTTGAAGAGATAACCCTCCGTTTGAAGAAGACTTCCCTCCCCTTGAAGCAAGCTACTAGTACTCAGGTCCTGAAGAATCAAAAAGAAAAAGTTTTTTTAAAAACTTTTTACTCATCCCCCTATGTCTGTGACCTATGGTCATTTTATTTGGATACATATTATGTATAGCTGACCTATGGTCATTTTATTTGGATACATATTATGTATAGCTGCCCTATGGTCATTTTATTTGGATACATATTATGTATAGCTGACCTATGGTCATTTTATTTGGATACATATTATGTATAGTTGACCTATGGTAATTTTATTTGGATACATATTATGTATAGCTGACCTATGGTCATTTTATTTGGATACATATTATGTATAGCTGACCTATGGTCATTTTATTTGGATACATATTATGTATAGCTGACCTATGGTCATTTTATTTGGATACATATTATGTATAGCTGACCTATGGTCATTTTATTTGGATACATATTATGTATAGCTGACCTATGGTCATTTTATTTGGATACATATTATGTATAGCTGACCTATGGTCATTTATTTGGATACATATTATGTATAGCTGACCTATGGTCATTTATTTGGATACATATTATGTATAGCTGACCTATGGTTATTTTATTTGGATACATATTATGTATAGCTGGCCAATGGTCATTTTTGGATACATATTCTGTATAGCTGATCTATGGTAATTTTATTTGAATACATATTCTGTAGTGGTGATCTATGGTCATTCTATTTGGATACATATTATGTATAGCTGATCTATGGTCATTCTATTTGGATACATATTATGTATAGCTGATCTATGGTCATTCTATTAGAATACATATTCTGTGGATTATTTTGAAATAAATGTTCTGTAGTGGTGACCAATGGTCATTTTCAAATGATCAGTTCACAACATTCATTAATGACTGATAGTCCAGTAACCCACCCACCACAATGCATCAGTCACAAATCATCTCGGTAAAGTCACCCACCCACCACAATGCATCAGTCACAAATCATCTCGGTAAAGTCACCCACCCACCACAATGCATCGGTCACAAATCATATAGCTAAAGTCATCCACTGACCACAATGCATCGGTCACAATTAAATCATCTCGCTGAAGTCACCCACCCATCATCCTGCTGAAGCCACGCCCCAATTATCTAGCTGAAGCTATGCATCAATCATCTTGCTGAAGTCACCCACCAATCATCTCACTGAAGCCACCGACCGACCTGACTTCCTTTAGATGGCATTCATCATCATGTCATTAAGAACCTAGCTCCTTTAATATCATCCCACCCTACTGCTCAATTGATGCAGGTGTACACGGTCATCCCACCCTCGATGCTCAATTGATGCAGGTGTACACAGTCATCCCACCCTCGCTGCTCAATTGATGCAGGTGTACACAGTCATCCCACCCTCACTGCTTAACTGATATATGTGTACATGGTCATCCCGCCCTTGTTGCTCACCTGACTGATACATGTGCACATGGTCATCCCACCCTCGATGCTCACCTGACTGATACATGTGTACATGGTCATCCCACCCTCTCTATTCATCTGAAAAGTACATGTGTACATGACCGTCGTGGCTCACCTGACTGATACATGTGTACGTGACTCTCGTTGCTCACCTGACTGATACATGTGTACACGGTCATCTGCCCCTCTCTATTCATGTTACTAGTAGGCCTACATGTGTACTTGACCCTCGTTGCTCACCAGACTAGTACATGTATACTCAGGTTCATTCCCCCCACCCCCCACCCTAGAATATTATTGCTGAGTCTTTTAAATTATTGCTGGGTTTTTCCCCTTTGTTTATAATTTTTTTTCTTCATTTTTTAAATTTTCTCTTACTGCAGGATATTTAAGTTTTCTTTGGAATCTCTTGGTAGGCTGATGTCTTGGCTTTCAAAGACATTTCAAGACCATTAAGAAAGAAAGAAAGATATAAAGAGAGAGAGAGAGAAAGATGGAAAGAAAGACATAAATATGGAAGGAAACTGGGACAGAAAAAAATTAAGTTAGAACGGAAGAGAGATAGAAAGATGGGAAGAAGGAATGAAAGAAAGGAAAAAGAAAAAAGAAAGATAGAAGGATTGAAAAAAGAAAGATAGAAGGATTGAAAAAAGAAAGATAGACCAAGGGAAAGAAATGAAGATATACGATGGAAAGAAAGAAAGAAAGAAAGAAAGAAAGAAAGAAAGAAAGAAAAAAAGAAAGAAAGAAAGAAAGATGGAAAGAAATAAAGAGAGTAAGGAAGAAAGAAATACAAATGTAAAGAAAGAAAGATAGTAAGTAAGAATGGAGAAATAAATATAGAAAAAAAGAAAGCAAAAAAAGAAAAAAGAAAATTGGAAAGCAGTAAGATGGATAGAAGAAAAGAAAGAGAGTAAGGAAGAAAAATGTAAAGAAAGATAGAAAGATAAAACAAGAAAGAAAAATAGTTAGCAAGAGGATAGATAGAAAAAAAAAAGAAATAAAAGTAAAGACAGACAATTTATTCCATGTTAATGTTTTATTCAACTTATAACCAAACAAAAGACATCAACAAAGACACTAAGTGCTGAGATTATTCAACGGCAATGTCCGGCTGTAGCGTACAATGCTAATATTTTGATGGCATCTGCGTGTCTGACCTAGACCATCAGGGTCTGACGCGCCACGGGAAAGGTTACGGCAACACTACCGGAGCACATTAACCAATCTGTTGAACTGTGGTGAGGATATCTAGGTTAGAACGGATGCACCGGTTCTAGGATATCGTCCATTAAAGCACCCTGGTCATTTACTGAGGTGATGCACCGGTTCTAGGATATCGTCCATTAAAGCACCCTGGTCATTTACTGAGGTGATGCACCGGTTCTAGGATATCCTCCATTAACGCATCCTGGTCATTTACTGAGGTAATGCACCGGTTCTAGGATATCGTCCATTAAAGCACCCTGGTCATTTACTGAGGGGATGCACCGGTTCTAGGATATCATCCATTAAAGCACCCTGGTCATTTACTGAGGTGATGCACCGGTTCTAGGATATCCTCCATTAACGCACCCTGGTCATTTACTGAGGTAATGCACCGGTTCTAGGATATCGTCCATTAAAGCACCCTGGTCATTTACTGAGGGGATGCACCGGTTCTAGGATATCGTCCATTAAAGCACCCTGGTCATTTACTGAGGGGATGCACTGGTTCTAGGATATCGTCCATTAAAGCACCCTGGTCATTTACTGAGGGGATGCACCGGTTCTAGGATATCGTCCATTAAAGCACCCAGGTCATTTACTGAGGGGGATGCACTGGTTCTAGGATATTGTCCATTAAAGCACCCAGGTGATTAAAAATGAGCCTACAGATTTATTTCAACATTTTTATTTTTAGTATTTTCATTTATTTACTGTTGGTCGAATAAATTAAGAAGAAGTATTTATTGAGTTGTTCCCCATGATTATGTTATTGTTTGAATTGTTCCCCCATGACTTGTGTCAAATGGTTCCTCAAATGAATGGTGCCATATTGAAAGACGTTAATGATTAGTTTTTTTGGTCACCTTTGTGTGTACAACCATTCAGCAAATATCTTTACGCGGGACTACATAACATGTCATGTCTTACAGCCGATTTTCTATGTCAGTCTGATAGCCACGGTTCTATGTCAGTCTGATAGCCACGGTTCTATGTCAGTCTGACAGCCGCTGTTCTATGTCAGTCTGACAGCCACGGTTCTATGTCAGTCTGACAGCCACGGTTCTATGTCAGTCTGATAGCCACGGTTCTATGTCAGTCTGATAGCCACGGTTCTATGTCAGTCTGATAGCCACGGTTCTATGTCAGTCTGACAGCCGCTGTTCTATGTCAGTCTGACAGCCACGGTTCTATGTCAGTCTGATAGCCACGGTTCTATGTCAGTCTGACAGCCACGGTTCTATGTCAGTCTGATCAGCCACGGTTCTATGTCAGTCTGACAACCGCTGTTCTATGTCAGTCTGACAGCCACGGTTCTATGTCAGTCTGACAGCCACGGTTCTATGTCAGTCTGACAACCGCTGTTCTATGTCAGTCTGACAACCGCTGTTCTATGTCAGTCTGACAGCCACGGTTCTATGTCAGTCTGACAACCGCTGTTCTATGTCAGTCTGACAGCCGCTGTTCTATGTCAGTCTGACAGCCGCTGTTCTATGTCAGCCTGACAGCCGCTGTTCTTTGTCAGTCTGGCAGCCGCTGTTCTATGTCAGTCTGACAGCCACTGTTCAAGTGCAAATGTAGCTATCATAAAAGCTGAATGCATTCAAGTACAAATGTAGCTATCATAAAAGCTGAACGCGTTCAAGTACACATGTAGCTATCATAAAAGCTGAATGCATTCAAGTACACATGTAGCTATCATAAAAGCTGAACGCGTTCAAGTACACATGTAGCTATCATAAAAGCTGAATGCATTCAAGTACACATGTAGCTATCATAAAAGCTGAATGCGTTCAAGTACACATGTAGCTATCATAAAAGCCAAATGCATTCAAGTACACATGTAGCTATCATAAAAGCTGAACGCGTTCAAGTACACATGTAGCTTTCATAAAAGCCAAATGCATTCAAGTACACATGTAGCTATCATAAAAGCTGAACGCGTTCAAGTACACATGTAGCTATCATAAAAGCCAAATGCATTCAAGTACACATGTAGCTATCATAAAAGCTGAATGCATTCAAGTACACATGTAGCTATCATAAAAGCTGAACGCGTTCAAGTACACATGTAGCTATCATAAAAGCCAAATGCATTCAAGTACACATGTAGCTATCATAAAAGCCAAATGCATTCAAGTACAAACGTAGACAAACTCATCCAAAGCCATTACAGCATGACCTCACATCCGGTGTGGCTTTTAAAAAAATCCTTGCAACTGTTTGCTCCCCTTTTAAGTAATTGAACGCCCCAGCAATCTGATTATGCCAACGTTAATTGAACACAACCATCTCAATCAGCCGACGTTAATTGAACACACCATCTCAATCAGCCCCCGTTAATTGAACACAACCGTCTCAATCAGCCAACGTTAATTGAACACAACCATCTCACTCAGCCGCCGTTAATTGAACACAACCATCTCACTCAGCCGCCGTTAATTGAACACAACCATCTCACTCAGCCCCCGTTAATTGAACACAACCATCTGACTCAGCCCCCGTTAATTGAACACAACCATCTGACTCAGCCCCCGTTAATTGAACACAACCATTAACTCCAAGCAACGAAACCAGTGTTGGTCCCTTGGCATTTGTTCCAATCACTTCAATTGGTTGCACATTGGATTGGTTGCACTTTCGATTGGTTGCACATTTGATTGGTTGCACATTTGATTGGTTGCACATTGGATTGGTTGCACATTGGATTGGTTGCACATTGGATTGGTTGCACATTGGATTGGTTGCACATTCGATTGGTTGCAGATTTGATTGGTTGCACATTTAATTGGTTGCACATTCGATTTGTTGCACATTCGATTGGTTGCACATTGGATTGGTTGCATATTTTATTGGTTGCAACACTGACTTAAAAGGTCAAGGTGACTTCGGCAAAATTAATCATCTCTACAGAATTGGAAATAACATTAACAGCTATACTGCTTCATAACCCCCAAACCACGGTCTTGTTAGTATCAAACTTTATAACAACCAAACCACGGTCTTGTTAGTATCAAACTTTATAACAACCAAACCACGGTCTTGTTAGTATCAAACTTTATAACAACCAAACCACGGCCTTGTTAGTATCAAACTTTATAACAACCAAACCACGGTCTTGTTAGTATCAAACTTTATAACAACCAAACCACGGTCTTGTTAGTATCAAACTTTATAACAACCAAACCACGGCCTTGTTAGTATCAAACTTTATAACAACCAAACCACGGTCTTGTTAGTATCAAACTTTATAACAACCAAACCACGGTCTTGTTAGTATCAAACTTTATAACAACCAAACCACGGCCTTGTTAGTATCAGGGCTAATCACAAAAGATAAACTATATTTAGATCCGCTATTTGCTCTCTACATAAAACTTAGACAAGAGCTGAACTACATCTCGGCTCATGTCATCAATAGGCGCATCTTTGATTTGCTACAATTCAACAAGCTGATACGTGGTCAGTAATATGATCAACAGGTTGATACGTGGTCAGTAAGATAGTCAACAGGCTTATACGTGAACAATAAGATGATCAAAAGGTTGATACGTGGTCAGTAAGATGATCAACAGTTTGTTATGTGGTCAGTAAAGCATTCAACAGGTTGATATGTGTCTGAAACATGATCAACATGTTGATATGTGGGGCGTAACATGATCAACAGGTTGATGTTGCCTGAAACATGATCAACATGTTGATATGTTGGGCGTAACATGATCAACATGTTAATATGTTGGGCGTAACATGATCAACAGGTTAATGTGGCCTGAAACATGATCAACATGTTGATATGTGGGGGATAACGTGATCAACAGGTTGATATGGGATCTGTAACGCGTCAATTGGCGTTGGTATTAAGTCTGTAACACATTTATAGATTGTTGTGCAATATTTAAAATGCTGTCATAACATTCCCAAATGAATCAACTGTAGAAAAATCAGACGACCGACTCTAGAGTCAATCATCTAGTTTCTAGACAGCTGTAAAAATCAGACGACCGACTCTAAAGTCAATCATCTAGTTTCTATACAGCTGTAAAAATCAGACGACCGACTCTAGAGTCAATCATCTAGTTTCTAGACAGCTGTAAAAATCAGACGACCGACTCTAGAGTCAATCATCTAGTTTCTAGACAGCTGTAAAAATCAGACGACCGACTCTAGAGTCAATCATCTAGTTTCTAGACAGCTGTAAAAATCAGAAGACCGACTCTAGAGTCAATCATCTAGTTTCTAGACAGCTGTAAAAATCAGACGACCGACTCTAGAGTCAATCATCTAGTTTCTAGACAGCTGTAAAAATCAGACGACCGACTCTAGAGTCAATCATCTAGTTTCTAGACAGCTGAAAAAATCAAACGACCGACTCTGGAGTCAATCACCTAGTTCCTTGTGTATAAGAATATTTGCCAGTAGATACGTTTATTCTTTTGGATTTTCAGTTATGTTTTTCTATAAAAAAGGGGGGGGGGCAACACTTATTTTTGGTGGTGAATTTTTCCCAGTACATTTTAAAAGTTATACCGGTGAAGGATGGCACAAGTTAATACAGATACAAAAACCAGTAATTAAGTGAATTTAGAGCAGAGATGGGATTTCAAGGGGCGCCGAGCCACTGAGTGCAGGTTTAAAATTAAGTCTTGGCCCCATACTCTAGAAACTAAATTTTCTTGAGGGTCTCGTTAGAAAGCTAAGACTCGTTTAGAGATTACGCATGTTAAGTATCGTTGGTTTTTTTTTTGTTGTTGTTGTTTTTTTGTTTTTGCAAACCGGTAATCGGTTTAAAGAATTCAATTAAAAAACCGGTCATGTGTTTTTACGATGCAAACCAAACTTTTGTGAAAAGTATAAGCGGCCGTTGAAACATATTTGGCGAACTCCTGTAGCCTACTAATATTGATAACAGATGTGCCCCGTGACTTCTGAGCCATTCGATTCTCGATCTGTTTTGTTTGAAAACACTTCTTACTTTAATTAAACGTTTACGGAATACAAAAAAGAAATACTTTAAATGAGTTGTTGTTTTTTTTTTAATTGAATCATCGTTGTGTAAAAATCAAAACATATTAACGGTTTCGAAAGCAATAACCGGAAATCTGATTATCGTTTAGCATCCTTATTGTAGACTCAGGCCGGTAACACAAACGACACTTGCCAGCACACTCAGAAAGATAGACCGATGTTCTCTCCATCTCAGTTTATACCACAAAAATATTTAATAAATGCACTTCATTTTTTAGTATGTTACGGTAAATATTGTCTTGAAATGAGTGGGAAATAATGTCAGGATTGTAAATGGGGAGGAAATGATGACAGGATTGTTAATGAGAGGAAAATAATGACAGGATTGTGAATGAGTAGGAAATGTCAGGATTGTGAATGAGTAGGAAATGTCAGAATTGTGAATGAGTAAGAAATGTCAGGATTGTGAATGAGTAGGAAATGTCAGGATTGTGAATGAGTAGGAAATGTCAGGATTGTGAATGAGTAGGAAATGTCAGGATTGTGAATGAGTAAGAAATGTCAGGATTGTAAATGAGTAAGAAATGTCAGGATTGTGAATGAGTAAGAAATGTCAGGATTGTGAATGAGTAGGAAATGTCAGGATTGTGAATGAGTAGGAAATGTCAGGATTGTGAATGAGTAGGAAATGTCAGGATTGTGAATGAGTAAGAAATGTCAGGATTGTAAATGAGTAAGAAATGTCAGGATTGTAAATGAGTAAGAAATGTCAGGATTGTGAATGAGTAGGAAATGTCAGGATTGTGAATGAGTAAGACATGTCAGGATTGTGAATGAGTAAGAAATGTCAGGATTGTGAATGAGTATGAAATGTCAGAACTGTTAATGAGTATGAAATGTCAGGATTGTGAATGAGTAGGAAATGTCAGGATTTTGAATGAGTAGGAAATGTCAGGATTGTGAATGAGTAGGAAATGTCAGGATTGTGAATGAGTTGGAATTGTCAGGATTGTGAATGAGTAGGAAATGTCAGGATTGTGAATGAGTTGGAAATGTCAGGATTGTGAATGAGTAGGAAATGTCAGTATTGTGAATGAGTAGGCAATGTCAGGATTGTGAATGAGAAGGAAATGTCAGCATTGTGAATGAGTAAGAAATGTAAGGATTGTGAATGAGTAGGAAATGATTTCAGGATTGTGAATGAGAGGGAAATAATGTCAGAAGTGGGAGTGGGAAATGATGACAGAATTGGGAGTGGGAAATGATGACAGGAATGTTAATGAGAGGGAAATAATGACAGACCATAACGTGAGTGGCAATTCAAACCTACCCCATTTGCAAACCCCTGAACGGTTCTCAAAGTGGAGACTTCAAAAGCTTTTATCGTTATTTTTTTTGTTACGAACAAAAGCATGTAAAAATAACAACAACAAAAAACAACCCCGAACTAAGCCATTTCTTGCTTCATGGGGAACCAAGGAACAAACAGGGAACAACCCCGGACTAAGCCATTTCCTGCTTCATTGGGAACCAAGGAACAAACAGGGAACAACCCCGGACTAAGCCATTTCCTGCTTCATGGGGAACCAAGGAACAAACAGGGAACAACCCCGTCTAAGCCATTTCCTGCTTCATGGGGAACCAAGGAACAAACAGGGAACAACCCCGTCTAAGCCATTTCCTGCTTCATGGGAAATCAAGGAACAAACAGGGAACAACCCCGGACTAAGTCATTTCCTGCTTCATTGGGAACCAAGAAACATACTGGGAACAACCCCGGACTAAGTCATTTCCTGCTTCATTGGGAACCAAGGAACATACAGGGAACAACCCCGGACTAAGTCATTTCCTGCTTCCTGGGGAACCAAAAAACAAACAGGGAACAACCCCGGACTAAGTCATTTCCTGCTTCCTGGGGAACCAAGGAACAAACAGGGAACAACCCCGGACTAAGCCATTTCCTGCTTCCTGGGGAACCAAGTAACAAACAGGGAACAAAAAATGCCGGAAGGGCATTGAACTTTAAAATGACAAGAAAACGAAAAAATGAATGAGGAATTGACCACAGCTGAAAGATATCTGTAACTTAAGTTTAAAAAATAAAATTGTAAAACATCCAGTAAAATGAAACACGCAATGTTTCGAAAAGATCAAGTTTTATGACAGGATGCTCTGCGAGCAAAGTCTTGTTTCAAGACAGGATGCTCTGCGAGCAAAATCTCGTTTCAAGACGGGATGCTCTGCGAGCAAAGTCTCGTTTCAAGACAGTATGCTCTGTAAGCAAAGTCTCGTTTCAAGATAGAATGTTCTGTAAGCAAAGACTCAATTGAAAACAGGATGCTCTGTAAGCAAAGTATTGTTCTAAGATAGGATGCTCTGTAAGCAAAGTCTCGTTTCAAGACATGATGCTCTGTAAGCAAAGTCCAGTTTCAAGACAGGATGCTCTGTAAGCAAAGTCACGTTTAAAGACAGGATGCTCTGTAAGCAAAGTGTCGTGAAGCCTTCAAACTTACTTACATGTGCCTCACATGTGTGGTATTCTTACATCACAACTGCACCTACACTTATATGGGCAGCGGACCTACCATAAGACTTGCCACAAGTCCTACCGTAAGACCCACCGCAAGTCCTACCGTAAGACCCACAAAAAGTCCTACCGTAAGACCTACAACAAGTCCTACCATAAGACCACCCACAAGTCCTACCATAAGATCTACCATAAGATCTACCATAAGACCTACCACAAGTCATGCAATAAGACCTACCACAAGTGCTACAATAAGAACTATATTTAAACACTTAATAATAATTATTTTGTTATTTTTGTTTTTTTAATTGATCAGTTTCTGGACGGATTATAATTATTGTTATCAATGTTGGATTTACTTTTGGGTGGGCTGGCACGATAAAATTGTTATATTCATATTTACAATCCCTTTGAACTAATACTCTATTAAATACATGTTATCTAGAGGAAAATTCCTAGTTCAGACTATAGAGTTTATACACACGATGTTCCTTTACCGACCCATCAAAAATATTACAGTCGACAAATCAAGGGCAGCAATCCTCAACATGCCTGCAAGTCAGGGTCAAGTTAGATTATTACATTGCACAGACATATAAAGAAAACATCAGCTTGACATGACATATTTGACTCATCCACTCAGCGCAGGAAAAATTTCACAACGGAAAATCCCGACGTGGGTGTGTACTACTTGTGTGTGTATGAGTGTATGTACTACATAGTTGAGCGTTCGTGTGTGTTCTACTTGCGTGAGTGTGTGTGTGCTCTACTTGGCTGAGTGTGTAGTTCTTGGGTGTATGAATGTACTACTTGGGTAACTGTAGTATTTGGGTGTGTGTACTACTTGTGAATGTGCTACTTGGGTGAGTCAGAGTGTACTACTTGAGTTTGTATGTACTACTTGGGTGAGTGTGTACTACTTGTGTGAGTGTGTACAACTTGGGTGAGTGTGTACTACTTGTGTGAGTGAGAGTGCACTACTTAGGTGAGTGAGTGTGTACTACGTGGGTGTGTACTACTTGGGTGAGAGAGTATGTACTACTTGGGTCAGTGTGCGTGTAATACTTGGGTGAGTGAGTGTGTACTACTTGGATGAGTGAGTGTGGATTGGTGAGATGTGTGTTTGATGCGCTATGTGTGGACTGGTGAGATGTGTGTTTGATGCGCTATGTGTGGACTGGTGAGATGTGTGTTTGATGGGCTATGTGTGGACTGGTGAGATGTGTGTTTGATGGGCTATGTGTAGGCCGGTGAGATGTGTGTTTGATGGGCTATGTGTGGACTGGTGAGATGTGTGTTTGATGGGCTATGTGTGGACTGGTGAGATGTTTTTTTGATGGGCTATGTGTGGACTGGTGAGATGTGTGTTTGATGGGCTATGTGTGGACTGGTGAGATGTGTATTTGATGGGTTATGTGTGGACTGGTGAAATGTGTGTTTGATGGTCTATGTGTGGACTGGTGAGATGTGTGTTTGATGGTCTATGTGTGGACTGGTGAATGTGTGTTTGATGGTGTATGTGTGGACTGGTGAGATGTGTGTTTGATGGGCTATGTGTGGACTGGTCAGATGTGTGTTTGAAGGTCTATGTGTGGACTGGTGAGTTGTGTGTTTGAAGGTCTATGTGTGGACTGGTGAGATGTGTGTTTGATGGGCTATGTGTGGACTGGTGAGATGTGTGTTTGATGGGCTATGTGTGGACTGGTGAGATGTGTGTTTGATGGGCTATGTGTGGACTGGTGAGATGTGTGTTTGATGGGCTATGTGTGGACTGGTGAGATGTGTGTTTGATGGGCTATGTGTGGACTGGTGAGATGTGTGTTTGATGGGCTATGTGTGGACTGGTGAGATGTGTGTTTGATGGTCTATGTGTGGACTGGTGAGATGTGTGTTTGATGGGCTATGTGTGGACTGGTGAGATGTGTGTTTGAAGGTCTATGTGTGGACTGGTGAGATGTGTGTTTGAAGGTCTATGTGTGGATTGGTGAGATGTGTGTTTGATGGGCTATGTGTGGACTGGTGAGATGTGATTTTGATGGTCTATGTGTGGACTGGTGAGATGTGTGTTTGATGGTCTATGTGTGGACTGGTGAGATGTGTGTTTGATAGTCTATGTGTGGACTGGTGAGATGTGTGTTTGATGGGCTATGTGTGGACCGGTGAGATGTGTGTTTGATGGGCTATGTGTGGACTGGTGAGATGTGTGTTTGATGGGCTATGTGTGGACTGGTGAGATGTGTGTTTGATGGTCTATTTGTAGACTGGTGAGATGTGTGTTTGATGGTCTATTTGTAGACTGGTGAGATGCGTATTTGATGGCCTATGCCAAAACCTGTGAGATGTGTGTTTGATGGGCTATGTGTAGACCGGTGAGATATGTGTTTGATGGGCTTTGTGTTGACCGGTGAGATGTGTGTTTGATGAGCTATGCCAAAACCTGTGAGATGTGTGTTTGATGGGCTATGTGTAGACCGGTGAGATGTGTGTTTGATGGGCTATGTCAGGACTTGCGTATGGCTTCCATGAGATTTATTATATTTTTTCAAGATTTAACGGAAATCCCCCCCCCACCCCAAAAAAAAACTAGGTGTGAAAATTGACACTGTTGTTGTGGAGACGTGTTGTCTTGTGCACTTTACAGAATCACAGGATGGCATCCGATAAGATGTTGTGTGCCGGCGAGGAAAAGAAAACACAGTTGTGAAAACAAAAAGAACAATCCGACAGCGAGGTCAACGTTCATCACAATGAGACGGATGGGAAAATAAACGGAGCTCTGCGTGAGATCAAGTACAGCGAACCACGCCCCTGTTACGTAACACCTCCGGGCCGCCCCCGTCCCAGCCCACCCAAACTGACGTCATCTGCAGCCAAATTTACAAAATAACAACAAGTTCCAAGGAGTAAACAATGCACGCCGTCACAAAAGAAAACGGCACCGATCAAATGCACCGATCTAATGCACCAATCAAATGCACCAATCAAATGCACCAATCAAATGCACAGTTTCATCATTGTAAAGCCGGGCAGAATAGCAGATCAAAGATTGGGATCCCATCAAAGAGCAGTCTTGTTTAGCACTGGTCCAACTTTCACACCTGTGATCAAAGATAGGAATCCTATCCAACAGCTGTCTAGTGTGGCTAGAAAAGTTGGGTATTGTCATTCTGCTCAAGGCAGTACGGCTTGAAAGTTGGGTATTGTCATTCTGCTAGAGGCAGTGTGGCTAGAAAAGTTGGGTATTGTCATTCTGCTAGAGGCAGTGTGGCTAGAAAAGTTGGGTATTGTCATTCTGCTCCAGGCAGTACGGCTTGAAAGTTGGGTATTGTCATTCTGCTAGAGGCAGTGTGGGTAAAAAAGTTGGGTATTGTCATTCTACTCTAGGCAGTGTGGCTAGAAAAGTTAGGTATTGTCATTCTGCTAAAGGCAGTGTGGCTAGAAAAGTTGGGTATTCTCATTCTACTATAGGCGGTGTCGCTAGAAAAAATGGGTATTGTCATTCTGCTAGAGGCAGTGTGGCTAGAAAAGTTGGGTATTGTCATTCTGCTAGAGGCAGTGTTGCTAGAAAAAATGGGTATTGTCATTCTGCTAGAGGCAGTGTGGCTTGAAAAGTTGGGTATTGTCTTTCTGCTCCAGGCAGTGTGGCTAAAAAAGTTGGGTAATGTCATTCTGCTCCAGGCAGTATGGCTAGAAAAGTTGGGTATTGTCATTCTACTCTAGGCAGTGTGGCTAGAACAGTTAGGTATTGTCATTCTACTCTAGGCAGTGTGGCTAGAAAAGTTAGGTATTGTCATTCTGCTAAAGGCAGTGTGGCTAGAAAAGTTGGGTATTCTCATTCTACTCTAGGCGGTGTCGCTAAAAAAGTTGGGTATTGTCATTCTGCTCTATACAGTGTGGCTTGAAAGTTGGGGATTGTCTTCATGCTCCTGACAGTGGCCAAAATATTGATCACATCCTTGGCCAAAATAGTGACCACGCCATTAGCTAAAATAGTGACTACGCCCTTGGCCTAAATAGTGAACACAACCTTGGCCAAAATAGTGACCACATTCTTGACCAAAATAGCGAACATCCTTGGCCAAAATAGTGACCACGCCCTTGGCCAAAACAGTGACCACGCCCTTGGCAAAAATAGTTACCACATCCTTGGCCAAAATAGTGACCACATTCTTGGCTAAAATAGGGACCATCCTTTGCCAAAATAGTGACCAAATCTTTGGCCAAAATATTGACCACATACTTGGCCAAAATAGTGACCACATCCATGGCCAAAATAGTGACCATCCTTTGCCAAAATAGTGACCACATCTTTGGCAAAAATAGTGACCACATCTTTGGCCAAAATAGTGACCACATCCTTGGCCAAAATAGTGACCACATCCATGGTCAAAATAGTGGCCGCATTCTTGGCTAAAATAGTGACCATACTTGGCAAAATATTGACCACATCCTTGGCCAAAATAGTGACCACAATCTTGACCAAAATAGCGAACATCCTTGGCCAAAATAGTGACCACACCCTTGGCCAAAACAGGAACCACGCCCTTGGCAAAAATAGTTACCACATCCTTGGCCAAAATAGTGACCACATTCTTGGCTAAAATAGTGACCATCCTTTGCCAAAATAGTGACCACATACTTGGCCAAAATAGTGACCACATCCATGGCCAAAATAGTGACCATCCTTTGCCAAAATAGTGACCACATCTTTGGCAAAAATAGTGAACACATCCTTGGCCAAAATAGTGACCACATCCATGGCCAAAATAGTGACCACATCCATGGCCAAAATAGTGACCATCCTTTGCCAAAATAGTGACCACAACTTTGGCCAAAATAGTGACCACATATTTGGCCAGAATAGTGACCACATTCTTGGCCAAAATAGTGACCACATCCATGGCCAAAATAGTGACCACATTCTTGGCTAAAATAGTGACCATACTTGGCAAAATATTGACCACATCCTTGGCCAAAATAGTTACCACATCCTTGGCCAAAATACTGACCACATCCTTGGCCAAAATAGTGACCACATCCATGGCCAAAATAGTGACCACATCTTTGTCCAAAATAGTGACCACATCCTCGGCCGAAAACAAGTTCGACTGCAGCCATCAATTCTGCTAGGTCCCAAGGCAGCCACCTCAGCAGCTGGTCTGGGTTCTCGTTAAAGCCAATGTCTCCTTAAACAACAATACCAACCAATATCTCATTTAAGCAACGTTAACAACCAATGTCGCGTTAAAGAATCGATACCGAACAATTTCTAATTGAAGTAACGATACCAACAAATGTCTCATTAAAGCAACGATAACAAGCAATGTCTCGTTATAGACACGATACCAACCAATGACTCATTAAAGCAACGATACCAACCAATGTCTCATTAAAGCAACGATACCAACCAATGTCTCATTAAAGCAACGATACCAACCAATGTCTAATTAAAGCAACCATACCAACCAATGTCTCATTAAAGCAACGATACCAACCAATGTCTCATTAAAGCAACGATACCAACCAATGTCTAATTAAAGCAACCATACCAACCAATGTCTCATTAAAGCAACCATACCAATCAATGTCGCATTGAAGCAAAGATGCCAGCCAATGTCTCGTCAAAGCAATCGAGTACGGCAAATAACCTTGTTAGAGTAATCGCTAAGAACGAATACCTCGTTACAGCAATCAGACAGATAAACATCTAAATGTCAAGCACTTCTAAAGGAATCGGGTTTAGCCTCAAGGGGAAAAAAATCAGTCAGGAATTGTTGACCGAATAACTGTTTGTTTACACAAATGGACTTGCTTCCCATCCCTTCCAACACGTGTATGAACCTCAGTATCAGCTTTCTCCGCCACATTACAACTATTAGACAGTGGTTCCTAACATGTTCACGGAGCACCCTCACCAAACAAACCACAGAGAAATCGTCCCCCTCCTCTATTCTCTGGAAATGACTCATCTGTTACGCTCGATTCTCTTGGTCAAAAAGGACCACCAGTCCAAATACTTTTCGGAGAGTCCACATAATGTCCGGCCAGTCTACATAATGTCCGACCAGTCCACATAATCTCCGTCCAGAACACATTACGTCCGACCAGTCCACATAATGTCCGGCCAGTCCACATAATGTCCGGCCAGTCCACATAATGTCCGGCCAGTCCACATAATGTCCGGCCAGTCTGCATAATGTCCGCCCAGTCCACATAATCTCCGCCCAGCCCACATTATGTCCGCCCAGCCTACATAATGTCCGCCCACTCCACATAATGTCCGCCCAGTCCACATATTCTCCACATAATGTCCGGCCAGTCCACATAATGTCCGGCCAGTCCACATAATGTCCGGCCAGTCCACATAATGTCCGGCCAGTCTGCATAATGTCCGACCAGTCCACATAATCTCCGTCCAGAACACATTATGTCCGACCAGTCTACATAATGTCCGGCCAGTCCACATAATGTCCGGCCAGTCCACATATTCTTTGGCCAGCCCACATTATTTCCGACCAGTCCACATAATGTAGGCCAGTATGCATAATATAAGGCCAGTCCTCATTATGTCCGACCAGTCCACATAATGTAGGCCAGTCCACATACTATAAAGCCGGTCCACATTATGTCCGATCAGTCCACATAATGTAAGGCCGGTCCACATAATGTCCGGCCAGTCCACATAATGTCCGGCCAGTCCACATAATGTCCGGCCAGTCCACATAATGTCCGGCCAGTCCACATAATGTTCTAGCTGTCCATCCATGTATGTTAGTGTAGGCGCGACAAAAGTCCCATGATATCCCAAGTCATGTGCTAGATTTAGTTCCATGATAGAGGTCTTCAAACAACTAAATCAAGAACCAACGTCTCTTTATGGTAGAGACGTCCTGTAGAGTCATCAAGTTAATGTGAGCTCCACAAGATTGATTAGTGCAGGACATCCAAGTCTTTTCTTGTCATATGACACGATTGATTAGTGCAGATCATCCAAGTCTTTTCTTGTCATATGACAAGATTGGTTAGTGTAGGACATCCAAGTCTTTTCTTGTCATATGACAAGACTGATTAGTGTAGGACACCCAAGTCTTTTGTTGTCATATGGCAAGACTGGTTAGTGTCGAAAATACATGTCATTTGTTGTCATATGACATGACTGGTTATTGTAGAAAATATATGTCATTTGTTGTCTTTTATTACAATGTACATTTTCGTTTTCAGCACATAAATAAATACATACTTCAGCACATAAATAAATACATATTTCAGCACATAAATACATATTTTAACCAAGGCAACATTTGACAATTCCAACAATTAAAGCACAGGGCATCCTAAAGTATTTGTAGCAGCCCTTGTCATTGAGAAGCCATGTTTTCATTGTTCCATTCCTGGCTTTCCAGCAGAAGTCTTACACTAGACGGGGGAGGAGAGGGACTGGTCAAAGCTTCTCAACATGATTCTTGATTTTTTTTTTTTCGGTATCCTTCTTCCATTTGAAAGGCGCCCGGCGCACTGCTCGGTAGCATAGCTTTATATCTTTCGTTAGGCGGAACCAGTTTGAGAACCACCTTTTTTAATCAGAAAAAGGCGCCTGGCTTTGTCGGGACGAAAATAAGATTCTAATGGGGCAATGTGTCAGAGAGTAGTCGTCACCAACAGGGGCAATGGGTCAGAGAGTAGTCGTCACCAACAGGGGCAATGGGTCAGAGAGTACTCGAAACCAACAGATACCATTCCAACACAATCAAAAACCCCTCAACATTCCATTATAAAGAATGTTCTAATGGGGCAATGGGTCAGAGAGTACTCGTCACCAACAGATACTATTCCAACACAACCAAAAAACACTCAACATTCCATTATAAAGAATGTTCTAATAGGTCAGAGAGTACTCGTCACCAACAGGGGCAATGGGTCAGAGAGTACTTGTCACCAACAGGGGCAATGGGTCAGAGAGCGCTCTTCACCAACAGGGGCAATGGGTTAGAGAGTACTCGTCACCAACAGACACCATTCCAACACAATCAAAGAACCACTCAACATTCCATGATCTTCTGAGTGCTAACAAACGGTGCCGGAAGTGGGAACACCGCGTGCTGACCACAAAAGCTGGTCAAAAATCTTGACGTCTTTGCTTCTGTTCAGAGAACATGAACGTAAAACGATCATCTAGAAATCTGCGCCGAATCCACCGGCTTATAGAAATGTCAAGGTCAGTTCTGGCATTTGGCAGGTGAGTGGAAACCGCTAGCTCAGCAAGACGGCCTGCTCTAGGTGTTGTTTACCAATCGTAGTTTATGTGCAAAGTTTCTGGCCATTTAATACATTTACACTGCAGTCTTATTCAGCTATGAAGCTGGTATCTTATACACAGCTGTCTTATTCAGCTATGAAGCTGGTATCTTATACACAGCTGTCTTATTCAGCTATGAAGCTGGTATCTTTTACACAGCTGTCTTATTCAGCTATGAAGCTGGTATCTTACACATAGCTGTCTTATTCAGCTATGAAGCTGGTATCTTATACACAGCTGTCTTATTCAGCTATGAAGCTGGTATCTTATACACAGCTGTCTTATTCAGCTATGAAGCTGGTATCTTATACACAGCTGTCTTATTCAGCTATGAATGTGGTATCTTACACACAGCTGTCTTATTCAGCTATGAAGCTGGTATCTTATACACAGCTGTCTTATTCAGCTATGAAGCTGGTATCTTACACACAGCTGTCTTATTCAGATATGAAGCTGGTATCTTACACACAGCTGTCTTATTCAGCTATGAAGTTGGTATCTTATACACAGCTGTCTTATTCAGCTATGAAGCTGGTATCTTATACACAGCTGTCTTATTCAGCTATGAAGCTGGCATCTTATACACAGCTGTCTTATTCAGCTATGAAGCTGGTATCTTATACACAGCTGTCTTATTCAGCTATGAAGCTGGTATCATATACACTGCTGTCTTATTCAGCTATGAAGCTGGTATCTTATACACAGCTGTCTTATTCAGCTATGAAGCTGGTATCTTATACACAGCTCTCTTATTCAGCTATGAAACTGGCATCTTATACCCAGCTGTCTTATTCAGCTATGAAGGTGGTATCATATACACTGCTGTCTTATTCAGCTATGAAGCTGGTATCTTATACACAGCTGTCTTATTCAGCTATGAAGCTGGTATCTTCCACACCTAGGCTTATTCAGCACTTTGGCTGGTTTCAGCTCTTCGTTGAGAAATGACTGTGTCCAGCTATATTTGGAAGCTGAATCCAAGATTCAAGTGTTTTAAACATAACAACGACTATTGGGTTAGTTTTTGCTGGTGAGATGGTCTCAGCGTAAACAAAACTGTGCTCACCGAGTTACAGAACGGCAAGGTGTCGGGAGAGTTGACATAGTTGTTTTGTAGAGAGAGTTGGCATTATTGTTTTGTTAGGAGAGTTGGCATTGTTGTTTTGTTGAGAGAGTTGACATTGTTGTTTTGTTGAGAGAGTTGACATTGTTGTTTTGTTGAGAGAGTTGACATTGTTGTTTTGTTGAGAGAGTTGACATTGTTGTTTTGTTGAGAGAGTTGACATTGTTGTTTTGTTAGGAGAGTTGACATTGTTGTTTTGTTGAGAGAGTTGACATTGTTGTTTTGTTGAGAGAGTTGACATTGTTGTTTTGTTGAGAGAGTTGACATTGTTGTTTTGTTGAGAGAGTTGACATTGTTGTTTTGTTAGGAGAGTTGACATTGTTGTTTTGTTGAGAGAGTTGACATTGTTGTTTTGTTGAGAGAGTTGACATTGTTGTTTTGTTGAGAGAGTTGACATTGTTGTTTTGTTGAGAGTTGACATTGTTGTTTTGTTGAGAGTTGACATTGTTGTTTTGTTGAGAGAGTTGGGTGTTTTTTTTTTTGTTGTTTTTTTCTGGCGGGGAAGGGGGGGTGGGAGAGACTCAAGTGGTTAAAGAAAGGGCGTAGAGGGGTGATCATAGACAGGATGTTGATAACATGACATGTGTTTGTAGTACGTCTATAATCAATGTGCACATCTAATCCATCAATGTGTACATCTAATCCATCAATGTGTACATATAATCCATTAATGTGTACATCTAACCCATCAATGTGTACATCAAACCCATCAATGTGTACATCTAACCCATCAATGTGTACATCTAACCCATCAATGTGTACATCTAATCCATCAATGTGTACATCTAATTCATAAAATGTGTACTGCTGTAACACATCCACTGCTGTACGCCCAGCTCATCACACCACAACCAAGTATTTCTTGTACACACCGTGGTAATCATTACAATATGTTGTTAAACCATTTAACTAGACCTTCTCATATTCAGACGAGGTGTGAAATCAAGACACTTCTAAAATTGGAATGACCCCCGGTTAAAAGTCAGGAGGCAATTGAAAAGTATGAATGTCAAGGGGCACTTATCCCCATTCCCACAGTCAGTTACGTCCTTGTCAACCCAACAGGCTGGTAGGTAAGAAATTAGTGCATTAAATGCATTCATGTAAAGAACATTAGTGACCGACTAAAAAACTGCAGACGGAGATACAAATTAAAGAAAAATATGTACGTATGAAAGGTGGGGGGGGGGCGGGGGGAGGAGGGTGATGGTGAGAAGTCAGCCTGGCCATATGATAGTGGGCAATAAGCCTGGCCATATGATAGTGGGCAATAAGTCAAGCCCTATGATGGTGGGAAATAAGTCTAGCCATATGATGGTGGGCAATAAGTCTAGTCCTATGATGGTGGGCAATAAGCCTAGCCATATGATAGTGGGCAATAAGCCTGGCCATATGATAGTGGGCAATAAGTCAAGCCCTATGATGGTTGGAAATAAGTCTAGCCATATGATGGTGGGCAATAAGTCTAGTCCTATGATGGTGGGCAATAAGCCTAGCCATAAGATAGTGGGAAATAAGCCTGGACATATGATAGTGGGAATAAGTCTAGTCCTATGATGGTGGGCAATAAGCCTAGCCATATGATAGTGGGCAATAAGTCTAGTCCTATGATGGTGGGCAATAAGCCTAGCCATATGATAGTGGGAAATAAGCCTAGCCCTATGATAGTGGGCAATAAGTCTAGTCCTATGATGGTGGGAAATAAGTCTAGCCATATGATGGTGGGCAATAAGTCTGGCCATATGATGGTGGGAAATAAGTCTAGCCCTATGATGGTGGGCAATAAGTCTAGCCCTATGATGGTGTGCAATAAGTCTAGTCCTATGATGGTGGGCAATAAGCCTAGCCATATGATAGTGGGCAATAAGTCTAGCCCTATGATGGTGGGCAATAAGTCTAGCCCTATGATGGTGGGCAATAAGTCTAGTCCTATGATGGTGGGCAATAAGCCTAGCCATATGATAGTGGGCAATAAGTCTAGTCCTATGATGGTGGGCAATAAGCCTAGCCATATGATAGTGGGAAATAAGCCTAGCCCTATGATAGTGGGCAATAAGTCTAGTCCTATGATGGTGGGAAATAAGTCTAGCCATATGATGGTGGGCAATAAGTCTGGCCATATGATGGTGGGAAATAAGTCTAGCCCTATGATGGTGGGCAATAAGTCTAGCCCTATGATGGTGGGCAATAAGTCTAGTCCTATGATGGTGGGCAATAAGCCTAGCCATATGATGGTGGGCAATAAGTCTAGCCCTATGATAGTGGGCAATAAGTCTAGTCCTATGATGGTGGGCAATAAGCCTAGCCATATGATAGTGGGAAATAAGCCTGGACATATGATAGTGGGAATAAGTCTAGTCCTATGATGGTGGGCAATAAGCCTAGCCATATGATAGTGGGAAATAAGCCTAGCCCTATGATAGTGGGCAATAAGTCTAGTCCTATGATGGTGGGAAATAAGCTTAGCTATATGATAGTGGGCAATAAGTCAAGTCCTATGATGGTGGGCAATAAGCCTAGCCATATGATAGTGGGAAATAAGCCTAGCCCTATGATAGTGGGCAATAAGTCTAGTCCTATGATGGTGGGCAATAAGCCTGGCCATATGATGGTGGGCAATAAGTCTGGCCATATGATGGTGGGCAATAAGTCTGGCCATATGATGGTGGGAAACAAGTCTAGCCCTATGATGGTCGGCAATAAGTCTAGCCATATGATGGTGGGCAATAAGTCTAGCCCTATGATGGTGCAATAAGTCTAGCCATATGATGGAGTGAAAAAGCCTAGCCATTTGATGGTGGGCAATAAGTCTAGCGTTATCATGGTGGGCAAAAAGTCTAGCCGTATGATGGTTAGAAATGAGTCTAGCCAAATGATAGTGGGAAATAAGTCTAGCCGTATGTTGGTGAGAAATTAGTCTAGCCGTATGTTGGTGGGAAAAATGTCTAGCCGTATGTTGGTGGGAAAAATGTCTAGCCGTATGATGGTGAGAAATAAGTCTTGCCGTATGACGGTGATTGGTGGATCAAGTGCCCCCCAGGGCCATGAGGTGCAGTCATGCACCCAGGCTAGGAATCCAAACAAACTGGCCTTAGATGTAAACAAACGGAGAGTGGGAGGGGAGAGTGAGTGGAGTGGAGGCGGGCATGTGAGCGTGGGCGTGTGAGCGAGTGACTAGTTGTGGATGTGCGGCTTATGATTTGTGTGAAGGTGTTCTTTTTTAAGAGGTAAGTAACCGGTAGATAAGTCTTGCTGAGCAATTAGTTTATTACTCGCATCACATTTGTTTAGACGGTGTGCACGGGTTAAGACAACTCTTACACAGGAACTGACAGGACATTACACAAGTGTTTTAAATAAACTCTTACACAGGAACTTACAGGACATGACACCAGTATTTTAAATAAACTCTTACACAGGACATGACACAAGTGTTTTAAATAAACTCTTACACAGGAACTTACAGGACATGACACCAGTATTTTAAATAAACTCTTACACAGGACATGACACAAGTGTTTTAAATAAACTCTTACACAGGAATTTACAGGACATTACACAAGTGTTTTATATAAACTCTTACACAGGAACTTACAGGTAATGGCACCAGTGTTTTAAATAAACTCTTACACAGGAACTTACAGGGCAAGATCCTAGTGTTTTAATTAAACTCTTACATAGGAACTTACAGGACATTACAAACGTGTTTCTCTTCACAGTTAGGCTGAAATAAGGTATTATTTTGATTTACTAGTGAAATAATTTAACAATTACAATAGAGATAATGTTAACAATAGACATGATGTCTCAGTAAGGCGTCATAATTTCTCAGTAACCATTGAGATACTGCAATAAAGTGTCATAATTTCTCTGTGACAAATGCGATAGTTTGATCAAGAGTCATAAATTATCTATCAGTAAGAGCCAAAAGTCTGTGTGATGGTATCGTATACATAAATTACTGCCCAATGATATGTGCTGGTATCGATATATCAATTAGCGTCCAATTATGTGTGATGATACCCTATACATCAATTAGCACCCAATGATGTGTGATGGTACCCTATACACGAATTAGCACCAAATGATGTGTGCTGGTATCATATATATCAATTAGCACCCAATGATGGGTGATGGTATCGATATCAATTAGCGCCCAATGATGGGTGATGGTATCGTATATATCAATTAGCACCGAATGATGTGTGCTTGTATCCTATATATCAATTAGCCCCCAATGATGTGTGATGGTATCGATATATCAATTAGCGCCCAATGATGGGTGATGGTATCGTATATATTAATTAGCCCCGAATGATGTATGCTGGTATCACACATAGCAATTATTGTCCAATGATGTGTGCTGGTATCTCCGCTTTCATTGTGTGTTGCACATTCAAGTCATAACGGTGTCCAGTGTCACAATAATCCATCTCTGTAGATTCCAGGTAGTACCAGCATTGACGATGTCCAGTGCCACAGTAATCCATCTCTGTACATTTCAGGTCATACCAGCATTTACGATGTCCAGTGCCACAGTAATCCACCTCTATACATTTCAGATACCAGGATGGCCGGACTAATGCCCACACTTGTGGTCTACCTAACAACACTCGCTGTTCTGGTCCCCGCACAAACCACCTGCCCCCCGCGGTGCCGCTCCTGCACTAACAATGAAGTTAAGTGCAACAATAGAAGTCTGACAGCGCCGCCCCGGGTAAGTCCAGAAAGTTTTTTTTTTTTGTAGATTTAACTTCTAAACATCCAATTTCTCAGTGCAGCTATCATCAAAAGATCTTATTTCTCGGTGTCTTAGTGCAGATACCATCAAAAGATCTTATTTCTCTGTGTCTTAGTGCAGATACCAACAAAAAATCTTATTTCTCGGTGTCTTAGTGCAGATACCAACCAAAGATCTTATTTCTCGGTGTCTTAGTGCAGATACCAACAAAAGATCTTATTTCTCGGTGTCTTGGTGAAGATACCAACAAAAGATCTTATTTCTCGGTGCATTAGTGCAGATACCAACACAAGATCTTATTTCTCGGTGTCTTAGTGCAGATACCAACAAAAGATCTTATTTCTCGGTGTCTTAGTGCAGATACCAACAAAAGATCTTATTTATCGGTGTCTTAGTGCAGATACCAACAAAAGATCTTATTTCTCTATGTCTTAGTGCAGATGCCATCAAAAGATCTTATTTCTCGGTGTCTTAGTGCAGATACCAACAAAAGATCTTATTTCTCTATGTCTTAGTGCAGATGCCATCAAAAGATCTTATTTCTCGGTGTCTTAGTGCAGATACCAACAAAAGATCTTATTTATCGGTGTCTTAGTGCAGATAAAATCAAAAGATCTTAGTGCAGATACCAACAAAAGATCTTATTTCTCTATGTCTTAGTGCAGATGCCATCAAAAGATCTTATTTCTCGGTGTCTTAGTGCAGATACCAACAAAAGATCTTATTTATCGGTGTCTTAGTGCAGATAAAATCAAAAGATCTTATTTCTTGGTGACTTAGTGGAGATAACATCTAGAGACGTATTCCTCGGCGACTTTGCACAAAGATAACTTCTAGAGAAATCCCTCTGTGATTTAGTGCTACAACGGTCTCCAACTCAAATAGTTTAACATTTTAAAGTAGGAGAGATGAACACGCGGTCCTCGGATCTGCATTTAGTCATCGTACTGTTATTTAAAGGATAAAATGTCCCTGGAGAAGGCTTTCATTTATGTATAACATTCATGACCACAATGATATGGACAATTCTACAGCACATTAAAACAAGACAAACACTTGCACTCAAGAAAAGAATGTATAACATTGTCATGTGATATCTCAGATACTCTATTTGCAACTCGAATAGGGCTTGAGAGCAGCCAAATCCGGCCTGAGAGCCACATAATGGGGCATGAGAGCCACCGAATGGGGTCTGAGAGCCACCGAATGTGGCCTCAGCCACCAAATGGGGCCTGAGCCAACGAAGGGGACTTGAGCCAACAAATGAGGCCCAAGAGCTGCCGAATGGGGCCTGAAAGCCACCGAATGGGGCCTGAGGGCCTCCGAATTGGGTCTGGGGGCCGCCGATTGGGGTCAACAAATGAGGCCCGAGAGCCACGAACATGAAGATACAATTTTCTATAGCAAATTCTCCAATCCATGCATCAAGATTTTTCTACTAACTACAACCGCCTGATCCATGTTTCTTTCTCCCAAAGTCTTACCCCACTGGCACAACCACGATCAACCTGGCAGACAACCACATCCGCGTGCTGGGGGCCAGGGCGTTCACCAGGGCTGACACCGTGGAGGTTCTCAAACTGAGCGGGAACAAGTTGGCCGGCCTGAGAAATGACGCATTCAGGTGAGCCGCCGGGGCTAGAGTTCTATACGAGGTACACCATCTCGTCCTTGTTGTTGAGTGGTTCCTATACACATGACAGCAGTCATCAATGGTTATCAGAGTAAGTTTTTAAATGGTTCCTCTACACATGACAGCAGTCATCAATGAATGTATTGGAGAATGTCCAGACATAGATTCTCCTAAAAGTCTACAAATATAGTGCAGTATCCAGACTTAAAAATCGACTTCATACCTACAAATAAAGTGCAATGTCCAGACATTGATTCTCCTAAAAGTCTACAAATATAGTGTAGTGTCCAGACTTAAAATCTACTTCATACCTACAAATAAGGTGCAATGTCCAGACATTGATTCTCCTAAAAGTCTACAAATATAATGAAATCTCCAGATATAGATTTTCCTAATAGCCTACAAATATAATGAAATCTCCAGACATAGATTTTCCTTATGAAATGTCTTATACGTCTTACTAGGATATGCGTTATTTCATCAAGTGCCTGTAACAATCACAAGTGACGGTAACAATCAATTTTGGCAGTAACAATCACATGTGGCAGTAACAATCACAAGTGACAGTAACAATCAATTTTGGCAGTAAAAATCAATTTTGGCAGTAACAATCACAAGTGGCGGTAACAATCACAACTAGCAGTAACAATCACATGTGCCGGTCACAATCACATGTGGCGGTAACAATCACATGTGGCGGTAACAAACACATATGCCGGTAACAATGACATGTGGCGGTAACAATCCCATGTGCCGGTAACAATCCCATGTGCCGGTAACAATCCCATGTGCCGGTAAAAAATCACATGTGCCCGTAACAATCACATGTGCCGGTAACAATCACTTCGTAAAAACATATCTTCTTTTTTTTTAAAATCCTTTACACAAACTTCGCTCTTATTCGTGTGCTTCTTTCTGGCTGGGGGGTGTGGACAAATCTGCGGACCGACTTCACGGTAAACATATCGACCTGAAACTTGGCACATGGACTCGTTGCCGATGACAACACATTCTATCAAATTTTCCGTTGTTCAAGTTTTTCAAGGGGAAGATGAATGAAATATGATGCCACTGATTTCGCGAAAGAAAAACAAAATATCTCAAGTGCATTTGGTGCGCAATATTGTCTTTTGTTTGTTTTTTATGAAATGGTTGGTGAAATGAATCTCCGGTGTCAAAGCGAGTTGATCATTAGAATATTAAAATATTTTTTTATGAAATGGTTGGTGAAATGAATCTCCGGTGTCAAAGCGAGTTGATCATTAGAATATTAATAGACAAGAATAAAACTTGAAAGAAAAAAAGTAGTTCTACCAAAAAGCTTGTTTTAGGGGTTGTTTAATCGACTTGGAAATGCCATTTGGTATCACCACAGTCGTCCGACAGGTCGGTCGATCCCATTATCTGGCCACTTTGATATGTTACACACTCAATCATGATAACTACTTCTTGTTCTTGTTACTGTTGTTACAATCCTATCTTCATCATGTCAAAACTGCACTAATCCCAATGGAGCCTGTACACATTTGACGTACAACTTTATGACACGGTAATGACATATGACACATCTACTCTCAAAACACACAATTTAAATAAGTAACAAAGTTTCTGTTAAATATTTTAAACTAGCCAAAATGAAGCCATTTCAATATATATATTTTATTCAAGACCTCTGTGAAATAAATTTTAGTCAGGACCTCTGTGAAATACATTTTAGACAGGACCTCTGTGAAATACATTTTAGACAGGACCTCTGTGAAATACATTTTAGACAGGACCTCTGTGAAATACATTTTAGACAGGCTTCGAATATTTCTAAAGAAAATGGAAAGTGTCCTTATGAACGCCCTTATATCTGCACTCAAATTCCCAGTAATCGTCCCTATAACTGTCCCCATAAATTTCGCTATAATTGTCCCTATGAATGTCTCTTGAACTGTCTCTATTACTGTCATTTTCAGTTACTTCCCCAATCTGATGTCCCTCGACCTCAGTGACAATCGCATCAGCGGCATGCACCGCAAGGCGCTGCGCAACATGAAGCAGCTGCGCACCTTGTCCATCAGCAAAAACAAGCTGTCCACCCTCGACTTCCTGGAGGAGACGCCCAACCTCTTCCAGCTCGATCTGGGCTACAATAAGATTAGAACCATCGGAGAGAACGACCTCGCGGCCTTGACCAGGATACATAACCTTGACCTACGCGGCAACACTATCGTCACCATACACGCCCGAGCGTTTAAGAGTCTCAGATATTTAAGGTGTTTTGTGTGTGAATGCCTGATTGTTGTGGCTTCTCTTAAGACTGAGTTCCTTTAGACATGGACTGTAGAAGTGGCTTGGAGTTAAGGAACAGTGGTTCTCAAACTAAGGTCCATAGAGACAGAGTGTGAATGCCTGATTGTTGTGGCTTCTCTCGGGACTGAGTTCCTTTAGACATGGACTGTAGAAGTAGCTTGGAGTTAGGAACAGTGGCTCCCAAACTAAGGTCCATAGAGACAGAGTGTGAATGCCTGATATTTGTGGCTTCTCTCGGGACTGAGTTCCTTTAGACGACTGTAGAAGTGGCTTGGTGTTAAGGAACAGCGGTTCCCAAACTAATGGTCCATAGAGACAGAGTGTGAATGCCTGATTGTTGTGGCTTCTCTCGGGACGTAGTTCCTTTAGACATGGACTGTAGAAGTGGTTTGGAGTTAAGGAACAGTGGTTCCCAAACTAAGGTCCAAAGAGACAGAGTGTGAATGCCTGATTGTTGTGGCTTCTCTTAAGACTGAGTTCCTTTAGACATGGAATGTAGAAGTGGCTTGGAGTTAAGGAACAGTGGATCCCAAACTAAGGTCCATAGAGACAGAGTGTGAATGCCTGGTCCTTGTGGCTTGTATTTTCTGATTGGTTATCAAACTAGGATAAATGGAATTAGAATTTGAATGTCAGATTGATGTGTCGTGTGGTCTGGGACAGTGGTTCTCCAACTTATGTCAATGGAGACAAGTTTGAACGTCTGGTTGCTGAGCCTTGGAGTTTTGGACAGTGGTTCTCAAATGAGGCACATAGATATAGGGTATGAATGTCTGGTAGTTGTGGCTCGGAGATTGTGTCAGTGGTTCTCAAACCAATGACAAGGACATAGAGTGTGAAAATAGGGTACCCATGACTTGGAGTTTGGGACAGTTGTTAAACTGAAGTCCACAGTCATCCACACACAAAAGACAATAAAATGACAATAATTGGGATCCTCGCATGAATGAGGATGAAGAGCAACTTATTTAGGATGGAGGAAGAAGTTGAAAAACTGCTATAGTTCGACACTGGACGCAATCATGTTGAAGATTGTTAAATATTCAAAACAAATATATGCAGAATATTGCGTTAATAAAAGACACAGCATTTACCACACAGATCCATCTCTCTACAACAATCCTATGTCAACTATGCCACCATTTACCACACAGATCTCTCTCTCTGAACAACAATCCCATGTCAACTATGCCACCATTTACCACACAGATCCCTCTCTCTGAACAACAATCCCATGTCAACTATGCCACCATTTACCACACAGATCCCTCTCTCTGAACAACAATCCCATGTCAACTATGCCACCATTTACCACACAGATCCCTCTCTCTGAACAACAATCCCATGTCAACTATGCCACCATTTACCACACAGATCCCTCTCTCTGAACAACAATCCCATGTCAACTATGCCAATATTTACCACACAGATCCCTCTCTCTGAACAACAATCCCATGTCAACTATGCCACCATTTACCACACAGATCCCTCTCTCTGAACAACAATCCCATGTCAACTATGCCACCATTTACCACACAGATCCCTCTCTCTGAACAACAATCCCATGTCAACTATGCCTCGTCTAGAGTTTACCACAGAGTTCCTACAACTGGTGGACTTGTCCAGCTGCAATCTGAGCGCTGTACCTGGACCTTTCCCTGCATCAGTCAGTGACTTAAGACTTGGTCAGAATGCAATACAACAGGTACATAGGGCATAAGGTATAAAAGTCATTCAGGTATGATAGACAATCAGGTATGAAAAGTAGTCAGGTATGAATGAGAAAATCGAGATGTTGGTTTACAAATAGGGAATACTTTAAATATTTAAAAATGGAAAACTGCACACACACACACAAAGATATGAAAACCAGGTGGACTATATAAAGACATAAATATTTATCATTATAAATATATAGATTTTGACCATTAAAAGAAAACAATCAAAAGTATTTAAAAGCATAGCATATCATTGGACATCTTCTGGCATATTTAAAAGCATAGCATATCATTGGACATCCTCTGGCATATTTAAAAGCATAGCATATCATTGGACATCTTCTGGCATATTTAAAAGCATAGCATATCATTGGACATCCTCTGGCATATTTAAAAGCATAGCATATCATTAGACATCCTTTGGCATATTTAATAGCATAGCATATCATTGGACATCCTCTGGCATATTTAAAAGCATAGCATATCATTGGACATCCTCTGGCATATTTAAAAGCATATTATTGGACATTCTCTGGCATATTTAAAAGCATAGCATATCATTGGACATCCTCTGGCATATTTAAAAGCATAGCATATCATTAGACATCCTCTGGCATATTGTGTTTAACAGGAATGTCCCCATTTGTCTAGGTGCTCCACACTGACCTCCTCAACATCACAGACCTGGAGCTGTTAACCTTGAATGACAACCAGATTAGATTTTTTGCGGATGGAGCCTTGTCTCACCTGACCATGCTCACAGAGGTAAGTCATGACATGGATGTCATACACCATTAGCTAACAGAGGTAAGTCATGAAATGGGCATAAACTGTTAGCTAGCAGAGGTAAGTCATGACTTGGTCATACACCATCGTTTAAAAGATGTAAGTCATGACTTGGTCATACACCATCGTTGAAAAGATGTAAGTCATGACACGGTCATACCAGGGCAACATCCCAGTGATTAGCAGTCTCTCAGAGCATCTGAAGGCCTCTGAACTTTTCTCTCCAATGAGTTTTTAAGGTTTTCTGACATGTTTGTTAGGGTCCATGTTTCACTTGCGTATGCTACAACTGGCCTGATTACAGTTTTTTAAATAGTTTTCTTGTAATGTTTTTACTTGTGAGTATTTTCTGACTACTGGAGTATGCCTTGCTTACGGCTGGTATTCTTTCTTTTATATGTTATTAATTCATTTCTTTCATTTAATAAAGATCCTAGGTATTTGAATTCATTTACTTTTTCAAAAGTCTGGTTTCTAATTTTAATGGTTTCTTCTGTCCGTGCCTCTCTTATCAAGCTCTGTTCCCCTCTTATCAAGCTCTGTTCCCCTCTTATCAAGCTCTGTTCCCCTCTTATCAAGCTCTGTTCCCCTCTTATCAAGCTCTGTTCCCCTCTTATCAAGCTCTGTTCCCCTCTTATCAAGCTCTGTTCCACTCTTATCAAGCTCTGTTCCCCTCTTATCAAGCTCTGTTTCCCTCTAACAAGCCTACAAACGTCCAGCTGGGCTCCTGAAACCCCATGAAACAACAGGGAATAACATTTTTAATGTACACTTTCCAGGTGTGGCTTAGGTCTAACAATTTGGTGTACATCCCGCGTGATCTGCCCAACAGCTTGACCAAGATACACATGGACTCCAACAAAATTGCAGAAATTGAGAGTGGAATTTTCAGCAACCAGTCCCGCCTCGTCTACTTGACGGTGGAGAACAACATAATCACAAGGATCCAGCCCGACACTTTCAAGGGACTGCGCTTCCTAGACACACTCAATTTCCAGGGAAACAACATTCATACTCTGGAGGCTGGTACATTCTCAGATCTCGGCAGTCTCAGTACCATCTTTCTGTCCAACAATCTTTTGAGGAGGATAGAGATCGGCGCCTTCCACAATCTCGGGAATCTGAGCAGGCTCTTCCTTTCATACCAACCCACTGAGGAGTTTGAGCTCATGGGAAGCTTCCTGCCTGAGATGCTGAGGCTGCAGGAGCTGCACATGATGGGCAGTCATGGCCTCGTGGACGCCTTCATGGCCATAATCAATGACCCAGAGATAGCCCTGGTCCCCATGTCCAGCCTAACCCTGCTGGACGTCAGCTACAACAACCTGCAGTGGATAACTCCGAGAGTCAGGGTCATCTTCCCCAACCTTGCCTCATTCATTCTGAATGGGAACCCTTTGAGGTGTTCGAGGAATTTAAAGTGGTTGAGGGATTGGATGGTGTCTAGTGATGTTAAATTCCATGACAACGAGGAGGTCACTTGCGAGAGCCCATTGAGACTTCGCGGTAGAACTGTGAGAAGCATTCAAGATGCAGAATGGGCAGAAATCGGTGAGGTTGACATTGGGGAAAGCATTAGTGCTCCACAGAACGACCCTTCGGAGGCAGCACCACAAGTTCAACCACAGCCCCAGAGGGGAACAGAAGGTAAAAAGTCAAAAGAAGAGAAAGTGAAAAAGGAGAAGAGTGAAAGAGGAAAGAAGAAAGACAAAACTAACAACAAACGAAATGGAAAGAAAGAAAAGCCGGGAAAAGATGGGCAAAGTGCAGAGGAACAAAAAAAAAGAAAAAACAAAGATAATGGAGAGAAAGAAAAAGAGAGAAAGAATAAAAAGGCCAAGTCGGGCAAGAAAGATAGTCCCAAAGACAAAAGTATCAACTGATCACCGGGCATTGAGATGACATCAATAAATTTAGATGCCGGCACTTAATCATCTTTTTCTCAAAAATCAAATAAAAATGAGATTTTAGGCTGGGAAACATTCAATAATAAATGTAAAGCACAAACGACAAGTCACTGTCAAATCTGAAAAAATGAAGAAACTTTACTATTTGTTATAGAATTGAAAACTTAAAATGATATGAAATAAATATTGGAAACATGATGAAGTTAGAAGGTTATTGTATAGTGACACAAGGACTAACCGAGGATGCACACAGCACCAGTTTGTTATTGCAGCATATCTTTAATGATTTATCAACAAACATTATTGCTAGTATCCAAGAAAAGATACAACAGTTCATGTTACATTCAATTTTATAATAGTTTTGTTGACTTGTACAGAAAATTCAACAACCGATAAAAATAAAAGTTTTTTATATAATCCTTTACATGCATTTTTAAAATTATTTTATATTATTTATTCTAATGCCCCGCCCATTCTTACACCGCAGATTTATTTGACCAACCATTTCAGAAAAAAAATATATATTATGCATTTAACGCACTTGCAACATGTTTATGAATCCAATTGAGCTCAATTAGCAGTGCATTAAAGGCACTTGCAACATGTTTATGAATCATATTTAGCTCAATTAGCAGTGCATTAAACGCACTTGCAACATGTTTATGAATCCAATTGAGCTCAATTATCAGGAATTTCATTCTTGTTAAATCAATGGTATCATTTTATTTCTTTGTTCATTTTGAACAACAGAAAAAACTGATTTTTGGAGGTGGGGCAGAAATTGTGAAGGAATGTGTTGTCATCGGCAACAAGTCTATGTACCAAGTTTCAGCTAGATAGGTTGAAGGGAAGTGGGTCAATTAGGTGTCCCAAGATTATGCCAGCCAAAACATGTGAACAAAAGCAAAGTTAATATAAAGAATTTTAGTAATTTATTTCTTTTATATCCCTTTCTTTTCCACTTGCCAAGTAACTCCTATCAAAAGCAGGCTGACCATAAGCCATGTAAAGACCAGTGTTAAACAATTGATTGACTTGACCATAAGCCATGTAAACACCAGTGTTAGAACAATGGATTGACCATAAGCCATGTAAACACCAGTGTTAAACAATGGATTGACTTGACCATAAGCCATGTAAACACCAGTGTTAAACAATGGATTGACTTGACCATAAGCCATGTAAACACCAGTGTTAAACAATGGATTGACTTGACCATAAGCCATGTAAACACCAGTGTTAGAACAATGGATTGACCAAAAGCCATGTAAACACCAGTGTTAAACAATGGATTGACTTGACCATAAGCCATGTAAACACCAGTGTTAAACAATGGATTGACTTGACCATAAGCCATGTAAACACCAGTGTTCGAACAATGGATTGACCATAAGCCATGTAAACACCAGTGTTAAACAATGGATTAACCATAAGCCATGTAAACACCAGTGTTAGAGAAAAGGATTGACTTGACAATAAGACAAAATTTTGTACAGACCAGTGTTAATACAATGGATTAACTACAATGTAAAGTAGGAATGCTTGTCACTGTAAAGTAGGAATGCTTGTCACTGTAAAGTAGGAATACTTGTCACTGTAAAGTAGGAATACTTGTCACTGTAAAGTAGGAATACTTGTCACTGTAAAGTAGGAATGCTTGTCACTGTAAAGTAGGAATGCTTGTCACTGTAAAGTAGGAATACTTGTCACTGTAAAGTAGGAATGTTTGGGACTGTAAAGTAGGAATACTTGTCACTGTAAAGTAGGAATACTTGGCACTGTAAAGTAGGAGTGCTTGGCACTGTAAAGTAGGAATGCTTGGGACTGTAAAGTAGGAATGCTTGTCACTGTAAAATAGGAATGCTTGGCACCGTAAAGTAGGAATACTTGGCACTGTAAAGTAGGAATGCTTGGCACTGTAAAGTAGGAATATTTGGCACCGGGACCGATAAATTCATTGATTTCCCTTTCCCCGCCGCAGAAAAAAGTTTTATGTGTTCATGAAATGATTATGACTTAAATAACAGATGGTCTCAAACAATGTATGTCTCCATTTGATTTATTTTTATTTACATCCAAAGTAATATTCTCGGTTAGGGTGTTATCTTTACATGGGACGACCAGTAGTTCAGTGTGTGCTTGACCTCTTGTTCAGTGTGTGCTTGACCACTAGTTTATTATGTGCTTGACCACAAATTTCAATGTGTGCTTGACCGCTAGTTTAGTATGTGCTTGACCGCTAATTCAATGTGTGCTGGACCACTAGTTCAGTGTGTGCTTTGACCACTAGTTCAGTGTGTGCTTGACCACTAGTTCAGTGTGTGCTTGACAGCTAGTTCAGTGTGTGCTTGACCGCTAGCTTAGTATGTGCTTGTACTCTTTCTATAAAAAAAGTAGCAAGTAGCAGTATGTGGTAAGTGAAAAGTAAACAAATCTTTAGAGTACAGCCCTACACAGTAGAAATTTCTTACACCAGTGGTTCCCAGCCTTTTTTACAATGGAATTTCCTCTATTGAATAGAGCACACAGTTCCCAAATCAGATTTGAGTAGCGCATCTCCATTAAACATCAACAGCTTAGCGACTGAGAAAATGAACCGGAAATCAAGGCGGACCTATGTAAGTGGGTCCCCCAACAGATCTATAAATTAAAGGACTGCATTCAAGCCTAGTAAGTGAATGAAATAGCAAAACGAGGTATTTGGAAGCTTGAATTAGAGAACAGGACAAAAAGATAAGGACATTTCGGCATAAAGCCTTCTTCAGCTAACAGCAGAAATGAAAATATCACAAAGAAAAGAGCACAGTAAACAACTCAAGAAATATCCATTATTGTCGTCGAAAGATGAGTCCACTGATCTGACCACCCAACAGATTACTCCAATGATCTGACCACCAAAACAGATTAGTCCACTGATATGACCACCAAACAGATGAGTCCACTGATCTGACCACCAAAACCGATTAGTCCACTGATCTGACCACCAAACAGATGAGTCGACTGACCTGACTACCAAACGATGTAACTTTTTATACTTGGAGCTCAGCAATGACATAAAATTAGATTAAATATTTATATACTTTTACAGGGGACCAAAGTTAGAGGCCACCTGACACCATGGGCAGGAAAACTATAACATAGTTGTGTGACATTGTTTTGATTTAAACTTACTGAATCCAATGCCAGTATTAGATATAGAAATATGTTGTAACACTACAGCATAAGATATAGAAATATGTTGTAACACTACAGCATAAGATATGGAAATATGTTGTAACACTACAGCATAAGATATAGAAATATGTTGTAACACTACAGCATAAGATATAGAAATATGTTGTAACACTACAGCATAAGATATAGAAATATGTTGTAACACTACAGCATAAGATATGGAAATATGTCGTAACACTACAACATAAGATATGGAAATATGTTGTAACACTACAGCCTAAGATATAGAGATATGAGATAAGTTGTAATGCTACAAAATAAGATGTTGTAAAACTATATTGTCGTACCTTTTGCTGCACAAGCGTGTGTCTCTCCTCCATCTCCTTCCTCTCTACTTTAGCTTTAGAGCTAAGTTCCTCAACCTGTGAGACAGAAGAATACAGAAAGTCTTATGTGAAACAACTAGAAAATTACAAGAACACATAGGGACAATGCAATCATTATACAAGAGCAAGGAACAACAAAGGGACAATGTAATCATTGTTATACAAGAGCCCAGAACAACAAAGGGACAATGCAATCATTATACAAAAGCCCAAAACAACAAAGGGACAATGTAATCATTGTTATACAAGAGCTCGGAACAAGAAAGGGACAATGTAATCATTGTTATACAAGAGCCTGGAACAACAAAGGGACAATGTAATCATTGTTATACAAGAGCTCGGAACAAGAAAGGGACAATGTAATCATTGTTATACAAGAGCTCGGAACAACAAAGGGACAATGCAATCATTATACAAGAGCAAGGAACAACAAAGGGACAATGTAATCATTGTTATACAAGAGCCTGGAACAACAAAGGGACAATGTAATCATTGTTATACAAGAGCTCGGAACAAGAAAGGGACAATGTAATCATTGTTATACAAGAGCCTGGAACAACAAAGGGACAATGCAATCATTGTTATACAAGAGCTCGGAACAAGAAAGGGACAATGTAATCATTATTATACAAGAGCCTGGAACAACAAAGGGACAATGCAATCATTGTTATACAAGAGCCTGGAACAACAAAGGAACAATGCAATCATTGTTATACAAGAGCCTGGAACAACAAAGGGACAATGTAATCATTGTTATACAAGAGCCTGGAACAACAAAGGGACAATGTAATCATTGTTATACAAGAGCCTGGAACAACAAAGGGACAATGCCATCATTTTTATACAAGAATTCAGAAAGATTTAAGGCAGTGGTGGTCTGCTGACGAGCATCGGTCAACGAGCATTATGTTGCTTATGAGTCTTCTCACTAACATGGTAATGAGTCTTCTCACTAACATGGTAATGAGTATTCTCACTAGCATGGTAATGAGTATTCTCACTAGCATGGTAATGAGTCTTCTCACTAGCATGGTAATGAGTCTTCTCACTAACATGGTAATGAGTATTCTCACTAGCATGGTAATGAGTATTCTCACTAGCATGGTAATGAGTCTTCTCACTAGCATGGTAATGAGTCTTCTCACTAACATGGTAATGAGTCTTCTCACTAACATGGTAATGAGTCTTCTCACTAGCATGGTAATGAGTCTTCTCACTAATATGGTAATGAGTCTTCTCACTAGCATGGTAATGAGTCTTCTCACTAGCATGGTAATGACTCTTCTCAATAACATGGTAATGAGTCTTCTCACTAGCATGGTAATGAGTCTTCTCACTAACATGGTAATGAGTATTCTCACTAGCATGGTAATGAGTCTTCTCACTAGCATGGTAATGAGTCTTCTCACTAACATGGTAATGAGTCTTCTCAATAACATGGTAATGAGTCTTCTCACTAGCATGGTAATGAGTCTTCTCACTAATATGGTAATGAGTCTTCTCACTAGCATGGTAATGAGTCTTCTCACTAGCATGGTAATGAGTCTTCTCACTAATATGGTAATGAGTCTTCTCACTAACATGGTAATGAGTCTTCTCACTAGCATGGTAATGAGTGTTCTCACTAGCACGGTAATGAGTCTTCTCACTAGCACGGTAATGAGTCTTCTCACTAGCATGGTAATGAGTCATCTAGCTAACATGGTAATGAGTCTTCTCAATAGCACAGTAATGAGTCTTCTCACTAGCAGGGTAATGAGTCTTCTCACTAGCACGGTAATCAGTCTTCTCACTAGCACGGTAATGAGTCTTCTCACTAGCATGGTAATGAGTCTTCTCACTAACATGGTAACGAGTCTTCTCACTAGCATGGTAATGAGCCTTTTCACTAATAAGGTAATGAGTCTTCTCACTAGCACAGTAATGAGTCTTTTCACTAATACGGTAATGAGTCTTCTCACTAGCACGGTAATGAGTCTTCTCACTAACATGGTAACGAGTCTTCTCACTAGCATGGTAATGAGCCTTTTCACTAATAAGGTAATGAGTCTTCTCACTAGCACGGTAATGAGTCTTCTCACTAACATGGTAACGAGTCTTCTCACTAGCATGGTAATGAGTCTTCTCACTAGCATGGTAATGAGTCTTCTCACTAACATGGTAATGAGTCTTCTCACTAATACGGTAATGAGTCTTCTCACTAGCACGGTAATGAGTCTTCTCACTAACATGGTAATGAGCCTTCTCACTAGCATGGTAATGAGTCTTCTCACTAGCACGGTAATGAGTCTTCTCACTAGCATGGTAATGAGCCTTTTCACTAATACGGTAATGAGTCTTCTCACTAGCACAGTAATGAGTCTTCTTACTAGCATGGTAATGAGTCTTCTCACTAACATGGTAATGAGTCTTCTCACTAGCACAGTAATGAGTATTCTCACTAACATGGTAATGAGTCTTCTCAATAGCATGGTAATGAGTCTTCTCACTTGCATGGTAATGAGTCTTGTCACTAACACAGTAATGAGTCTTCTCACTAGTACGGTAATGAGTCTTCTCACTAACATGCTAATGAGTCTCCTCACATCGGCAGATGACAGATAAAAAATATTTAATGACATTTAGAAAGTTAATAAGTTATAATTGTGGCACTGGAGCTTTTGGGATAAGAAAACTTATACAGGGGTCCAAAAACTGAAAAGTTTGGGAATCATTTGAATAAAGGGAAACATTTAACTTAAGAGACGCAGTCATAAAAATTATAGAGAGCTCAGAATGACTTAAGAGAAGCAGTCTTAAAAATTATAGAGAGCTCAGAATGACTTAAGAGATGCAGTCATAAAAATTATAGAGAACTCAGAATGACTAAAGACATCAGTATTCAGTTGAGTAGTTGACTTTTTCATCATTTTAATTTTTTGAAAGTTAAATTTAAATTTGTCTGCATTTTACCCCAAAAATGAGATAGAGCGTAAATAATATAATCAAATGGACTTAAAAAAAATTACTTTTTTTACAACAACTTGAATAATGTCTCACAGACATGGACTAATAGTTCCAGTCTGTCGAAGAAAACATTTGAATAATGTCTCACAGACATGGACTAATAGTTCCAGTCTGTCAAAGAAAACGTTTGAATAATGTCTCACAGACATGGACTAATAGTTCAAGTCTGTCGAAGAAAACGTTTGAATAATGTCTCACAGACATGGACTAATAGTTCCAGTCTGTCAAAGAAAACGTTTGAATAATGTCTCACAGACATGGACTAATAGTTCCAGTCTGTCGAAGAAAACGTTTGAATAATGTCTCACAGACATGGACTAATAGTTCCAGTCTGTCAAAGAAAACGTTTGAATAATGTCTCACAGACATGGACTAATAGTTCCAGTCTGTCGAAGAAAACGTTTGAATAACGTCTCACAGACATGGACTAATAGTTCCAGTCTGTCAAAGAAAATGTTAAATACTACTAACCAAAAAAAAAAAAACGGGAGAAAACCAGGAAAAACAAACCTCAGTTACTTTAAGCATACAAATATATGTGTGCAGAATTGTGAAAGTAATTATGAAAGTAAAGTAATTATGAAAGTAATTATGAAAGTAAAGTAATTATGAAAGTAATTATAAAAGTAAAGTAGTTATGAAATTAATTATGAAAGTAAAGTAATTATGCAAGTCAAGTAATTATAAAAGTAATTATGAAAGTAAAGTAATTATGAAAGTAAAATAATGATGAAAGTAATTATGCAAGTAAATTAATTATAAAATTAATTATGAAAGAAAGGTAATGATGACAGTAAAGTAATGATGAAAGTAAAGTAATGATGAAAGTAAAGTAATGATGAAAGTAAATTAATGATGAAAGTAAAGCAATGGTTGAAAGTAAAGTAATGATGAAAGTAAAGTAATGATGAAAGTAAATTAATGATGAAAGTAAATTAATGATGACAGTAAAGTAATGATGACAGTAAAGTAATGCTGAAAGTAAAGTAATCATGACAGTAAAGTAGTGATGGCAGTAAAGTAATGATGAAAGTTTGCACTGTTATTTTCTCAACATTGAAACCATCAGTTTACCTGTCCAGCAATCTCCTTCATGTACGTGGTTTCCAAATCTTGGAAAAGGTCATGACCTTGATGGAAGAATGTGCTTTGTGCATGCATGAAAGACAACATCTGAAATAGAATGAGAAGGATATATAACATTTTGCTCTGGCCAATGTAACTTTATCATGGGGGTTGAGATTTTGAGAACCACTTCTAAACTATCACGCATATGAAAAAACATTTCACCATGGCAAATGTAACTTTATCATGGGGTCTGAGATGTTGAGAACCACTTCTAAACTATACAGAACATGTAAAATTTTACTGTGGCAAATGTAACTTTATCATGGGGTCTGAGATGTTTGAGAACCACTTCTAAAATACCCAGCATATGTAACATTTTACTGTGGCATAGGTAACTTTATAATGGGGTCCCAGATGTTTGAGAACCACTTCTAAACTTAACTGTCCAGCAAATGTAACAACATATCACTATGTAAATATAACTTTATAATGGGGTCTGAGATGTTCGAGAACCACTTCGAAACTTAAATGTCCAGCAAATGTAACATGTTACTATGTAAATGTATCTTTATAATGGGGTCTGAGATGTCTGAGAACCACTTCTAAACTTAACGATCCAGCAGGCTGGTGAACCACGGAGGTTTATTCTCGATATAGTATACAAATTCTGAAGAAAGAAATAAATAGTGCATTTCTTAGAAGTTGTTCTTAAGATTAAATCCATCCCTTTTATGTCTTCAAATTATGATAATCTTTCCGCCAATTATTCTCCAATTATTAGTCTTGATTACACAAATTAATCCCAAATCTGTGAGGAACTAAAGTTATAAATGCTGTACTACAAGAACATTAGAGTTTGTCAGGGGGGTTTATTCATTAAATGCCTATTTTGATTTTCTCAAAAGATATAGAAATACCAAGTTTAAACATTGACCTAATTCATTATCCATTTGTGTCAGCAAGGAAAAATTACTCTTGAATTTTGAACTGTTATACTTAGCCAATCCCATTCTGATTGAATTCCTGCCCCTTATTTTTTAAAATCCAGGCTTGTTTTAAAAAAAATAAAAGCAATTAAAACTCTGAATCTCTTTATATTTTATATGAAGATATGGTAATCATTTTTTTATAGAAAGTCAACCATTTCTTAAATTAACTTATAAATATTGCACCGCATGCAAAAAAATTTAAAACATTTTTAAGACTTTTATTTTATTTCCAACTCATGCAGATCGGCAACAACTTAAAAGGAAATGCTTAGATCAAAGCTAAAAACTCACTGTATCAACAATATCATGCTTAGAGATCAAAGCTAAAAACTCACTGTATCAACAATATCACACTTAGATCAAAGCTAAACTCTCACTGTATCAACAATATCATGCTTAGAGATCAAAGCTAAAACTCACTGTATCAACAATATCACACTTAGATCAAAGCTAAACTCTCACTGTATCAACAATATCATGCTTAGATCAAAGCTAAACTCTCACTGTATCAACAATATCATGCTTAGATCAAAGCTAAAAAAACTCACTGTATCAACAATATCATGCTTAGAGATCAAAGCTAAAAACTCACTGTATCAACAATATCATGCTTAGATCAAAGCTAAACTCTCACTGTATCAACAATATCATGCTTAGAAATCAAAGCTAAACTCTCACTGTATCAACAATATCATGCTTAGAGATCAAAGCTAAAATCTCACTGTATCAACAATATCATGCTTAGAGATCAAAGCTACACTCTCACTGTATCAACAATATCATGCTTAGAGATCAAAGCTAAACTCTCACTGTATCAACAATATCATGCTTAGAGATCAAAGCTAAAATCTCCCTGTGTCAACAATATCATGCTTAGAAATCAAAGCTAAACTCTCACTGTATCAACAATATCATGCTTAGATCAAAGCTAAAATCTCACTGTTTCAACAATATCATGCTTAGAGATCAAAGCTAAAAACTCACCGTATCAAGAATATCAAATCTCTTCTTGGAATTGAGCACATTCACCTGGAATTAAAATATTTGCATAAATAATTTTTAAAGTTGCACCATTTTGAAAACAGTAGATACAGCAAATGTACAAGATATAACTTATATTAACTTAACTAGTCAATGCACAAGATATAATTTATATTAAATTTAACATTTCTGTTGTGTGCATTGCTTTGTTGTTTCTAAAGTTTCAGATTCGTCAACTTGTTATTAAAATTTTTCATGCACTCAAATAAAAAAATTGACATTAATGGGATTTATTCTCTATAGTGTGCAATCAAAAGATTTGAATGAACATGTAGCTAACAAATAAAATTTGAGGGGAAGAACAACGTTTGAAGTTTTAACAAATAACAATAAATGCTGTTGTGTTCAGAGTAAAGGCGGCTGTTTTTTTCAGAGTAAAGGCGGCTGGTTTGTTCAGAGTAAAGGCGGCTGGTTTGTTCAGAGTAAAGGCGGCTGTTTTGTTCAGAGTAAAGGCGGCTGTTTTGTTCAGAGTAAAGGCGGCTCTTTTTTTCTACCTCCATAGATAAGTCTTTTAACTAGGGATGCGGGCCACAATCAGGATGTTAACAAAAATAAAAATTTTGGGGGTAAAATTGAACAATGGTTTCTCATGAGCTGCACAAATTCTGAGCAATACAGGATTTGTAAGTAAAAATTATAATATAAAGTATTTTAATATTTTTTATATGACAATAAACATATAATAGGGAAAATAAATAAATGCACAAATTTGAAGCAAAAAAATTAGAAGCAAAGAAAATATATTTTTCTAACACAAAGTAAAAGATGCGTAGTTACTGAGTTATAAATAATAGAAACAACTCAAGCTGACACCATCAAAAAAAGATATAACTTGTAGGTACTGAGTTGTAAATAATAGAAACAACTCAAGCTGACACCATCAAAAAAAGATATAACTTGTAGGTACTGAGTTGTAAATAATAGAAACAACTCAAGCTGACACCATCAAAAAAAAAGATATAACTTGTGTAGGTACTGAGTTATCAATAATAGAAACAACTCAAGCTTACACCATCAAAACAAGAAACACATAAAAAGCATTTCTATTCAAAATTTTCAAGTTGTAAAAAAAATTTACACATTTAAAAAAATGTTTTTGATGTTATTGAAACAACTCACTTGAAAGACATAATCCAATGATGTGTGAGCGAAGCAGGACCTCATGGCCGTCAGCGTGTTGTGTGCCTCCTCACACTCCTGTGGTTTTGACTTGGCCGCCTGGGAGTTGCGGATGAAAGCTGCATCCATGTCATCGCTGATCTTCTCAAACAATTTCTTGGTCTCCTTGACCTTCTTGATGTCACTGGAAATGAACGCCATCACATGGTCATGGTACATTTCAAATAAGCATTTATATTATTATGTACACTGCGTACATCCGAAGCACATTTTATGAATATTGAGGCCTATGGATGTGTTCATTCAAGCCACAATTAAGAAAAATAATTATATCTTAAAAAAATGTTGTTGTACTTGAAAAAATTTCTTTTAGTTTACAATTAAATAGAAGAACACATTATGCCAGAGATATTTCTTGCAATTGTACAACCTTTCTGTCAATGGTGAAACTGAATTAATGATATTTCTTATCATTTTATGACCACTAAAGAACACTTACATTCTGATAAAGTTATTGAGATTCTTACAAACTGATCTGTTTGCTTGGTCCATGAGAATCTACAAAAAACATTGAAAAATTAGCTCATTTCACTATGAGTAGATCAGCTGTATGATATCAAGTCATGTTGTCTAACAGGTCATGTATTCTGTCAAGTGATGTATTGTATTTTATTAAGTATAGTCATGGACTATAAAGGTCATGTCATTGTATTCAATCGAGACATATCCCATAATTCCATGAAGTTTTAATGTGCATTCTATCAAGTTGTGTCACAGTACCTTGTCTGCATTTCTCAATTTTCAGTACGCTAGAATCTTCTCAAATGTCATTCTTGTGATCAAAGAAAAGTAACAATTAAGTTCAAAAGCAAATCCATAGTGCTTCCACTGTACTAGACATCCACGAAGTCCGTCCCCTGGACTAGACATCCACAAAGCCCGTCCCCTGGACTAGACATCCACACAGTCTTTCCATTGTACTAGATATCCACACAGTCCTTCCACTGTACTAGACATCCACAAAGTCCTTCCCCTGGACTAGATATCCACAAACTCCTTCCACTGTACTAGATATCCACACAGTCCTACCACTGGATGAGACATCCACACTCTGACATTTCTTTCACTGGACAAGACTAGCCACATTAAAAATAGATTGTAACCCCCTCAGAGACTTACATTAAAATATTTGAGCATTTCCGACATGGCATGAGCAAAGCGACTCAAGCTGGTCTGAAAGTAGAAGAAATAACAAAAATTTTAAAAACAAGTCTCGGTAAAGATCAAACCTGGGCTGGCTAAACATTTCTTATTTAAATTTACCCATAGTTACTGAGAATGCTACTATGAAAACTATAATAATAAAAGAAAAATTAGTGGGCTTACCAGGTTCACACAGTTTCCACCCATCAAACAAAAAAAATGATTTGTTAAGTAAAACAAAATATTGGATTATCTGATTTAGCCGACTCATGGAAATAATAAAACTTTTGAATTTCTTCAGCTCATTTCTTGTCTCATAAAAGAAGATGAAATAGTGGGGGGTGTCGGGGTGTTCATAGGTTAATAAAGGATAATGTGAGTAGGCCTATTCAGCAGGTTGTACAATAGTTATAATTACATCATCAAGAAAATTCAATCTACTATATAACAGTGTCGAGGAAAAAGTGAATATCAAAAAATAAGAATTGCTTATATAAGTGTGTTAATGGGAGGTAAGACAATTGTTTACTTAGGAAAAATGATGGAAAAACAGCATTCACCACAAAGCAGCTGTTAAAATGAGATAATATGTGAACAGGTGGTGATGGGTGGACGGGTGGTCATGGGTGGACAGGTGGTCATGGGTGGACAGGTGGTGATGGGTGGACAGGTGGTCATGGGTGGCCAGGTGGTGATGGGTGGACAGGTGGTCATGGGTGGACAGGTGGTCATGGGTGGCCAGGTGGTGATGGGTGGACAGGTGGTCATGGGTGGACAGGTGGTCATGGGTGGACAGGTGGTCATGGGTGGACAGGTGGTCATGGGTGGACAGGTGGTCATGGGTGGACAGGTTTTGGGGTATGGTTGGTTTCAAAAAGAAATATAATTCTATTAACAACCTTTAATATCTTCAGCTGGGCCATTTCATGTAACATATAAATATATTCTATGCTTTGTAAACTTAAGGACAAGATCATATTTGATTAAACTTAAACACGTGACTTGTAGAGCATCATACATTTAAAGACCAGCAACTTAATTTCACCCAATTTAAAAATCATAGTTTCCTCCCCTTAAACCCATTATTCTTTTTCAGCCATGCCCACAAGACATGACAAACCACAGAGGTTAACTAGACTAGGACTCATGCATTTGTTAACTTCATTGGTTTTGAGAAAAAAGAGAGAGAAAAAAAAAAATTCATCCATAAAATATGTGTACTTTATATTGTCTTTAATTTCATATGCTTTTACTGACTTCACATATTATGAAATCAAGTCAGGAAATTAGTGAAGTCAGGAAATTATTGAAGTCAGGAAATGATTCAAGTCAGGAAATCATTCATGCCAGCCTTCATTTCCTTCATGCCACAGTTTCCAAACGACAACTGCACATAGTGAGAGTGCACTGTTCTTTGTAGAACTTTTTTAGAACATGCTCAGTCTGACACACATAAACATTTCAGAACATGCTCAGTCTGACAGAACATAAACATCTCAGAACATGCTCAGCCTGGCAGAACATAGACATCTCAGAACATGCTCAGTCTGACAGAACATACAAAACATTTCTGACAGATAAGTAGCAAGATGATGTTCATTTTTGTTTAACTTAGTACAGACATAAATTACACAACTATCAAACAAGATCAAACTGTCTTAAAATTAAATGTGAAGTATTTGTGGTCTGGATTTCGCATAATCATGGACCAGCTGCCATTATACTTGCAGCTATAATACTTTCATTTGAAATGTCTCAGTAATGTGCACGCAAAGAAAATCAGAAACAAATAATGGATTTACTTTTTAAAATTAATAGCTTAAGTACTTTATTTCATTAGACCATCAGATTAGTGCAGCGCGTTTTTCAAGCAGCTATTTTTTTGGGTTTTGACCTTCAGCTATAGAATAAGTTTGAGGCAAACATTAAATGTCCATCATAAAGGATGCCAGAACCCTAAAACTACAGAAGCCTAAAACCCAACTCAGTCAACCCACTCAGTCAACCGACTCAGTCAACCGACTCAGTCAACCTACTCAGTCAACCGACTCAGTCAACCGACTCAGTCAACCGACTCAGTCAACCTACTCAGTCAACCTACTCAGTCAACCGACTCAGTCAACCGAGTCAGTCAACCTACTCAGTCAACCGACTCAGTCAACCTACTCAGTCAACCGACTCAGTCAACCTACTCAGTCAACCGACTCAGTCAACTTACTCAGTCAACCTACTCAGTCAACCGACTCAGTCAACCTACTCAGTCAACCGACTCAGTCAACCGACTCAGTCAACCTACTCAGTCAACCGACTCAGTCAACCTACTCAGTCAACCGACTCAGTCAACCGACTCAGTCAACCGACTCAGTCAACCGACTCAGTCAACCTACTCAGTCAACCGACTCAGTCAACCGACTCAGTCAACCTACTCATTCAACCGACTCAGTCAACCTACTCAGTCAACCGACTCAGTCAACCGACTCAGTCAACCGACTCAGTCAACCGACTCAGTCAACCGACTCAGTCAACCGACTCAGTCAACCGACTCAGTCAACCGACTCAGTCAACCGACTCAGTCAACCGACTCAGTCAACCGACTCAGTCAACCGACTCAGTCAACCGACTCAGTCAACCGACTCAGTCAACCGACTCAGTCAACCGACTCAGTCAACCGACTCAGTCAACCGACTCAGTCAACCGACTCAGTCAACCGACTCAGTCAACCGACTCAGTCAACCGACTCAGTCAACCGACTCAGTCAACCGACTCAGTCAACCGACTCAGTCAACCGACTCAGTCAACCGACTCAGTCAACCGACTCAGTCAACCGACTCAGTCAACCGACTCAGTCAACCGACTCAGTCAACCGACTCAGTCAACCGACTCAGTCAACCGACTCAGTCAACCGACTCAGTCAACCGACTCAGTCAACCGACTCAGTCAACCGACTCAGTCAACCGACTCAGTCAACCGACTCAGTCAACCGACTCAGTCAACCGACTCAGTCAACCGACTCAGTCAACCGACTCAGTCAACCGACTCAGTCAACCGACTCAGTCAACCGACTCAGTCAACCGACTCAGTCAACCGACTCAGTCAACCGACTCAGTCAACCGACTCAGTCAACCGACTCAGTCAACCGACTCAGTCAACCGACTCAGTCAACCGACTCAGTCAACCGACTCAGTCAACCGACTCAGTCAACCGACTCAGTCAACCGACTCAGTCAACCGACTCAGTCAACCGACTCAGTCAACCGACTCAGTCAACCGACTCAGTCAACCGACTCAGTCAACCGACTCAGTCAACCGACTCAGTCAACCGACTCAGTCAACCGACTCAGTCAACCGACTCAGTCAACCGACTCAGTCAACCGACTCAGTCAACCGACTCAGTCAACCGACTCAGTCAACCGACTCAGTCAACCGACTCAGTCAACCGACTCAGTCAACCGACTCAGCTGATGAGAGCAAAAAACCCCAAAACCAACTAAGAGAAGCCTATTATTTACACCCACCTACACCCATCCACACCCTTGTTATTTGATGCAGGAATAGAAAAAAACCACCAGCATGTCAATACAGGTCATGAAAATATAAATGCATACAGTTATGTTAAGGCCCTTTTCCCATGATAACATAAAATGTTGGCTTTGTTGCAAACATGGAAATAATTTTTTTTAAATATAATCCTAATTCTATTGAATGACTTATTGGTCATGAAGGGATTTTCTGTAGGGGTGACAACTAAGTGAACTAGAAACAAATAATGATTTTGAAAACAAGTTTCATTTGCAATCAGCATCATAAAGTTTGAATAAAATCATAATGATCCTTTACTTCCTTCTAGACATTACTGAGAGTGGAATATGGACTTTGCCAGATTTCACTTTGGACTTTGTGATAGTAGACTTAAGACTTTATGAGAGTGTACTTTTACGAGAATGTACTTTGTGAGAGTGGACTTTGTTGGAGTGCACTTTGTTGGAATGACTTTTGTCAAAGTGGACTTTGTGGGAGTGGACTTTCTAAACTTCTTTACTGGAAAACCCAAAAATAAGAAGAATCAGATTTCAATGCCAAGAATAACTTGAGGTAAGCATTCACGAAAATGCCACTGAGATTTTTTAAGAGAGTTACAATTTAAATAATCAGATTAAAAAGGTAAGTTAAACATTTTATGAAATATTGTTGTTAGGATATATAAATCTATTTTTGGGGGTCTTTACTTAAAAATGTATTTTTTGTATATGTCTAAATAACTGGGTTCATGGGCCACTTTGCTTCTATAGAATGGGGTCAAAGGTCAATTTGCTTCAATAGAATGGGGTACAGGTCAATTTGCTTCTATAGAATGGGGTCAAGCTCAATTCGCTTCTATAGAATGGTGTCCAGGTCAACTAACTTCTTTCAAATGGGGTCAAAAAGATTGATCACCTGTGGTCTACTGTATATATTTATATAACAAAAATGTACATATTTTAGCACAGATCTCAGCAGCACACTGCAAATATCAAATACTTAAGTAACCAATCATGGATTCATGGGTTTCATGGGATATGGATCATCTGCAATTTGTTTGAATGATTTGTTTGAAACGTTCAGTCTATCAATGTGAGCATTGCTCTTGCCGTTTAGCAATGGAACAAATATTACACTTGTAAATCAATTTAACTCTTTGACCAGCTTGCTATCCACAGTAATTAAAGCATCCCATAGGAAACTTCAATGAGAGGCCATCAGATGTACCATGTTTCATATTAATCTCTAATCAGAAATGCTTTTAAATTGTACAGTTCATTTGGTTTGATTTCTGCTCTTTAAACCACTTCACTCACGCCTGTTTGAACATTAAGACTATTTAACTGGCAGAGTTAGAGAGTAAACCATTCAGAAAGGCATGGAAAATGATCATCATTATCTAGAAATTACAATGGTGCAAACATGTATTTAGGATCACTCCAGAGACATAGGACACACACACACATACACAAACAGGAGAGTGGTGTTTTGAATCAAGCCTGATGTGTGGATTACTTTAAAGGTTGCAACATTTTTAAAAACTATCAAATTGAAGATTTAAAAAAGTTGACACACTGAGATAAACTCAAAAATTTAACGAAACAACACTCATTTTTCTAATCAAGATGCACTGTGCTGACTTTTGTCTCACATTCATTTTCTTCTTAGTTTCAAGCATTTCTAAACATACTTACAGAAACTTTGGCATTGTCCTGAGGTAATCAAGATAGAATCAGTCAAATGAGAGTTTCAGAGAAAAACTTGAGATTACCGTCAAGTTCAGTTTTTTTTTAAATAACTATAAACACCATCATCTACATCAGTGTTAATGTGGGTCATCAGATGTTATGTCATTGCATCACAATTGTACATATTTCAAACACATGTGACGTTTACATAAGGGACAAAAGGGGTGAGCTTCTGCTTTCAGTGATTTGAATGGATGAAGTTTATATGTGTGGTATCTAGATGTATAGTATCTGTATCTATAGTATCTACATGTATAGTATCTGTATCTATAGTATCTATATTTATAGTATCTGTATATAAAGTATCTTAATCTATAGTATCTATATCTTGGCTATTGAAAGGAAAACTGATGGCTGTGTGTGGTTTCTTTTGAAATTTGAATCGTAAACACACAAATTATCTGAGATTAATAAAAGAACAGCGGTTAGACATGCTCACCAACACATTTAGTTAAATGCATAAATCTGATTTTTGAAATCTATTTCTGAGATTTACAGGAGAGAAAAAAAGCCCAATTATCAGATTTCATTGTGACCCCAATTAAGTCACACGTTTTTCATGAGCACATCAAGTCACAAGACCACAGTCAAGTCAGACTTTTCATTCCAATCATGAACGAATGCAGCCGATGAAGGGGAGAGATGGGCTGCTAATGCTTGAATTTTTTTTTAGTGAGTTAAGTTGATGTAGGCTACATTAGACCAGAAAGTGAGTGTGTACTAGAACAAATGGCTCAATGTCAATTTGCCTACATTTTATGAAATCATTGGGGCAGGAACACTTTTTCTTATTTGGGAAACATAAACTTCAGCTCAAAGTGGTAAGCATCAAGAAGACATCTGCTGTGCCATGTATCAGAGCCGTGTATCAGTGCCGTGTATCAGTGCTGTGTATCAGTGCTGTGTATCAGTGCTGTGTATCAGTGCTGTGTATCAGTGCCGTGTATCAGAGCCGTAAGACTTGAGCTCAAATTGTGTAAGGTCATTAAGAAAATTAATATGGAAAAGAGCATACAACTTTTTTGTACTTACTTTTTCCCCCCAACGAAAAATTTTAAGCTGCTTGCATAATGATGTGTAGTGACTAGTATATATTCTAGTGTCAATTTAATCAGACAGTAGGCATACAGACAAAGCCATTGTAATTGACAGACATTATAGGAAGAAAGATTAAACAACACTGCACACATGTGTTTATATTGGAAAAGCAGTGAATAAGAGCTCAGTGCTACGGCATGTGTGTCATACAGCAATAATTTACAGCAGGCATTTTTCACGATACATTATTCTGGCCTGCAAGGTTAAAATTGATACAAGTATAAACACGTGGGTGAAGCTTCATAAAACATTGTATACCACAACCACAATCAAAGCCTCTTCTTATTTCTGTCATTAAAAATATTCTTAATTAAAATTATTTTGAGCTTGTCAATAATCATGAATATTAAATACTTCAGTATTGAAAAATAATAGCATTTAAATGCCTTTAAAAAATTTCTTTAAATGTTTTGGAGTTCATTCCCCATTCCCATTGAATGATTTAAATAATTTAGTTCAATAGTTAAGAATAATAAATTGCCCGGAAATTAAAAATGTACAAATGGAAAATGTAATGTTGTATAACAAGGCAATGTCATTAAATTTTTTATAAAATTTCAAGAATGTGTAAGAGAAAAACAAAGTTTGAACTTAATGCATTACAATGAGCTTTTTAAACATGTACACCTAAGTAATGGATCTTAAACTTCAATGTTGCAAAGAACTTACAGAGACGAGAGAGTCGTCATTGAAGTAGTTAGCCAAATCACGCACACCAAGCACAAAAAAACTGCAGAGAAAGACGGTTTGGAAATATTGTATAAGAACATCCTAAGTTCATAGATAATTTTAGAATTACATCAATTTATTGTATAAAAACATAATTTTTATAGTAATTTTTTTTTTTTTTAATCCCTTTATTAGAAATATTATAAGAACCTCCACTTATCAACAGATATAAATAGTTTTCATGGACATTATTTTATTGGTAAATGAAAATATTTTATAAGAACACGATTTTATCAATAAAAGGAAATAGTTTATAAGTTCATCATCAGATGGAAATATTTTATAAGAAAATCATTTTATTGATGTCTGAAAAGATTATATGAACATCATTTTCTCAATGGATGGAAATATTTCAACTGCAAACAAAAGTCAGCAACACAAATAAAGAGAAAATGAGTAAGACCTGAAATATAAATTGTATCATTTGAATATCTAACCAAAACAAAACCAATTCTCTATTTGCAATTAAAATGCAGAAACAATGCAATCGACATAGCCTCAACCCCAGAAACATTCCATTTCATAGTGAGAACATTAAGTGTCATATATCCCTACCTGCTAGCATTGCTGAAGGCTTTGCCTGCATCAATCATTGTGGTGCACTGCTTGACGAGCTGTGGGTATAAGTTTGAGATGAGCTTATTTATTTTTTTACGATTTCACTGTGGATGAGGAGTGTAGCAGCAATACACAAAACAGTCCCATTAAGCGTCATCACCAGACTGTTAAAATAATTTTACATTCTTAAATACAAAATTCTTAAGTACAAAAATTAAAAAGAATCCAACCCAATTTGTAGTAATACTAAAAATAATTAAATTAAAGTGCAATCTTCACTCATACCAAACTCACTGGATGATGGCATTTCTAAAAATACTCACAAAAGTCTATTCAACCAATCAGAACTCACCAATTATATTTGAAAGCTATTTTAAATTGAGATTGTAAAGCTTTTTCTGTTTACAAACTACAGAAGATTTTGCCAGTAAGTTAGTAGGAGATAAATCCAGTTCAATTTGATATTAAATAGTTATGATACTCTAAGTTTGTTTCAATATCAGAAATACTTATATGTTAATATCAGAACTGCTTTTATTGTTAATATCAGAAATACTTTTATACTTTATAAAATTATTATGGAATTTCTTTGAGAAAAGAGCTATCAGTTGAAATATGTAATTTTATGTTAAGAAAATATTCTTTGTATTCATACAACACTAAATTATCTGATAACTGATATGTAATGTTTTTAAATAAAATCTTTATAATACATTTAGTAAGTTATGATTATATAGGGACAAGAAATTGCTCTTCCGCTCCACCATGTTTTGTGTGTCTACCTATTAATAAATAGTCTGTAGATTCTATGAGTGTTAATCTGAATGACAGATTAAAGCTAAAAAAATATATTGTATTTCCCAGAATAAAGCAAAAAATATATTGTATTTCCCATCTTTGGAGAAAATAAACTATTTTATAGATGTAACTTCAATGTCCAAATTTCTCTGGTCATAGTATGTAAATATAAAAAAATTTTTTAACATAGTTGGCACATTTTAACAAATTTCTTGACACAGTAGGCAATTGACAATTTTTTTTTTATTATGCAATTTATTTTTAAATTTAAAGACTTACTCTGTCAAGCCTAATTTCAAGAGCCTCTATGTCATTCTCTGCATCTTCAAGTGATGCTCTGAAAAAAAAAAAAATTGGGAATAAAATAAAAACAGAATGAAAAGTGAAATTGAATATTTTGATTAGAATCATTTTTCCATCTCTGTTAACATAACCCCATAGGCATGACAGGCAGGGGATGTGACTAACTGACTGTGACCTAAGATTTGTAGGAGACAAATTAGGTAAAGGTGTAGTTAGTGGCATGGGTTTTGCCAAGAGTTGTCTCACCCTAAGCGCAGAGAAATCCCTTTGGGGAATCGCAACACTGGACTTAGGGTGAATAGACCAATAGCTGGAGCTGAACGATGCCTATAACTTTCCTGTTCTTCACTGAGCATTATTTGCATCACAAACTAAATCCAAAAATCGATACAATCAATATGATTTAAATTAAAAAGACAAGTTCAGCTGTTTTTTTTTGTTTAAATTCAAGTTTCATGGTTGAAACGAAATGTTTGAAAAGCAAGTCATCCTTGCTGATATCCCAAGCATAACACATATTAAAAGGTGTGCGTAATATTAAAAGTGATGTCTTTTGATTGGTTGAAAACAGAAGTACATGTATGCTATTTATTTCTATCATGTCATATGTCGCCATAATTTTCTAGGGAGTGCAGACTCAACTTTCAAGACAAAAATAAAAAATTAGCAGTTGTGTCAAAAAAGTATCATCAAAAGAAGAGGGGGTTGAGAAAGTGTTCTTTGGCAAACTTACTAAGACAAATGGATAAAAGTAAAATAATGAGAATGTATTTTTTTTAATCAAAAACATTTTAAAAAAGATGTTTTATGAATCTTGAGGTGCATAAAAATTATAATATTAACATACATTTAAAAATTCATTGAAGAAAGTGAAAAATCAATACATTTTAAAGGAAAAAGAACTCTTAAATTTAAATGTTATTTAAAAGAAACAAAGGAAAAAACCCAAATGAAATGCAAATCAAACAAATTTTAAAATGTCATTAAATGTTATTTAACTTACTTTTATGAAGGCTATGGCTAATAGTAGTAAACTACCGATAGCTTCTAGGCAGCTATTGGTAGTTTACTACCAAAAACTAATAATTGGTGACAGATTGATGTAGTGCAGTAAGACTAGTTATTAGTTATCTTGATTTTTTTTTTTACATCACTGAAATCACTCTTAAGTAGGTTTGTGAAATTCCGACTTCTTGCTTAGAAGCTGTCTGATAGTGGTACACTTCAAAATTTATTTTTTGTGTCTAGTCTAGTCTCATAAATTCACCCCCAATTGGATTTTCAAGACATAATAAACTAATTTTTCTTTGTTTTTATTTTTGTATGTATGGCAGCTTATATTTTCATCCGATTCTGAGCCATTAAAAATATTGATTCTACACGTAGAATTAAAAAATAAATAGTAAATAGCGATTCGTAGACGTTAAATTAATTTTATAGATGAACAATTTACGTAATTAATTTTTTTAATAGGACAAAAATATCAATGCCTTTATAAGTTAAAGAGTGCTCATTTGTGTAAATAATAATCAGAAGGCCTATCTCCCACCAGAAAATCAATAACCAGGGTTGGGGGGGGGGGAAATCACGTAACCATGTTCCTAAACAGAAGTTGGCCAAAGCTTCTGTTGTCATCTTTAAGCCTAATCATGTTATTATACCATTTAGACCATTTCATTTAAATAAATGGTGGGGGGGGGGGGGGGAAATCACGTAACCATGTTCCTAAACAGAAGTTGGCCAAAGCTTCTGTTGTCATCTTTAAGCCTAATCATGTTATTATACCATTTAGACCATTTCATTTAAATAAAGTAACAAGATATTTTTTTTTTATATGTACACTTTGTGTGCAGTAAAACTATTATTAATTATAGAAATATTTAGGCCTATATTATAATTAATATATTTAATCATGATAATTAGCACACAAAATTTTTACAATAAAAATTGTTTCTTAGCCTCAGGTGGATTTTATTTTTCAGATGTGCACATATTACTATTTAAAATAGGACTATATTATAAATTATAATTCTATAGATCTTTTTCATTAAGACAGCTTTTTTGAAACTCTTCTACTTCTAGATCTTTGATGGCATTTTCCAAATCTTTGAAAGTATTAAAATAGCAATTTAAAGCTAAACTTCTTTCAGGATTCATTATCGAGCTGAGGTGTTGTTACAAGTAAAACTAGTAATAAAGGAACGGCACAATGCTAATACTTCACCAGCGTGACTGAAAGCTGGTTTTTAAAGTTCCGGTTTTGGTTTGATTGCCTGGAATACCAATCATCCAATAACCAATGGAAATTCAATAGCTTTCTAAAGTTTCTAGAAGCTATTTATTTGTAGTCACTACACGTAGCTCACCACAAAAGTGACCAAAGCTATTGGCTACTATTGGTAGTAAACTAACAATATGTTATTTATAAACTATTTCTTTGTGGAACAGAATACTCGTATGAATGAAATCATGAAATGTCACTGAATCTGACTGAATCAATCCTGAATGTAGGGAGGATTAAAAACATCCAAAACAGTTACATTTACATTGGATCTTCCCTACCCCACTGAGCAGCAAGGCATATTTTGCATTATGCAGGCTTGTTATAAGTAGGTCTAATAATATTATATTATGATTAAAAATAAGGGCCCATTTAGTAAATAGTTTTAGACTTTAGTAGGCTATTCTTAATTCTTTTATTTATAATTTTTGTTTTAACTTACCGAAATTTGGGGGAGTCTTTCAGACATTCTTTGAAATCTACAGTGTGCTTCATTTTTATTTGACTATATTTTTCTTTAAAATATGTATATTATGCTGGTCTACTGAATTTAATGTCAAAAACCTTCTTCTATCATACATTACTACCAAGCTATTCAATTTATCTAAATGAAGTTATTTGTTCCTCGGTCCACCTACTTCCATGTTTACAATGGTACTTCCGGGAGTTACCGGAAATTACACATTTAGTAGTATAAGTGTCTCTGTTGCATAAGAGCTGGTTAATATACTAACGTAAGTTGACGTAAGGTTTCTCAACCTGGGGTACTCGCACCCTGAAGGGCAACGAGTGGAAATTATTTAATAACGGGGCAACCATTTGCCTTTAACTACTCAAAGTTATGATATGAATGTTTAAATATCTTTCTATGTTTTCCTTTCCTACTAATTTTTCATACTTTTATTATTCATTTTTTTTTTTCTTCCAAGTTCAACGTCTGCATTATATTTAAAAACAAGAGGCTAGAGGTAATTGTGAGGTATCGAGACTTACTTAGTCAAATCGTGGAAGGGGGGGGGGAGCGGAGCCACTGATACAGCATCAGAAGGAACTTCTACCCAGGAGTTCCAATCCTAGAAACTGATACAGCATCAGAGGGAACCTCTACCCTTAAGAGTTCCAATCCTAGCAACTGATACAACATCAGAGGGAACCTCTACTCCAAGAGTTCCAATCCTAGAAACTGATACAGCATCAGAGGGAACCTCTACCCTTAAGAGTTCCAATCCTAGCAACTGATACAACATCAGAGGGAACCTCTACCCCAAGAGTTCCAATCCTAGCAACTGATACAGCATCAGAGGGAACCTCTACTCCAAGAGTTCCAATCCTAGCAACTGATACAGCATCAGAGGGAACCTCTACCCCAAGAGTTCCAATCCCAGCAAGTTATACAGCATCAGAGGGAACCTCTACACTTTTTTTCCATCATTCCATAACTTTTTCCCCGGTTTATCAAAAAAAAACAACACAAAACTAAAACAAGTTTTTGAATTAATTAATTTGTTTTTCATCAGTGATATTTCTGGGGCAAAACAGTAGCCTACTATTAACTACTATACACTTCTAAATCTAACCATGTGGGGCATTGTTGACACAATTTGAACCTTCTCGCAGCGCCAAAAAACTGTCGCCATGTGGTGATGAGATGACAGATTTAAATCGATATATATTTTGGTTTAATTAAACTCGGTAAATTCAGGTCATGAGGACTAATGCCTTAATGAGTTCTAAAAATTTTGTATGAACAGGAGTGATAGAAGAAAATCCTAACAAAGCGTTCGAAAAAAATGGATACTACGAACAATTGTAAGAAAAAGGCAATATCTGAAAATAAACAAATATTACACATTAACAATGTCCTGATTAATCATTACTGTAGCAGTCTCCACTGCTCATCTTGACCCATTATTACTGTAGCAGTCCACACTGCTCTACTTGACCCATCATTACTGTAGCAGTCTCCACTGTTCATTTTGGTCCATCAAATATGAAGACAGAACAAATTACTCCTGTCGTCCTAGACTATTGGAGGATTCCATGCCTGAGAATCTAAATATGAAGGCAGAGAACAAAGTACACATGTTTGCTCACAATAATTTATTGGTTTTTAAATACACCATTTGAGGGAATTGAGAAAAACTTGCATAATAAGAAAACGAAACAAGTCTGAATGTACATCAACCATCAAATGATTTACTGGTAATGATAGTATGGTAGGTAATGATAGTATGGTAAGTAATGATAGGTACAAATATAACAAAATAAGTCAGAACTGGTATTGATAGATACACCTATAGCAAAATAAGTCAGAACTGGTTTTGATAGGTACACATATAGCAAAATAAGTTAGAACTGGTTTTGATAGGTAAACATATGACTAACTAAGTCAGAAATTTGAATATTAAACTTTTTTTACTTATCGTAGAAGCCATACGGTAAGTCAGAAATATAAAAATAAATATGTGATCAGAGAAATGACCAAAATGTTGACCTTCTATTTGAACCTATAGAACAACTAAAGCAATAAACTTTGGTGTGCTTAAATAGTGTTTGATTTCACTGAACTTTCAGACCATAATGATTCAAGAATATTAACAAATTATTATAACTATAGAAAAATTTCCATTGAGTTCACATTCTGATACTGAACATTTTCAGATGCTCAAAACAGAATGCACAAATTGTAGGTAGCACAGAATGCACTCATTGTACATAACACAGAACACACACATTGTACATAACACAGAACACACACATTGTATGTAACAGTAGCACAGAATACAAACATTGTAGATAACACATAGGACACACATTGTAGATAGCACAGAACACATACATGTAGTAACACAGAAAACACACATTGTAGATCTTGTCCAGTACAAAAATAAAAGAGAAAACTATAATTTATTTCTAAACAATGAGAGTCCAAGCACAAGAGAGTGTCTTCATAAGACCAGGTCTCATTGATTTAATACTGAGTTCACACAAAAACTTATTTAGATCAAAATTCAGCATCTCATATTTGTACACAAATTACGTAAATTTTGTTAAAAATACATGCTTGCTTCAATACTTATGGGACAACAATTTTTTTTAACCATAACATTAACTATTTGACATAGGAGCACAGCACATTTTGATATGGTAACTTGTTAAATTTGATGTAAATCAGTAATGAAAAAATTGATGTTAATGTCAAAAAATGATATTCTCAATGTCAATAAAAAAATTATTTAATGGTTTTCTCTTAGCTTTTAAATGAACACAAGCTCAGCATAAATTATTATGAATCAGATATTATATTACTCTCTAATGACTTCTTGTACCGCATGAGATAACCAAAAGAAAAATTTATAAAAATAAAATGTTTAGGCGCTAATATTTTCTTTGGCCTGTATAACGTCCAAGTACAAATAGCTAGAACAAAAAAATCTCAAACTCAAATAAATTAACATCATTATTTTGTGAACTATTTGTTAAAATCCCTAAAATGGTAATCAGAAATTTATCGCAAAATTATGTAACTAAACTGTATTTCTTTTTTTAATATTAAAAATACTAATATCCCTTTGAATGAACATTACATGGTACATAGGTAGCCATGTTGAAATTTAATAAATTTAACCATTGGATTCTATGTAAAGAAATTAGTTAGAGATTAACCAAATAAGTGTAACAATTGGAAAATTGGATGCTAAGTCAGGAGTTGGTTAGAGATTAACCAATTAAGTGGAACCAATGGATGCTAAGTCAGGAGTTGGTTAGAGATTAACCAATTAAGTGGAACCAATGGATGCTAAGTCAGGAGTTGGTTAGAGATTAACCAATTAAGTGGAACCAATGGATGCTAAGTAAGGAGTTGGTTAGAGATTAACTAATTAAGTGGAACCAATGGATGCTAAGTCAGGAGTTGGTTAGAGATTAACCAATTAAATGAAACCAATGGATGCTAAGTAAGGCGTTAGTTAGAGATTAACCAAGTAAGTGGAACCAATGGATGCTAAGTAAGGAGTTGGTTGGACATTAAGTGGCACAATGGATACCATACTGTGTAGGGAATTCGGTTAGATATTTATTAAGTAAGTCTTCTTACTGGACAACAAGCTGATAGTTGATAAGGTCAGATCAAAATATCACATTCACTTTGTCGTAACACAGGATATCAAAATAAGGAATAAATGTAAAATAAATATATTTATTTAAATATGGCTATAATATTTTTAAAGCAAATTTATAAATATATATTTTGACAATTTTATTATACAGCAACAGATGGAAGCGCAGATCCATGCTAAAGAAAAGTTATACTTGACCAGACTGAGGCTGATTGAAATAAATGATTTTTTTAAAAAATGATTTAATCTCTTCAATATTCAATAAAATTACAATATTTACACGAGATCTATAACTAGACTAAAGAAAATTATCAACTTTTAATAAATGTAAGCATCAGTTGATAAACAATCATATAACGATCCATCAAAAGCAAGATTCAGCCAAACATTTCCTGCTCCACTCTGACTCATGTGGATTCTTCATCTATGTCTCATTCAAAAAAATTTTTTAAAATTACTGATCATTTTCTTGCCAGCTTGTACAGCTTCATGTAAGTTTGTTATAAAAAATAGATGTAAATTATTGGTACCAGTGTCTGATTAAGGAGCTGAAATCATTGCAAGGAGTTCAGGAACATTGAAAAAAATAAACCAAGCATTATGTCAAGTTTCTTTGAGGATACATGGAAAGATAAATATGTCAATCAGCACCATTTAATATATGAGCAAATCTGGAAGCACATCTTAAAATAATCGTTGGAAAATACAGGTTTTTTTTAAAGGGCAAGAGCAAGCAAATGGACAAATTTTGATTTTATTCCCTCAGTTCGTTCTATTAACATCCAGCAGAAGTGGGGCAACATTTGTTAAAGGGGAGAGAACATATCAGATTTTTTACTTGATATCCTGACAAACCATTCACTATTATTATGTTAACTTTTCCCATAAATGGCAACAAGAATAACGACAGGGCATCTGGATTCTTTGACACAAATTGATAATATCATTGAAAATATCATGCATTGAACAAAACAGAACAGAAGCAAGGGAGAATAACATTCGTAAAGGGCAACAATCATCAAAATTGAAGCGTGAAATATTTGCATAGTACGTGCAAAGAAATTAGATGCCGTTGTAATTCAATTATGCTTCAACTTAATACATTGTTCAGCAATATGCAAGGTCTGAATTCAGCCGGTTTCCTATTCACACTATTGACAAAGCCAAGCTAAACATTTCTCTGTATGTAACTTAGAAAATAAAAAGTGTATTTGGCAAGTTTGTTGCACTCATGCAAAATTATCTGGCCATAGTAACTTACGCCTATAAATAGAATGAAGGAAGTAAAAAAAGTGACATCTGCCAATTGACAACCATGACACTACCTCTGGGAACAATTTATGGAACAGCAATCTGCCCTGAGGTATAACGACGATATGCATTAAACACTGCCTTAAAAGGATTGTTTCTTACTTTGAACATCAACAGAATGAAATGTATGCATACAACTCTATCATATGTCTCAAGTTCCTATTGAAAGTAACAACAAAAAATCTTTAATACTTTTTTTTTGCTTCATCTGAAATAATTGATTTATATAATTTTGATTGAGCTACACAAATTAATTTGATCAAAGCATTGCTTGTCGAGCATTGGTTTAAGATTCCAATGAATCATTTATTAAACATGTTGCTAATTGTCCTAGATACAAACAGAACAAAAGTTTCGATTCATAAATAGGGAAATGACAAAAATGGAACATTTTTCCCCAAAACAAATCTAAAAATATGATTATTTTTGTTTGGCCAATTAGAAGCTGACATATCTTAGATATCTCCTTCCTGCTCATTATGAAGATGTATAGATATCTATCTATATGAGGTGATGAAATGTTTTAGATGAAAAAGAAATTTCAAGTTAGTATCACAACTAACAATAAATTAAAAGAAATTATAAAAAAATTAGACTTTTTGTAACAGAAAAAGTTTATGATCTAAATTCGTTTTAGGAGTTCATGGCGAAGATAGATATAAGATTATTATATAATGTATTATTATGTTAAATCTATTTTTTCTTATTTCATGTAAGTTTTAGCTGTCTGCACTTTTGAACACACTTGCTTTTTCTTTAAAAGCTTTCTTCCTCTCTTTTGCTTCCTCTGCTTGTTTTTTCTTTTCTTCCTGTTCTTGTCGAATTTCCTGTTCAAACTTAGTGCTCTCCGTTTGTTTTTGAATCTGCTCAAAGAAAAAAAATAATATTTTATGACAAAATAGTTTGCCAATTTCTTCTTGGTGTGGTGTGAAAAGTCATTTTGGCCCGAGTTCACATGATTGCGACAAAAGGGAGAAAACTCTGAAGGGAAATCAAGCCCAGGAATTGTCAAGATTTCTGTTTATGCCCCACCTCAAATATCTAAGGAACCTTTCTCTATTTATATATGTTAGTATGTATTTGCAGCTATACATTTCATATGGTCAAAAATGTAGTTACTCAAATGCCATTTAACTCATCATCTATCAGCTAGGGAGTATGACAAGAAATTGCCCTATATTAGAATTTCTTCATGAGATACACTTGGAAAAAGAATATTTTGTTGGCTTGCTACTTTTCAAGCACTACCAATTAAATCATTAAAACTGTTTATTTTTTGCCAACTCTGCTTCACTAATGTCTAATAACACATAAACAATATATGGTAATAAAACAGTTTAGTTTTAATTAAAAGGCAAAATATAAATTTAAAACGTTTCAAGTTTCATTAACCATTAACTTCCCCTAGCCTTGACATTAAAACATCCATATTATCCCAACGTAAGGGGAACAACTCTAAACAACTATTTAAGTTCTTTTACAAAAATCAATGCACCTCACTAGTTTAAAATCTAAATGGTGTGAAAAAAATATCAGTGTGAAGAGAAATGAATTACCTATCAGATGATACCAAATATGTATGGGTTTGTTTAGAAGTAAGATAATAAAAAAAATCATTAATTTGAAAAATATATAAAAAATACAATTTTAAAGGATAATTTCTTAACATTTATTGATAAATTTTAACCTCAGTTTAATTGTGCATGAAACTGAGCAAAACACAGCTCATCACAAAGGTGTGTGTTACACAACACACACCCAAACACAGTTTCAGGTCTTTTATTAGACTCAGTGCGGATATTTTTCTGGCGACACTGAAAACATTGTTTTTTGCGCCCTGGGAGCCGAATCCTGCGATGCTCCACAGAAGTTCCAGGAACAGCCAAACCCCCGGCAGCAGGGACCTCCACCTGCCTTCTTTTCCTTGAAGAGCCTTTCATTAGGCTACGGGCAATGTCCATATGAAAATGGAAATGGGAAACTGGCTTTGATGTCGGGGGGCGTGGCATGTTTTTGTACAAGATGTATGCATTCAGCGCCGCCACCTCAATTAGAAACCATAAGCAGCATCTCCACCACTTGTGACTTTTTCTGCCAATAGGGTAGTATGATCTCAGCTGATCATGTCTGTCCACACCACCCATATTGGCATTGTAGATCAAAACAGACTGGGGGATCTGTTTATCAACAGGGCCTTCTTTTGTCCGGCGTGATGCAGTGTCCATTGTAGGTGAGGCGTTGGTTGAGAGCATGGAGATGGCACGTTTGTCCCTCCACCAACATGCAACCAAACTCCCTATCTGCCTCATTTGGCACTGATTTTTATTTAATTTTCCTTTGAGGTCTTTGGGCCAGTGTCTCCTGTTCTGTCGTGTCGTTGCACATGAATATGTGCTGCTGGATAGCAGGTCCTGTGCTAATTTCACGGACGAAAAATAATTATCAAAATAAAAATGGTGGTTTTTATGAAGATATGGCTGTCCTAATTTTTGAATGACACTGTAACCCAGTCCATTAGGCATCACAGTGTCCGACTTTCCAGTGTAAAACTCAAAGTCTAAAAGGAATGATGTTGTCGAGTCGCAGCAGCACCACACTTTGACACCCCATGGGTGGGGCTTTCCTTTTATATACTGTTTGAACGAGAGACAACCTCTGAAAGGTATCATAGCTTCATCAAAAGCTATAGCAGCTCCAGGTCTGTAAAGTGAATTACAGGCAGCTTTGAGAACTGTGATCACAGGTCTAATTTTATATAGAGCATCATATCCATCTCGTCCCTTCGGTATGAAATACCTGCTGTCAGCCAGATGGAAGTATCTTGAAATTTCCTGAAACCTGTTTCTGGACATCACATCAGCTACACAGGGAACTTTTAATAGAGGATCTGTTGACCAGTACATCGTATAGGCAGGCAATTTGTGGACACCAAACATCATATTTATATATATGAAGGTTTGAATGTCACTGACTGTGACAGGGGTGAAATTGTTTGCATTTCTCTGGGCAGCATACAAATTCGTCTGGTCAGCAATAATTTCAATTTAAATTATCAGGAAAAAATAATTTAAAAATTCTAATGGCTGTGACTGATATTCAACGTTTACATTGTCAAGATTAGGCCCAACTCCTGATGTAAACATGTCAATTTCCACTGGATTGAGATTAGCACTCCAGGGAAAAGTCTAGGTAGGAGTAGCTTCATTATTGCTATCATCACCTGTCGAGTCGTCGTCAGAGCTCTGGTTTTCAAATTCACTGTTATTTACACTTTCAAAAGGTGTTTCTCCTATTCCATTTTCAATGTCACTTTCATTTGAATCGCTATCACTGTCAGAATTGATTGAAATATTGGACACTGAAGGCTGAACCAAACTTTCCAGGTATCTGAATGCCATGCTTTCAATGTTGAGATTCAAAAATGTGTAGCTCGCGTGTTTCTCAATGTATTTCATTCCGGTAAAAAGGAAGAGAAAGTAGAGCTTTTCTACTTTCCAACTAAAGCTTGTTTACCATTTTAAACCAAACTTTTATGGTCCAATACATCGTTTATTTGCTATGTGTATAGAGCCGGCGATGGCGGGCTACAGCGGGCGATACAGTATAAAACGCTATCGGGCGATGGCGGGGGATACGGGAAGTTACTGGCGATTGCCTTTAACTTTTATCAAGTGCATTCCGATAAAACAGCATTTTACAACTACATGAGCACAGCGTTACAAACCTTGGCTTGAAAGAAGTTCTTGGCTCCCTTCACCCCCTCAACATCAACATCAATCTCATCCATGTTCTTGTAGAGATCATATAAACCACTGTCTTCTTGAAGATCACCAGCAGCAGCTTTGCGAAATATCAGCAAAAACTTCAAAGAGAAGAAAATGTGAAGAGCTTTTAGAAAAATATATTTCGACTTTATTTAGTAATTATCTACCTTCGGGATATTTTAGTAGTATTGCTAATGAATAAGAAGCGCAAAGTAGTAATGAATAAGAAGCACAAAGTTGGGAAAATCTGAACAAAAAATTTTTTTTTAAAACAACAATCTACTTTGCTGTTTAACATAGTAATTACCTCTCTGAAGGAAATCTTGTCATCGTGGTCCTCATCTACTTCTTTAATCATCTCTTTCAGGGATATGTGTGTCTGGGGTGCCCCCAGTTTTTCCATCATTAATTTAAGTTCCATCAGGTCAATAAATTTGTCTTTCCCAACATCATACCTATGACAAAAAGATATTTAAATTGATAAAATATACCCAAGATTCTCACATAGGCATTTAAACAATATCATTGATATTCTATATGTTAATGATATTTTAATGAGCAGTTGCTTTGTCAACGGTGGGTGAGAGAAAGAGAGGAGACGCTCCACAATTTTAATTTTGCCAAGATATATAAAATATGAATATCCTGTTAACATTTTCATATCAAGTCATATTAAGTGGGTTTAAGGTGTTATGGTGCGTGCACTCACTTTACGTTTGTACGTTATTTGGGAGTAAAAATATGAGGGAAAAAATCCAGCTAATAATTTAATCATTAGTTTTTATAAAACGAAAAAAAATCAATTTTAACAAGTATAAGCTATAGATCTAAAACAAAAATATTCATACAAAAATGAAGTTCCTAAGATTTTGTGAGAAAGACTGAATTTTTTTTGTCTCGTATTAGACAAATAATTTAATTTGTCATCTGACACTGGGAATATCATGTCAATGCAGGTCCTAGATACTTAAACCGTTTTATGGGCTGAAAGCCATGTATATCAATGACTGAAAATATTACAAAATTAATCAATTGTATTTTTTTATTAAAGGTGCAAAAAGCGAAAAAATATTTAAAATTCATAGAACTTCATACATGCAGGTCTGAGTTTTGACGTTGCGCCTTATTAATTACAATTTTAATTGGTGGGTGTTGGATAGGGCCTAAGCATATTATGTGATTCGTACATCGTGAAGTGCCCTGAGCAAGATGCTAGAGAGGAATGCTTCCTTCCTTACGTAGGCCTTAATTTAGGATGAACGAAGTCTTAGCCATATCCGCAAAAAGATTATTATTATAAAACAGTTTTAAAGAGCAAAATAAAACAAACGGCCCATCGATGAGCTGCAATCGCCCCCTGACCTTGTGCAGTACCAGATGCTGACAATTATGCATAGGCTCAAAAGACATTTATTCAGAGTTACCACTCTTTTTTCAAAAAAAAATTCCTTTTTTTCCCCAACTAACAATAAAAAAATTCCTGACTAACCAAGGTTTTGTTGATAATATAAAAACAAGCATGAAAGAATAAAAGTAAAAAAAAAATATTGAAAATCAAAACAGATTAACAAAATTAAGCTATTGAGGTGTATACATGCTATTGCAATTTTTTCAATTTAACTTAGACTTGAAAATTCCTTTAATTTTAAAGTGCAGGGGAAACTTTTGCAATTTGTTCTCTGGGGGATTTTAGAACAAACTTTTAGCTATCGCAAGTGGAAAGTGTATTTTCCTAGATCGAGTCAATGTTTTCTTCTTGCTATGAAATATTAAAATGTATAGTTTGATTAAAACACTTTAGTGTTTATAAAATCTCTCCACTTATAAAATCTCTCCACTCCGAGTTTCATAAGTGGACACATAAATTGGGAGCTTGACTGAGAAGTTGCAGATGTGGACATCTAAGGAAGTTGAACTAGGTGAAGTACCATCAGATGAATGACGCTTATTAAACAGTTTCCCCTCCAAACGACACCTGAGAACTGTCCTGCAGAGATTCTTGTTCAATCATGTTTGTTGCCCTAACTTTCAGTCTTTAAGGGAACTGTTGGTCATTATTTTATTTACCCTAAACCCTGAAGATTACCATATAAGGCTTATAGAAGGGCATACATAATATAAACTATATTTTATCGGTATTTAGCTAATGCCGAAGAGATGCTAAGCTAGGCATATGCAATGGCACAGCCAGGAGCTTGATGGGAGTTAATGACCGAGCTACATTTGTTTGGTCTCCTTAGTAACCCCCCTTGCTTACACCACTGTGCTTTTGAATAATAGTAATAATACAGTAAATATATAGATAGAGCACAGGAGGGCGTAACTTAATATTAACTATAAATTAGGAATAAGTATATACAATTATGTCAGGCAACCAGCTCATTGGATAACAGTAATAGGCAAATTAGCTTAACAAAAACTAGTTTTAATTACTTTTAAAATGAAGTTCCAAAGTCACCATGAACTACTGTAGGAAAAAAAAATAATAATAATAATTATTTATCTATTTAAGCCTGTTTGGTACTCTACCATAAACTTAAAGACTTAGTTTCACTTAGCTCTATTTTAAAAAATTCCCATTGTTATAGATAAAGACCTACTACAGTATATTAAAATTAACAAATCAAATTCCTCTAATTTAGACATGGAGTAGAACTACGATTATTACTGACAGCTTAAAATAAAACACTAACTAAACAAAGGAAGCAAACCTAAGATGGCTTAGTCAGTATGTCAGACAGCAATTATTGGACACATAGTTTTCTATTGATAACATCATCATCATCATCATGTCCCTTAATCCTTGGACAGTTGGGGCGCCACCGATGACATGTGAACCATCCTCGTCCATTCGTCTCTGTCTTCTGCAGTACGCAATGCATCGCCATCTTTTTCTTTGTCTTCCTATTCTTCTCCCTCCTCTTGTGATGCCCTGCAGTATTTCTTTGACAAGCCCTTGTTTCCTTGTTTCGTGGCCGTATCATTGTAGTTTGCGTTTTTTCACAGTCACCAGTAGGTCATCGTACTCCCCAATGGCCTGACGAACCCTTTCTTTCACTGTATCATTGGAGATATGGTCCCTATAGCAGATGCCAAAAATGCTTCTGAAGCATCTCATCTCCATCGCCTTTATTTTCCTTTCAAGATCGGCTGTT